GTGTATTTTACATGCCTCCCGGCCCTCATTTGCTACAAGTTCATTCTGAGATTCTTATTTGCTGCTGCACATTTGCTTTTTTCTAGTCTGCCTTGATTTCCATTTCCCTTCTTCTGAAGAATTTCCCTTGTACCATCATCTCCATCTTTTCACATCCCTCCCTACATGAGAAACTCTATCACTGCATTCTATCTTGCATCGTCATTGCATCACTGTATCAATTACCATTGCATTGCTATTCTCATTGGCATCGCTCTTGGTTGTGGGTTGGACTACTTGCATTGTCGCATTGCGTGCCCTACATTGCCCGTTGCTTTGCTGCTTTAGTCCGTCTTTACATCACTATCTTCACGCGTCCCAAATATCCAAAATTTTCATCGTTATTGACTCGTTTTTACAGATTGAAGAAGGAAATCCCACTTTGAATTTCTTCCTTTTTTCAAGGAAGTCTGCGGTGGACAAGATAGCGCTTGTCCTGTTCTGAGCTTTGTTCTTTTGTTCTTCCTGTTGCTTTTGAATCTCTGCGAAAAGACTTAAGCAACCAGGGGTTTCGAGTCCTTGTCGTCACCTCCCTTCCTTTCTCTATCACGTGCAAAGTTCGCACTCTCACCACATCGGTTTCTACCTTGTCGACTCCCTTTTTTATTCTCACTGGCATTCGCTAAAATGTCCGGTCGTGCCCACGGTGATCTGCCCATTCGTGGCGGCCGTGGTGGTGGTGATCGTGGCGGCTCCCGTGGCCGCGGCGATGGTGGCTCCAGCAACCGTGGCAGTGACCGCGGTTACAGCGGTGATCGGGGCCGTGGAAGTGACCGAGGCGGTGGTCGCGGGGGACGTGGGGGGTCCGAGCCGCCCTCTGGGTAAGTTTCTTTGTTCTACATTTGAGGGAAATCCATTTCTAATATGCACACAGAATGTTGACAGACCCGGTTGAAGCCCCCAACGCGCATGTTCAGGCTCTGGAGGACCGGTACGTTGCAGAGTCAGCAAAGGCTCGCCTAGAGTCCGGATCTTTAGCTCGGCGTCCTGGCTACGGTACCCAAGGCCGTTCGATTGTGCTTCGTGCCAACTTCTTCCCAGTGGAGTTCAAGCCGAACATCAAATTCCATTCCTATCGCCTCAAGATCAAGCCCGAGCCTAAAAAAGGGCAGCAAATTTTCATCCTTGAGAGTATGTTCCGCAAGTACCCTCTGTTCAACAAGGGAACCGGCATTGCCACTGATGGGGCCACTGAGATTGTTACGACCGAGCTATTCCCAAATAATTGCGAGCCATTCATTTGTTCCATGAGTGGTGGAAGTGGACAGGGAAGTGGGAAATCGAAATCCTACACCGGCCCTTGGGAGGCGACTTTGACCCTTGAAAGCTCTTTTTCCCCAGCTGATATGTTGGCATGCCTTGATGATGTTAGTCACCGAAAAGAAATTGAGAATGAATTGCCCTGTCTCCGAGTACTGAACATCCTCATGAGTGCATGTCCCTACAAGGATCCCAGCATCGCCATCATCGGCAGAGGACGAAACAAATTTTTCCGGATGGACAAGCGAAAGCAGTCAATGGAAATGAAAGGTGGCGCTGAAGCCGTTCGTGGTTACTACTCAAGTGTTCGTCTTGGTGCCGGACGAATCTTCCTCAATTTGAACGTCAGTCACGGTGCATTCTTCAAAGAAGGTCTGTTGTCTGAAACAATCATTGCCTTTGTCAAAATTCACGAAAAGGACCGGGAGATTATCGGCCGGTACCTGAAGGGTCTGAAAGTCTACGCCTTGCATCTGGATGCTCGAGAGAACGGTTCTGGGGTGAAGGAAAAACCGATCAGAACGATCTTTGGAGTTGCCACCCTAAATGATGGACGCAAGGGTCCCAACCCCCCACGGGTTGCACGTTCTGCATCTAGTGCCGACAACGTACAGTTCTGGATGGGTGATGAGAAGAAGGGAAAATACGTGACTGTTGCCGAATACTTCTACAAAAGTATGTTTGCTGTCTATCAGTCGATGTTTGAGGTGCATTTTGCTAACAAGCAACATTAGCTTACAATAAGCTCCTCGAGTATGCTAATAACATGCCAGTCGTCAACGTTGGAACCCTTGATCGTCCAGTTTACCTTCCTGCAGAGGTTTGCGAAGTCCTTCCCGGGCAACCCTTCAGGCCAGAGCCATCCACCATCCAAAGACAGAACATGATTAATTTCAGTTGCCGGAAACCTCCTCAGAACTATGCATCAATTATGAACGAGGGATTGGACATCCTGGGAATCTCCAAAGGACATACCAAGGCGGTAGGCATCAAGCCCGGCAAGGAGATGATCACTGTACCTGCCAGGATTTTGAATCCCCCGAATCTGCTTTATGGCGGCAAGAAGACCACTAACCCTCGAAATGGCTCGTGGAATTTGATCAACACTAAATTCTCCCAGGGAGCCAGCATCGGCAAATGGACCTGTCTTTGGCTTCGGAAGCGCGGTAATGAGGACAAGGAGCTCCTTTTAAATCCCGATTCCGCGATGGACGCATTTTACAGGAAAATGCGTGACCATGGCCTGTCGCTTCCGGCGCCCTCCAAACCGTATCTCCAAGTCCGTCTCGGCCCAGATGATAGAGAAAATCGAGAATTGATCAAGGACGTATTCAAGAAGATCATGAAAGAATTCATCTTTTTGGTTGTCTTGCTTCCAACTACAGAAGGGAAAATCTTTGATTACGTCAAGTATGCCGGAGATTTAAAGACTGGCGTCCTCACGCACTGCATGCTAGGTAATAGGTTGAATCGTATCGATGAGCAGTATTTGAGCAACAACGCCATGAAGGTCAATTTGAAGATGGGAGGATGCAATCAACTCTTACAGCCGGTGAATGCCCGCTTCATTGGCACAGCGAAGAACACCATGGTCATAGGCTTGGATGTCACTCATCCGTCGAGCACAGACCCCGAAGTCTTCCTCAGTGTTGCTGCCATCGTTGGCTCCATTGATTATCGCATGGGCCAATGGCCCGGTAACGTTCGAGCCCAGACGCGCCGTCAAGAGCACATTGAATTCCTCAAGGAGATGATGCTCACCCGGCTGAACTTGTGGCAAAAGAACAATAGGGGCAACTTGCCTCAGAACATTCTCGTGTACCGCGACGGTGTTAGCGAAGGTCAGTTTGCCATGGTCCTTGCCGAGGAACTTCCGAAGATTCAAGCTGCTGCCAAAGCAGTGTACCGTGGAACTATGCCCAGCATCACTATCATTGTCTGTGGAAAGCGCCACAATGTGCGCTTCTATCCTACCAATTTCAAAGACCAAGATCGAACATCCAACCCAATTAACGGATGTGTTGTTGACCGTGGCGTCACCCGCCCTATCTACTGGGACTTCTATCTGCAAGCCCAGGCTCCCATTCAGGGTTCTGCCCGTCCGGCTCACTACGTTGTCATCCATGATGAGATCTTCACCAACTCGAAAGCCAATCCGGACCGCAAGCCTGCTGACATGGTGCAAGAACTCACCCACAGCATCTGTTACCTGATGGGCCGGGCTACTCGCTCGATCAGTTACTGTACTCCTGCCTTCTTGGCTGATAAGTTCTGTGATCGTGCCCGAAAGTATCTATTGGCTTACTACTATGACAACAACCAGCAGGTGCAAAACGAGGATAGATTCAAAGGTGCCACCTTGAATTTGGCCAACGCATGCCAGAACAGCATGGTATACATCTAATTTGACCACTGTCATTTGCTATTATCTGGTTGATATTTGACGGGATTTGCCGATCTTTCCGGGGTATGGAGTTCCACCGATACTCTCGTGCTACGCTCCATTATTCTTCAGCTTTGGTGCCTGCAATGACTTCTCTTGTTGAGCTCGAAGATTGCTCATGGTGTGAAAACTACACAAAAAACTACACAAAAAAAAACTACAAAACGACCCAAAAAAGGGTGCAATGTCCTTGCTTTTCCAACAAGTTTGAGGTGTGCCTACGCTGCAACAAGTGTTAAAAAGTGAAAAGTACCACAAAAAAGGGATTGTTTACTTGCATGAAAGCAGCGTGCAATTGTTTTTTTTTTGATCTCATTGTAAAATCTTTGCTTGTCTTGGCACGACACTTGCACTGCAGCCTGGAAAAGAACGAAAACCCAAAAAAAGGGGATGGTATGTGTTAAGAGTATAGAATTTGAAAACATTTGAAAAAAAAATACTTCTACATACATATATAGCCACTAGACTTACTGTTGGTATTGCAGCAAGGACCGAGAATATCGTAGGTGACGAGATTGAGTAGAAAACGCTGGATGCAGAAGAGGCATAGTATACAAGTGTCAAGATATTTACATGGCTTTGAATATGTTTGATCCCCCATGACAGCTTGGGCCACCTCTGTTATGGCCGATGAGGTTGAACAATAACCTCTACCCTCATGCACGAGTGGAGTCCGAAGACTTCGGCATGAGATAGCCTCAATACCATCTACGACGCCGGGGTTCCATACAAGATTTGTGCTGATCAATTGACCAATGGTGCAAGGCGTCAGCTTTTCAAAGCTTCCGGCACATTTCTCTAAAAGTCAAGCTGATGTGGAGTATGGTGAAAGAAAAGGACCAAAATAAACCAACATCACCTTTCACCGCTTGGAACTAGGAGACCACGCTTCAGGCTGCCACTCCTCGCCTGGGTTGGCCTTTTTCTCCTTGGTCCATGGATTCTCCACCTTTTGTGTCTTCGGCTCTGCGGGTGCGGGTGCGGGCTTAATGAGCTGATTCAAAGTCGCTTCATTTATTTGAGTTGTTGGTGGTTGTTGTTGGGTCTTGGGCTTATCAAGGAAGGAGGCCTTGCTAGCCCAGCGTTCATCAGCGAGTCGAGCGAGTTTTTTTATTTGCGCCTGCCGGACAAGATCCTGCTCCTGCTCTTGAATGCTCGGGGGATGTTCTCGGACATGTCGCAGCCATTGGTGCCATTGCGCTGCGTTGAGATAATATGTCAGTTGTGATTCAAGAGTCTCATACCCCTTTGTCCCGGAATAGAGGTATGTGGTCCAAGACCGAGCCTGCATCTTCTGACGGTACTCACGAGTCACTTTAACATCACTATAATGTGTTTTGGGATCGAATCGAACAATGCGTCGGAATCGAGCTGCATTCATCACATCTTTGAACTCCCAGAAGGTATTTCCGGCGAGATCCTCACCTAAGACACGGTTAGCGCCACTGAAAACACCAGGAAAGCCAAAAGCCGATACTGACCGACCAAGAAGGACTTGCGCCAGGGCAGACGAAGCTTCTTCCATTTGAACCACAAGCTGTTAACCATTGTTGAGTGTGTAGATAGAAAAAGGCAAAAAAAAAGAGATCGAGCGGGACTATCAGGAACGTCATCGGGGATAAACACAGCCCGGACATTCCACTCTTCTTCTCTCTCGGCCTTTTTCTCCCTTTTTCTAACAATTTCTACGACTTTACTGGAAAACTTCCGCCCTTCTAATGAAAGAAAATTTTCTTCTCATCTCGTCATTTCCAATCGTATCACCGAACGCCCTCCTGCTACCCAACATCCGCCACCGTTAGGGCCGATCAGGCACCCGTAAAAGGGATACATAGCACCCAAGTGGCCACAACAGACCAACTACATTTCAACGCACTCGAGTATCGATTTGACACTCATCATGGCCTCAGTGACTTCGTTAGACAAGGATTTGCGCAATGTGCGCCTATCCCGCTATACCCCGCAGGCAGCCGCGGAGGTACGCGACTGGATTGAGGAAGTGCTGCATGAAAAGCTGGCAGCGCCAGACTTGCTTGAAGGTCTGAAAGACGGCGTTATTCTTTGCAAGTAAGTCATATCTGTGTCTGTCAAGTACCAGTCACGGATACTTGTATGTGGATCCCTGGCTAACTCGTTGACTCACAAGACTGGTAAACCTCGTTGTGTCACCGGGCGTGAAGTATAAGCAGTTGTCCGCGCCATTTGTACAGATGGAAAATATTTCGCATTTCTTACGTGCATGCCAATTGCCACCGCTCAACCTTCCCCCGCACGATGTCTTTCTAACAGTTGATCTCTACGAAGCAAAGGACCCGGCGCAGGTTCTCCAGTGCCTGGCTGCGTTCAGTCGGCGCGCCAATGCCCTTGCGCCCAGCAAATTCCCCCGAACTGTTGGCCCACAGAGTAAGCGCGGTGTGATCAGCCCAAATGCGACAGGTTCCTCGGGCACCGGAGCATATACACCCCGATCAACCCGCTCCTCCAGCATCGTCGGGGATGCGAAATCTTCTGGGTCGTACAGTACTTGGGCCAAGAAGGGAGATGAGCAGGAAACCACGCCGGCTTGGAACATTCACCAATATGGTTACATTGGGGGAGCTAGCCAAGGGAATCAAGGGGTTGCATTTGGTGCTCGCCGACAGATCACCACTCCTGCGCCGGCGGTACCAAGCCTTGCAGAGAAAGAGAAGAATAGACGTGAAGAGGATGAACGAATTCGTCAACAGAATGCAGAGAGGGACCAAGCGGAGCGGGCACACCAGCGGCAGATTGCAGAAGAGGAGCGCCGATGGGAAGAAGAGACTGCTCGTGTAAGGGAAAAAGAACGTCTCAAGGTCAAGGAAGAAAAGAAGCGCTGGGATGATGAGAAGCGTCAATGGGAAGCGGAAGAGCAGCGACGTATGGTGGAAGAAAAGGAGGCTGAACACCGATTTGAGCAGGAGCGACAACAGAGACGAAACTTGAATGATAGCCGTCTCAATGGTCAATTCCTAAGCCAGTACCAGGCCTCCAACTCTGATGTCGCCAACGCGGTCGAGGAGACAGCCCAAAGCCGCCGCATCAAAGAGCTCGAGCGCGAGCTACAGCTGGCAAAGGACCGGGAACGCCAGTACGAGACCGAACGCCAGGAAGTCCAGCTTGGAAAGACTGACAATAACCCTGAATCTCGCAGTCAAAGTCGCCCTCGTCCCGTACCCCCCAAACCTAGCTACGATCTCTCTTCCTTGGAACAAGAACGGCGACTCCTCCCTACGGAGTGGCAGAACAAGCAGGAGTTGCCGGCTACTTCCGAAGCAGAGGAACCCCAACCCATCGAGGAGCAAGCGCCACCCAAGCCCCCTCGTCCCCTCCCAGTGCCAAAGCCAGCATCTTTCTCTCCATCGCCAGCGCTCCCACCCAGGGACCTACCCACCCCGCCTCGGCCCCTTCCAGACCCGGTAGCCTACAACGTCAACCGGGGCTACGAGAGCCGCGTGGATAGTTTCCTCTCCTCTAACCCAGCACCTAAATCCCCAGCTCCAGCCGCACACCGATTCCAAGACTATACCTCGACCTCCGAAGTCGACGCTGAGAACAGCCGCCGTGCAGCCTCACAACAGAAGACCAAGGCTGGCGGCTGGGCATCTAAATCTCTGCTGGAACGAGAGATGGAGCGCGAGCGCGCGCGCCAGGAAGAGTGGGCAGAGAACCAGAAGCAAACGGCGGCTGCGGCCGAGCGTGGCGGTCAAGATGGCACACAAGGCTCGGGACCAGGCCAGTCTTGGGATATTCATCAATATGGCTACATGGGTGGTGATAATCAAAACCGTGGCGGTGTTGGTCTTGGGGTTGGTGGTGCTAGGCGCCAGATAATTGGGCCCCGGCCGCCGCTGTAAACTGTTGACTTGTGTTGATAACCACCTGTTCAACTTGGGGGGTTTGAGTCCTTGCTCCTTCTATCTTCTTAGCATTATCTCTTTACTTATTCTTGGAAGCTCTATTTTCCCTACCTTTGTGGGCGGATTTCATCATTGAAGCTGATGACCTATTGTCATACTTTTACGTTGGTGAATTATTCTGTTATTCAATTCTTGCTCGAGGTCGTTGCTTGCTTTCTTTTTCATGCAATGTGCTTGCAGATAGAAACCGTTATACTTCAAGGTCCAATAATAAACGTATAGGGGAACCGAGTCTTATAGATCGATCCCACATTCGTTTGATAGTCATTCTATGACAAGTGAAAAGATCACAGGAATAGTCGGCCTCTTTCTTGCGCGGCCGTGTGATGTCTTTTGATCTGTCTTTTGAGCTGTTCTTTCCAGACGTCTTTTGAAATGCGTGTGAAGGCAGTAAAAAGCATACTGTGTGCAAGGCACTTTTCCACTTGAAAAATCTGACAGCCAATACATTCATCAAAGAAAAAGTCAAGGGCATTCAAATGCTCCATCACCGCTCCGAGGCCGATCATTAAGTATCATTATCATCATGAATATCATTACCACAACACCGATCTTCCCTGATTCCACAGAAAGGCTTCATGGCAAGATATGCTCCACCATGAACTTCATCCTAAACCCACTCTCCTGCAAGTAAGCCCACTCAATTGAGTTCCGATCACGATTACTAGCCCGCTCACGACGTGCAATCCCGGACCACACAGCTTTCGCAAGCGATGGGGTTGCAGAAAGCATCTTGCTCTTATACAGGAGTGTCATCAACGCCTCAAGCAGCAGGGATACCTTGGCATTGTTCCCGACGCTCGGGGTACCCGCCGAGTAGGGGAGGAAGCATTTCTCCAGCTTAGCCTGAGTTAGGTAGTTATCATCGGAGCTGGGGGCAGAGCTCTCGCGGAGGACGAAGAGGAGAAGTTCACAGATAGTGGAGTACGCTTCGGGTAGGAAGTGCGGGAGGTTGGAGGGGCTGATAAACTGTTGGAAGATTGGGAGGGAGAAGTCGCGGATGTTTTCGACGAACATGTCGTAGAGGTTGTCTAGAGGCATGTAGTCTCGGGGCAGTTTCTCTGAGACGCTGGAGAGAATGCCGAGGAGTTGTTGGCGGAGGGCGAGGGAGGTGTAGCCGCCTAGCGGGGATAGATTGCTGCTTTCGTGGGAGGGTGTTTGGCTTGCTTTGGGCATCTTGACGGGGTCTGTGACTTCGTCCATTGCAATTCGCGTTCCTCTTCGGGTGCGCTTGCTACGTCGTGGTTTGCTAGCATTCGATCCTTTGGCTGGAGGTGATACCGAGGTTGAGCTTTGATAGGGTTCGAAATCCTCATCTGAATTATTCAGGTAGTCGCCGTAGTCATCCTTGTCAAGATTGATATCGCCCGCCCTCTTCTTGGCATTATGCGAGTCTTGCTTGGGAGTGGGTAATCTCAGCTCATCGTTGAATACTTCCTTGAATTCGCCGATGTTTGATTTGCCATTGGCGAAGATTGCTCGCATGATTCTGCGGTTCCGTCCAGCTGTGGTGTTCGAGGCGATGTAACGGAAGATCAGGCTTTCTCGAAAGATTGCAAGGTCATCATGCACCTCCACTACCTTCGACTTACGATTTTTTCCCCTGCGGATTTCTTTCTTGGCTGGTTCAGCGCCCTGCGAGCCCTCCCTCTCCGATCTCTGCGACACCTCCGACATCTCAGACCGTACCGAAGCATCTCTTTTGTTTTGTTTTGCCTCTAGGTACTTTTTTTCGCGCTCTTTCCAATCATCTTCAAGTACGTTGCACATGAACTGGAGCCATATCTGCCAGCGCTCCCACCGGGACGGGTAAAGTACTGAACAATTGAAGGCCCAGCCGACGGCATGCCAGAAATCCTCTGCGCAGCTCCACAGTGAATATGCTTGGTTGAATTTTGTATTCAGGGGTCTGGTATCAGGCTTGTCATTCTCCACAACCATCGGGCTCTCCCCGCGCCGTTTACCCTGTCGCGAAGATTCAAAGTGGGTGAAACTGAAAGCGAGATTAAACTTTGCATCCATGGGGCCAACAAGGGAGTTCGTCAATCGAAGAAATCGCAAAGCTGCATTGGGTGCTTCTTTTTCGTACTCGGATTCGGCGCGCGTTGTAGTTCTTGGATGCACAAGCATCGTACCTGCAACGGCCAGATGCTGCGGCAGTGGAATTACTGCGTTTGTCGATGAGATAGTGCCCGATGCAAGGACATTGAATAGAAGGCTATATGCTTGGGGCCCTGTTAAAGATAGCAAATAAATTTAGCAGAGGTTCTTCGAGGTTTTCTCACACGCGTTAATGCACAGGAAAGGGGAACATACATAGGCTATCTTCGAGGAAGATTTCTGTCTGTCGAGCCAGCTCCCATTGAAGTGGTACGGGTGACCGATATGGTAGCTCGTCCATAGTCACCATCTGTAAAGGGGGATTTTTGAAAAGCCAGCTGAAAAGACGCATTTGGAGCTGGCAACAACGCTTATCGATAAGGAGTTACGGCGGAGAGTGGCGTATGACGCGAGGTATATATCCGGCAGAACGGTAGGCACTTGGATGTATGTGACATTATTCAAGAGCATTAGGAAGGTTTCAAAAAGTTCCTAAAGATATGGTAGGATGATACCTAGGGCAACAAACCAAGAGAAATTTTGATAATTAATCCTATTAAAAGATTGATCTTCTTTGTTTCGAGGGCGGAGACAAAGGCGGTGGAAAACATGTAGACTATTAACGTGGCTGTATCTTGCTGCAAGGACCTGGGGCACGGATTGACAAGATCACTACAAGGTGAGTCCCATGGTCAATTTGGACCAAGTACAAAGGTGTTTGTGTTGGTCAAAGTCTGAAGCCCCTAAGCCCCAGTTTAGGTACGGAGCCCATAGCCCTGGAGACGTCAGCCCATTTCAAAAACATAGAAAGAAGCAAGGGGGCATCTAGCGATAGGCGTAGATGGTTTGGATGATAAAAAGACTTGGGAGTTACGAAAGTGGTTTTTGTTTTATGGATCTTGTGCAGGTGGTCTCATCAAACTCCGTGCATGTCCATGTAATGCAAGCATTGAAGTGCCTGGTTTATTCCTTTGCCCTCACAGTGATGGTCCAGCACCCCTGTTCTGCCCGACAAGATCTCACCAATCAAAGACTTAGAATTGTGAGCGGTGTGGCCACTTCAGTAGGCGGTGTGACTTTTTGGGAAGGCGGTAGCCGAGAGGAGCTGAAATACATGGACCGTCACTGTCGGCCTTTTGAGTTTTCAGCTTCTTCATGTCAATTGAATGTCTTCCTTAGGCGATCTACGGAGTACATATGTATCTGTAGGTAAGCCATGGCCCAAAATTAATGCTAGTCGAATTTTAGCTATGCAATTGGCTCCCGCATGGGCCTCCGCCAAGAGATGGACCCTGCATTACCGAAGCTCTACATAGGGACAGATTCTTGGTTCCATGTGCATATACTGCACAGCCGTGAGTTCCTTACATTGTACAGCCCAAGTTTTGAAGATCAGGGGTCAAAAAGTCAATTTGCAATGAAGAGAAAAAATGCAAAGCTTGAATACTTGGAAATCTAGTCAAGGATAAGCTACCTAGGGCAGGTTGAGAGGAGGGGAATCTGAAGTGTTTCGCAGTGACTTCTGCATCTTCATATTTGTTGGCAAAAAAAGAAAAATCAAACAGGTTGTGCAGTGGCCAAGAACGGTTCAAACCCCGTCAATCAATTTCGCAATGCAAAGGCCTTTTATGGAGAAAAGGAGGGGAAGGCGAGTGAGGTCAGAAAAATCGAGGAGGCCTTGGAGACGCCAACATGGATAGCGGAGAGAAAAAAATGGAAAGATTAAATGGGAGCCACTATGACTCCTCGGGTATATCGGAGAAGAGACCTATTCGCAACCGATGCGACTGCAGTTATTTAAAGGTTAGTGAATGAGACTTGTGATTTTGGTCCGAGGAGATATAACACACGAATGGTAGCTTGGGAATAACCACTCCCAATGTGGCTAGGAAGTTGATGGTGAAGTGGGTCAAATCGAAATGGGTGTAGTGAGTGCTGAGGAGGAAAAGCACGATAGGCACGCAGAGCAAGAACTTCTTAGAGGGTGTATACTGGTCACCGTTGTCGATCTGCTCCCACATGTTGAGATTGTCATAGGCACCGGCGTTGAATTCGAATGGGATGCCCCGCACCCAATGGAACATGAGGAAGGATCCGAACATGTAGCTGATATTGGTGAGGGTCCATGAAGTTTCCTGCGAGACGCCCGGGATGATGTCGTAAAAAATCTTGAGAGCGGCGATACACACAAAATGGATGGTCCAGGCACCTACAGTCAAAGCGAAATCCCACATTAGTCCTTGGCTTCGTGATGTGTGGTCTCCAGGAACTTTCGGCACTCACCCTTGGCATTCACCCAGTTTGCATTCAAATTTGGCAACGCGGCCTGATCACTGGTGTGCTCAATAGACTCGGCCGGCTCCTGGTAGATAATACTGCTGGACCGCCTCCGGCGACCTTGTTTTGAGGTCATGCTTGGAGATAACCGCTGTGGCCCTGTGTCAACATCCGGAGGGAAGGAGACCCCACGGGGGGCCAACAGGGAAGACACCTTTGAATTGTCGGACGCCAGCTTGACGGTTGGATCCAAAAGAACAGAATATGTAGAGAGAGAAGGAGGAAATAATGAATAGGAGCGTGGGGATGAGGTGGTACACGGCCCAAGACTGGAGTTTGCCGGTCGGATCGGCTTGCTGCGGTCACGGGGTGAGGAAGAGCTCTCTGATTCACCTACAACATAGGCATGTCGTTTTTTTGGCCTAGACTACTCCTTATCTTTTATTCTCTTTCAATTAGATATCTATAATTAGATCGAGTTTTTATTCTCCCTAATTTATTTTCTGCCTTTTAGATTGGCCTAGCAAAAGGCATATGCATAATTGGCCGTACGATATACGAACGTATGCATGTGCGGAAACTAGCCCGGAAGGACTGTACCTGCCCACGTCCTCTATATTAAGGATGCGGTAAAGGGGATGACTCCAAAATAGATGAACATATATACTTTCTCTTTGGTCTGATCATATGAGGATTTCTGGAAGTATTTTTTTATCCTTGACATTTCCTTTTAGGGGGCACTTGTATCTGAGACACAAACGGATGACTTAGATTTGGTTAATTTGTAGGACTTGGCTACCTTTGCTCTACTATGATGCCAAGGTTCTTCTGTACATATCTACAAAGACTATTTGGAAAGACCACTGAAACTTTAGTTAACAACCGTAATATCATCTTGGCCAAAAAGATTAGATTACTAAATTTATCCCTCGTCAAGGACAGAGGCTGCAAAAGGCCAAATTTTTTTTTTGCAATTATACCGTCGAATCTTGCGGCCGAAGTGTTCGCACAGTAAGAATTTTCTAACAGCATAATATCAAAAAGTGTATAGAGATACATCCTGAGTGAAAATGTTGTATGAATGCAATACTATGCCGTGTCTGGAGCGTGGTCTTCAGGCTCAGCCCTCGAACCTTTCCATTCCTGTTGATAGTTTGAATCCAGCCCTAGGGATTAAAGGTCAATCGGGCGTCAGAATAATGGATAAGAATCATGGATATACAGTGATCTAGGCTGCTAGGCTGCGCTAGGTGATAAATTTCCCGCCAGCTGCTTCCAATGAGCATAGGTCTAGGTCGTTGGTGCCAAAATTCATGAACTGGAGTCGTAGCGATGGGCTCCCGAGCGTAGATTTCATCCTAGCTATAGTGAGGAACTGGAACTCAATATTTCAAGTTTGCTATCCGATAAACTACTAGATAACTCTTTAGACCTATTGAAGGTCATCTGCTGACCTAGAAATCCACAAATCCTATCAGCCTAGGAAAATGCATTCATTCCGCATAAGTCCAGCACCCAGCTTGTATAAACTGAGGTAGCTCATGGTTAGAGCATTGGTTAAGATGCTATCCTCACCATCCGGTCATTTCCGTGCTTATTCGTAGTCTTGTCTGTCATCTGCAAAGAAGAGTAGATGGACCTCTGGTTTTTGTGCACTAAGAGCTAGTACTGGCTAGATAGTTCACCAATACTACCATAATAAATTTGTAATAAATACGAATCGCTGAACGCTAATGTGGCCTCTGTCATTGACGGCGTAATACGAAGGAGGAAGAGATCATAAACGGGGACTTGAGGTTAGGATAGAAGGCAAGAGTGCCCCAACTTCATGGATCTAAACACATTGAATTACTGCGGTTTGTGAGCTTCCACCCAGTCGCGGTTCGTCTTTGCAACATAGCAGACAACACTTTCAATATTCAGCATGATGATCCGTGAGATCCATAGTAGCATTAGGCACTTGGCACTATGTTGTGTAAAAGACGGCGTCAACCCCACTCTTGGTATTGATCATTTTGATTTGTTCTGCTCCACGGGTCGAGATTATCCCTAAGACAAGGCCCCGTCTGAAGCATTTCTAATGACTCAGTATTGGAGTTGGCGTGCTGGATCATAATCCGAACTATCATTCAGACCTTGACAAATTCATACCTGAAGTTGAATGTTGCCTTACTAGTTCCGATTGTCTGCCCGCTGTCTAGATCAGGTCAATATCATGTTGATGATGACTATCTGACCTGTTGGCCCTAATCTAAGAATCATCAATCGTGCATCTTCCTGTATTTTCAAACTTACATGCTTCCGATTAGCACCTCTGCATGAAAGTCTCGGTTGTTTCTGACCTCAGCATGGCCTGTTAGTGCTCTGTGTCGATTTATTAGAAGAAAGCATTGTCTTAAAATCAGATTAGTTTATAGTCCCCGCCCTTATACAATGCAAGAATAGTCGGTCAATACCCAAGCTTTTTTAGCTGCTCTTTTTAATTGTTCGATGTAGTTACAAGACACTTTTCCCGAACTTTTCCCGAACTCAGACCAGGGGTCTGCGGCTTATCGGCTTATCGCCGTATCCCGTAATTGCGCGAGTGGTCGACATCGTCTACCGTGAAATTTTTGGGGACCCAAATTCTAAATCCTCCTAGACTCTCGCTCTGTCTGTATTCTAATACTCTTATCCCAGATTATTCAACTCATTGTATCTATGACAAACTCATCAGATGAAGAGGCTGATTCACGCACAGCCCTAGTTGGCGCACCACGCACTCGGTCGAATCCGCGTTCCACTTTGCGCTCCGCATCGCACGACAGCACCCGCCCGGCCAAGAGACAACGCCGCAACAGAAATAAGAAGGACTCAGATCTTGCAGACTTTGTTCCAAAGGGTGTTGCATTTAGTTCCATATCCTTGCCAGTGGATGATCCAGACAACACATCTAGCTCTGGATCTAGTTCAGCCTCAAGTGAAGATTCCGATTCTGACGCGGACCCAACCGCTATCGTAAACCCACACGCCGGCAACACCGCGCCTGCGATTAGCTGGAACCAGGGTCGGAAGGCTGCAGTGCGCACAACGCTTGGAAAACGATCGGCACCAACAAGCGAGAAGCCTACTCAATCTGAAGCGGTGAATGACAAATATTGGCGCAGTCGCAGTGCGTCTGTTTCCGCCAATGGTGAAGACAAGCCCGCCACAAATAACCAATCTCAGATTGATGATGAGCTGGAAGATGGAGAAATTGATTCCAAGAGTGACACAGAGGATTCAGATTCTCTTGGTTCTGAAGCCGATGATTCTATCCTGCTGAATATAGGGGATAAGATGGGAATAGATAGTGCCATTGACTATGATCCTGCCACTCTGGCTCATCAGCATGGTTCCACCACTGGAAACTCAAATCTGAAAGGCGCATCTACACAAATTGGACCTGGGTCCAAAGAGGAAGCGTTCCGGCTTTTCTCAATCAAATATCCAAATGCGCCCATTGCTTTGGTGGATCTAAGCCAGACAGACCTTGAGATCCTTGCGAAGTACGTCTTTTTTGATCGCAACATTCATGATATAGATCTCAAACTTCCTATCTCGTGCATTGAATGTCAACGTGAGGGCCATGTGGCAGATGTCTGCCCAGCAAAAGAGGTATGTTCTATCTGGCATCCAGTTACTTATTTTTCACTTCACTAATCTCCAACATGAAGTGTGAACACTGTGGTGCCTGGAATCAGCACCAAAGTAGTACATGTCCCGACTGGCGACGTTGCCAACGATGCCGCGAACGTGGCCATGACGAGCCGCAATGCAGTGCAAAGCTACGCAATTTCGCACACGAAGTGCCCTGTGACTACTGTGGAAATGAGCACTTGGAAACCGAATGCGACTCTCTGTGGAGGTTCCCAATCAGGGATCTTCACTCCAACCAAGTCATAGTCTCAATCTGCTGTGCAAATTGCTGCAGTGCGAAGCATCTTGTAGGAGATTGCCCAGCTACTAGCTTGCGCATGGCAACCACAAAGTCATCATCATTTACACTGAAGGGTATCGATCCCGACATGATCACGAACCTCAACACCGTCATCCCGCCCCGAGAGAGCCGCCCACCAAGCCAAGCTTCATCCCGCGGAAGAAACAGGGGATGGTCTCCAGCTCCATCCCCAGACGAAGATGACATGATGTCCCGCGTATCCCGCGGCCGAGGACGGCCCGTCCCTGCCCCACGTGGCAACATCCGTGGCAGTATCAAGTTCGCAAGCGGAGTTGGAGCCAAACGTGGTGATGATCCACTGTCCAGAGGACCTTCTCGTGGTCGATCAGCATTCTCTGGAAACAACCATCGCGCTCGCTCCCCGAACCCGCCCCTTCCACGGGGTCCTCCCCCACCAAGAGGCGGTGGCCGAGGCCGTGGACCGCAACGAGGAGGAGGATTCTCACGCGGACCGCGTGGCGGCGGTGGCAGAGGCCGCGGGTGGTAAAAAGGAGGTCAGGTGAGAAGTGCGCAGGAGATACCGGCGAAGCCATGTACATAGCAAAAAGCACAGTGTCAACCATTCCTCTCAGCTTCACCTGAGAATGTATGTACGATTAAATGACAGTGAATTCGAACAACTCTCACTTCAGCAAGTATGTTTCTCATAATGTACGTAGTACATGTACATGCTGCTCAGGCGGACTATCTAACATACTCATCAACCGGCATCCTCTCGGTTGATCCCATAATGAGATTACATGGCTCTATCATCTCATCACGCGCCGTGCTCATCATTCTCTCTAGTCCCGGCAAACCCGACCTCCAGGATACCGACCAGATCATCCAGTTGCTTAATGCAAAGATCCGTATGCGGATGTTCCTTCAAATGCACATTCCGCTCATTCAAAAGTAACACTGTCGCAGCGCCCGCCAAATGCCCAGCCGTCATATCATCAATGCTATCACCAACCATAATCAAATTCTCCCCATTAGGGAGACCCCATGCACTCGCAATGTGCAAAATGCCGGCTGGATCAGGCTTCGGCAGGAGATTAGGCGTGTCGCGTGTGATGATTGGTAGGAAGACATGACCGTCAAGATGGTTGTTAATCAGGTTCTGGACTGGTGCTCTGAAGTTGTGAGTTAGCGCTGTGTGTAAGTTGCATAACCGAATTTAGGGTTCATGGACGGATTGGAGATTCCAAGGTTATATCCCGTTCGAGATAATAGCTTGTACAACGTACTCGAAGTTGCGCGTGCAGAGCGCCCGTCGTAAGCCGCGCGATTCAAGATAGTCCATTAAACGAACCAGGCCGGGCTGTGGCTGCTGGTGAGCCATAGCTCGGCGCTCTACTGCTTGCACCTTGGATACAGCTATGGCTTGGTCTGCGGTTGGGAGTTCACGGATGTGCTGGAGGATGTCGATGGAGCGATCGATTCCGAGTGCTTCTCTATGCCGGGGGATTTGTTAGAAGGAGAACAAGAAGGGCTAGGTATTGAATAGCTTGCAGGCAGTAAGTCATACCTCATTTCGCTGAACATGTAGTGCTGTGGTAAACTGCTCAAGGTTAGCTAGGGTTCGGTCAATATAAATTTGACTTTAAAAAGACAGAGTGGTAAGATCGGAATCTGCGACTATGCTCAATTTCTCAGTGATTAATATGCAAGGAAGCATAAAACCTTGGAAGCAAGAGGCATATGATGTAAAAATAGAAGAGTATGAAACATCCTCCAGTCAACTACTACGTCCCAGACCCCAGGCCGCAGTGATTTTGGTCTAACTTGAAGCAAATTACCAAGCAAATGTAGGGCTAATCCAAAAAACCCCAAGTCATCCGTGGAGATCTTCAGGGATCTGGGTTCAGCACAAGGCATCATATGGCATACTTTCCCAAACAGGAAATGAATGTTTCCGCCTGAATCTCAAATTGATGCCTTAATTCTCATTCCTGCCCCAATCTCAAATATAGCACCCAAGATGTGTATGTGAGCTTTTCAAAATGTACGCAAAATAGCCAATAGAACAGAGAGAAGAACAGCGCATGAATTGTGTAAAGTATTAGGAAACGAAAGAGTGACTCACCACAAAGTTCCATCCACATCAAACACAATTCCCTTCAATAGAGGGGCAGCCGACGTCCCGACAGAACCGAGAGGTGCAAACTTTCGCGGAAGTTGTTTACAGGCGATAGCAGACATGATGGAACAAGTTGTGTGCCTTATATTGGACATGGAATAGATCTCGGGAGAGAGAGAGAGGTTGAAGAGGTGGAGTTAGCTAAGTGGGGCCGCGGGAACGATCGATCAAGGTTCCAAGGTTCCTTCTATTTTGAGATTCTCCAAGGTTTTGAGATCCATGGGTGTCCACAGGTTGAAATGTCGGAAATTAGGTAACGTCCTCCCCCTTCCCCCGAAACTATGGGATGATTATAGAAATCTATGGTTTCAATAATGCATGGGACGACCGGTATTAAAACTCAGAATTCTTTAACTAACCAAAATGATACGATCCGCTCTTTTCCAATCTGTTAGCACTTTAACAGATAATACATTATAGCCAATTGATAGATTATGCTTTGCTAAGTAGGCGATTGTAGTAGGGAGGAGATAGGTTCATTCCTCTTGCTAACTTTCTAGCTAGTAAGGAATGTTGATTCCTTATGTAGCTAGTCAGGAGGCAATTAGAAGATATGATGTAACCTCATTATGATATTTTATTATCTCACGATAATCAAAAAATATCAAATCTTGAATATCTCCTTCAATAAAACCACCATCCAGGTTTTCGAGAAAGAGTTGCTGTGTGGTTTAACGATGCGTGTGTGATAAAAGAAATATCACGTTGAAGAGCTCAACCTCCGTCTCCTTATTTCTTATGATGTTATATAAAACTAAGGTGTATTTACAACCGAAATGCTTTGCCTCAGGACGAAAAAATAGCCTACCGATTCATAAGAAAGAATGTGATCTTCATGCCATATTCTATCATGAGATATTATCAAATCAACTCTGCGGCGCAGTCAGACATATTCATGACTCCTCATCCAGCTAACCAAGGATCCTACAAAAGCTTCTTGGCTATTACTCTTTCCTCAGGCATCCAAGTGAGAGCCCCTCGTATGAACCGCAAGAAGCCTGACTGATCATTAAGTCGAGATTCTAGTGCTTCAAATGTCCTGACAGAGATCGTTAGGTTCAACAACGTATGGATTACCAATGGAAGTGGTATGAAAAAAATACTCTAAATTTTCCAACTAAAGAATAACAAGATCCGCGCCTTTTAAACAATCAATGCGGATAAGGCTAACTAAACGATAACTATATATCATTTGTATGTAAGGATGCTGAAGGCAGCAGGAAGCATATTGATCGCCCCTCGGAAATCGCGGTCACCAAAACCCCTTTCATATGTTCAAAGACCGAGGAGCTCGTTTGGAAGTGGGAACAGGCAAAGCTCTGTGGCCAGAGTATCAACATCACACTCTCTTCCACCATAATTCCACAAGGTCACCCACCAAACAAAGCTGATAGCCGAGGCGAATTCGTATCTATCGAGAATGGCATCGTTCATGTCTTCCCTCAGGCACAGCTCACGAACCTGGAACCGCACAACTATCAGATCGGAATTCTGGAGGCAGCACGTTCAGCGAACCTGAAGATTATCCTTCTCGGTGCGAAAAAGGCGAACCATACAAAAGGTCTCAGGGGAAGTCTCATTCCCCTCCAGCATTCCGTGTTGGAGAAAGTCCCTCCGATTTTCAATAGCTGGTCAACTGATTTCTGGGTATCGGACTCAGTTGTAATTGATTCAAAGTCGATGGAGGAGGCCCAATTGATACTCAAGGCTATGCGTCCAGAGAGCTTCGATGAAAGAGCATCTGTCTGTGTTGGCCTTCCAGTCACAATCTTCGGGCCATTATTCAACACACTGATTTCGAAATGGAGCGCGAGTGCCGCTTCTTTCGAGTACTCCAACGGCTTTATCTGGATATACTCCGCAGTGGATCCGACAATCTTTAAGATACACGCGGGTGAATCCAGTAGTTCCACCAATCATTCAGTTTCCTCCATGCTGAAGCGAATGAGCGGAAAATCTTGGCTTGTTAGGGCAAAGCTCGTGTTCAGACTCGGAACGTCGAGTATAAAGAAAGCTTTGTTTACAATTATAATTCTGGGGTGGCCTGCTCGCCTAGGAGTTCGTTTGGCACCTGCCTTTCTAGGGAACTAATTAAGAACTTCAGTGCACGACGACAATCCTAGGAGATATAATACTAAATCTAAATGGAAATGCGTCTAGCCTCAGTGCCCCGCTGGCCATCAAGTAGGGACTGGGCAGGAATATTGAGCCAGCGCTTGAGCTTTCCGAATTCGTTCTCAAGCTCAAATCCCTGCTTCTCGATATCACGCAAGCGCTGTTCCGCCATTTTTTCCATATCACTCAAGCGCTGTTCTGCTATTTCTATATCACACAAACGCTGTTCCACTTTTTCTTCCATATCAAGCTCATGCTGTTGCGCTTGTTCTTTCATATCTCTCACGTGCTTTTGCGCTTGTTTGTCCATTTCCTCCATACATTCACTAGCCGTATTGTTTACCTCGGAGTTACCAGCCTGGACCTGTTCAAGAATATCGACTTCGTGATGACTAAAGTCGCTCAAGGCACGATCGACAATCTTGTCGATGTCGATAACATGTAATTTGAGGCGGCGTTCAATCATCTTATCGACGTGTTGTTTGATTATCTCGACATTGGCAAATCCGACTTTCTCAAACTCGGATGGTAGGTCAGTGTGTTCTGGCATGGCCAGTAGATGTTGCCGTCCTGACCTGATAATGAGTTCGCGGATCTGGTCATCGGAAAACCCGCGAAGCTCAAATGCAATACGCGTAATTCCGTTGTGATCTAAGTCGTCGGGAGAGGACGCATGCGTAAAGTTGGTTGGGCGTATTGAGGCCGGTGACAGGGAGAGAACACTCGGTGTATTGACTTCTGTGGGAGTGGGAGAGGGAGAGCCTGGCGGAGGGGATGTAAGGAGTAGTTTTCTTTGTCTTTCATCAGGTGACCATGGGTCTGAATACTATTCATGAGCCACTGTGTAACTTAATAAGGCGGTAAGAACATACCTCTGCCTCGTTTTCCAATCATCTGTTTAGGCACGGATTGCTCATATCGGGGTGGATCCACCTGCTGCTTGGACACGAGTGTGTCACAATATGAGGGTGGGTCGGGCGGACTAAAAACACGCCAAGTTGTCCGGACCATGCGTTGACGTTTAGTGCCGAAAAGCTTTTCCCGCAGATTGCTTTTTCGTAGGGCACCCAAGAAAGCTTTTAGCTGACCACGTTCTTCGTCCCCAAATTGTCGTTGGGAAATGTGTAGAAGTAGAGATTTGGATTGACAGATTTTCGCAAATGCAGCAAAATTCAAGTCTGTAGGATCGGCTGGGCTTAGAGTCTCCACTCCGGACGGACAAAGAACAATACCAGTATTATTGAGTATCAGACGCAGTGTTGAGACGGCTGAAGGTTCGGTCTCAGGCGCCGGGAGCTTGGTAAGCAAACGGTATGGACAGAGGTCGTCGTCACTTGCCCAGACTAATTCACAATTTCCGACTATTTCTGGAGGGATAATCAACGTCAGCACCTGTGATCTGCCTCTCAGGTTAGCAAGCTGTGCCGTAAACCGAATCGAGATGGATCCTTCGTTGGCAGTTCTATCATGGGCAATAAAAAGGCGAGTACGACAAGAAAATTCGGAATCGGGTATAGAAACAAGGACTGCCTTATTCTTCATGACGCAGTGCGGGTTTTGTGATGTGGTGGTCATTGTGTTGTTGCAACATTCGCTGGATTAGAAAGCAGAACCCTCAATGAATTGAGTAACCCTCCCACCCTGGCTTTAAAATAGAGTTGAGCAGCCCTGACTCGCGTAAAATGTTGGATGAATAATGCTAGCAAGATGAGAGTAAAGTGGTAAAGTTTTTGCGGCCTTGCAACGAGTACATGCCCTCTCCGAAGTCAACAAGGTGAAATCAGAGAGTCAGATGATGGCAGGACTGGCGACGCGAACGGCAAAAAGCAATACTTCATTTACAGGATGATGGTGTTAGAGGAAGAAGGTGAAGAGGAAACGCCCAGAGAGAACGAGGAAGGGGAGGCTGGGGGCTTGGCGGATTTGGAGACTTGATCACGTGATCGGATACCGGACTCCAGACTCGAACGCAGTTCGGATTTCAGTATGTTTTCTTACATCCTCCGTTTCATTCATGGTCAAGATGATTTAAACCCGTTCCAAGTTTTTAAAAAGACGTTTACAAGGATTCAAGAACAGGAAATTTGTTATGTACAATGATCTACAAGACGAATAATTTACGCGCTATTCATGTCTGGACTAGCTTATCATGTGATTAGTTTTTGAAAGCTGATCTGTTTGTTCCCGGCATGGAAGGTGATACCGGTCGCTACTGTCTCACAATACCAACACTTTATGATTGATCGCATTCTTCCGGTGAAATCGAGGGTTGCGGCTTGTACATATCTTCTCATCGTTCATGTGGCCTAGGTCTTCAACTGGTTTCCAACTAGTCCAAATTTGTCTCATCCAATAGGAATGGATACTCAAGTGGGGCCCCCTTCCCATGGCTACAACTTTGACCGTATGTTGTAGAAAGAATGAATCATCGATCCTGACTGAGCTGGTCTGGTCAATTCTTAATCATGTTTTAGATGTCCCAGTAGTCGTTTCCTAAATTCCTTGGCTGTCAAAGGTACCTACAATGCGTAAGCCTAGTAACGAGAAACCCTGGCGGCCCATTTATGTATTTGTGATCTTTTTCCGTTGATGTGCCCAGCCAAGACTCCTAGATGACCGACTTCGCATCGTGGTCGCTCCTGAAAAAGTTCGTCTCCAACCACGGCCGGAAGATGGTTACGCTTGGTCCGTCACGAGCACAAACGCCGATTTATTCAAATCTAGCTTGAGTAGCTGCAATATACATCTATACCAGTTGATTCGCGAAGGAATCGGACATACATTCGAGGCTGTTTCCACAAAAACCTTGAGAACCTCGCAGTCGATTATGAGAGATCTTCTAGAGGTGAGCACGTTGTTAGACATCCTTGTTGAAATCGCATTGCTGACGGAGCGTAAAGGAGGAGAGTGTCGGGGGTCGAACGAATGGTTTTTTTACGGCAGAGATTTGCAAGCTTCAGGCGACCAACAGCCACATAGAAACCCAGTTGGACCATGCTCGTGGCCAACTGGATGAATCTCTCCGCGAAGGTCATATGCTCCACGTCACGGTCGACCAACTTCGCCACAAGATGCGAGTTCTTGGGGTGGAAAATAAGAAACTACGTGATGAACTCGTAGAGACAAGAGCGGGTATTGCTGGGGTAATGCAAACACTGAACTCATTGCAAACGGAGGGAATGGAGATTAAATTTGACGACATCGAGGGCAGCGAAACATCTGCCATTGATATCCTTTCAGTGGAAGGCGAGATTTGAATATGGCTGAAGGACTCGTGACTCAGCCCCTGAATTCGTGTGCTGCCGAGAGCTTTGCATATATACTATTATGGTTACGGGCCGCCAGGAATGAGTATAAAGCGGTATAAGCTGAGAGTGTAATATACACGGCTTGAAGAATGGTACAGCCACATCCATGAAGTACGTGTAGCCTGTAAGAATTTTGATATCAAGTGTTGATTTCAGTCTCTCATTTCTTTATGAAACAACATGTAACAGCATTTGCACGAACTATGACAATGGTAAATAGAAGTCACCGAGTGAGCGTGACGTAACCTAGGTTCAACCCTTTGACAACGATTGGTCTTTTAGTCTTGATAATCTAGCGAGGAGGACTATCCGAGTGCATCCCCAATGCTATGAGACTTGAATCTGGGACTCTGCATGCTTCAGCGGAAGAGCGCATTTTATATAAACTCTTGGCAGGTACTTCCTATGTAATCCTCGGCACAACTTTCCTGCGCACAGCATTCCTATCTCCTCTATGTACCCACGCGGCAAACTGTTCCAATTGGTGGCTACTCACGAATCCACTCGTTTCGGACATTGTACCACTAGCAGCAAGCGTCGGGGGCGGTATCTCTGTGGTCTTCATCACACAAATCAATCGAATATATCTCTTAGGGCAAACACGGATTGTTGTCTTTCTTTAGTCTATCCGGTCGAATCTAAGTAAGTACATTGAGTTTCAGTCATTGTTGCCCCGGCGTAGAGACCAGCTGGTTTTCTGGCCCTCTGCAGCTTTGTTGTGGCCCTGCTTTACCATTCTCTGAATCTCAGTCTCCACGACCACCGATCTAGCAAAGATCTCATCCAATTCCTTACGCACGGTTTTATGCCGGGCGCTTTGGTCGATCGATGACCTCTCAACGAACCTATTCAAGGGATTAGCGCTTGATTTCTTATCCAAGGGTTGACTCTAACTGACTTCATGCGGGTATGTAGTCTATTGGCTGTTAGCGGGGAAATACATAATCATGTCATGTGGGAAGTTTGGTACTTACTCTTCCACGCATTCGAGAGCAACCGTATTGCTGTTCCCAGGGAGAAAAGTCTGTTCGGGAGCCTCCAAGTTCGTTTTATGTGTAGACGCCATTTAAGAAATGAAAGCAGCAAAGAAATACATTCTTGACAATCTTGAAAAAGGATTCATTGTTCCAAGCTCAGCTCCATACGCATCCCCGATTCTGATGGCGAAAAAAACCTAGTGGAGGACTTCGATTCTGTGTTGACTTCCGGAGACTGAACGCAATCACCAAGAAAGACTGTTACCCCCTGCCGTTGATTGACAAGGTATTACAACGAACAAGCAAGGCGAAGATCTATACGAAGCTTGATATCCAGCAAGGCTTCCACCGGATTCGTTTGACACCAGGAGCGGAGGACCTTACTACATTTCGTACGAGATGTGGATCCTTTAAGTACAAGGTGACACCATTTGGTTTGACGAACGGACCGGCGACCTTCCAGAGATTCATGAATGATGTTCTTCGAGAATGCTTAGACGAGTACGCAGTCGCCTTCGTGGATGACATCTTGATCTACAGTGAGAACGTCGAAGATCACCAGCGACAGGTCAGAGAAGTACTCCGTCGTCTACAGAAAGCAGGGTTACAAGTGGCCCTATCAAAATCCGAATTTTCAGTGAAGAAGACCAGGTTCCTTGGATTCATTGTGAGCACCGATGGTATAGCGGTGGATCCAGAGAAGATTCGTGTGGTCCAATCATGGACGATACCGACCACAGTGAAAGGAATACAGTCATTCTTAGGATTCTGCAACTTCTACCGACGATTTAGTCAGGGATATAGTGCTATTTCGAAACCATTGCATCGACTAACAAGACAAGATATTCCGTTCGAGTGGTCAGAGAATTGTGAAAAGGCATTCCAAACTCTGAAGAAGAAGCTAGTTAGTGCACCGATCCTCCGGCACTACGATCCAGTTCGACAAACCCGAGTTGAGACAGACGTATCTGATGGAGTTCTAGGAGCGGTGCTCTCCCAGTACTATGAACAGGAAGATTTCTGGCACCCGGTGGCCTTCTATTCGAAAACAATGCAACCCGCAGAGGTAAATTATGAAGTTCGCGACAAAGAGCTTCTTGCAATTGTTCGTGCTTTACAGGAATGGAGACCTGAACTTGAAGTCCTATCCCAGGAGGATCGTTTAGAGATATTCACTGACCATCAGTCACTTGAGTACTTCATGACAACCCGACAAATGAACCAACGACAGGCGAGATGGAATGAGTTCCTATCTCAGTTCCGTTTCGTGATCAAATACCGTCCCGGGAAGAAGAATATTATTGCTGATGTCCTATCACGAAAAGAATCTCCTTGTGTAGACAATGGACGACAGTTTGTGATGCTTCCGAAAGACTGTCTTGAAGAGGGAGTCTACCCAACTCATCTGGCTCCTGTTCACTCAGAAGAAACAGAGACGATTGGGATCGTTGAACGGATAAAGGAAGCCAACCGCCAGAGCTCAGATTTAGACGAATTCCGTCAGATGGCGCAGGATAGAGGCAATTCCCGATGGACATTATTAGATGGATTGCTTCTTTACGAAGGACGACTTGAGGTTCCTAATGAAGGAGACCTTTGTGCCCGACTACCTGATGAGATACACCGTCAGCCGCTGACCGCACATCCTGGTATCGAGAAACTGAAGAAACTGGTATCTACAAGATATCACTGGTTTGGATGGGTAACAGACGTAAAGCGATACGTTGATGTTGATAACTGTCTGATCTGCAAACGCACGAAAACTTGGCGAGATCGAACACCGGGATTATTACGGCCTCTACCAGTTCCTGAAAGAACCTGGCAGCCTATCTCGATGGATTTCCGATCATTTCCGAAGGATCGTCATGGCTATGATGCTGTCCTTGTTGTGGTTGACCGACTGAGCAAAAGACCAATATCCATCCCTTGTCACAAAGATACGAACGCCAAACAGATGGCCCGACTGTTTATTGATCATGTCATTCGAATCACAGGGATTCCAGAAACAGTTGTCTCCGATCGTGGAGGTCAGTTTATCTCCGAATTCTGGAACGAATTCTGTAGGATCCTTGGAATCAAAAGGAAACTATCAACTGCACATCACCCTCAGACGGATGGACAGAGTGAGATCGCAAATCAGTATATGGCCCAGAGGTTACGGCCGTACGTTGAACAGAACCAGGATAACTGGTCGGAAATCCTACCGATGGTTGATTTCGCAGCCTCGATTCTCCCCCAGGACACAACGAAGAAATCACCTTTCTTTGTAGAAAGGGGATACGAACCTTCGATGACGTCTGACTGGAAAGACCAAGAGACACTGACTCCAAACGAGCAAGATGCGGTGCAAATGCTCTCCGAGTTACAGGACATCTGGACTCAGACAAAGGAGCAAATCGCGAAGTCGCAGCAATTGCAGATTCGTCAAGCAAATAAGCATCGTCGAGAAGAGGATTTTGGAGTTGGTGACTTAGTCTTTATCACAACAAAAGACTGGTTACAAGATCGGCCAAGCAGAAAGCTTTCACACCTAGCCAGTGGACCATACAGGATCATCGAAAAAGTAGGCAGTTCCTACAAGATAGATCTACCGGACGCGATTCGAGTACACCCCATCTTTCATCCAAGTAAGTTGCGAAAGGCAGCTACAACGGAGCCCTTAGAAGGACAACATGTGGATCCGCCTCCACCGATACAGGTTGGAGAGACAGACGAGTGGGAGGCCGAGAAGATTTTAGATGCCAGGACACATTACCGGAAGCTACAGTGCAGAGTGCAGTGGTTAGGAAATGACCTCGATCTGCAGTGGTATCCTGCCTAGACTTCCGCAAAGCTCGAAAAGCCCGAAACCCGACCCTTTTGAGGGTCGAGTCGGGTCGGATTTCGGGCTTTTCGAGCTTTGCGGAAGTCTAGTTATGCCGAAGTCTACTAGGAGTCCCGATTTAAAATATAAGCTTCGCTATAATCGGCGCTACTTTTACCTCTACTAATATTAATTCCTCCCTAAGCGTTATTAAGATATCCGCTTTAAATAATTCCTCCATTATCTCTGCTCTTAGCTGCTCTGGAGCGGGCATTCTAGTAAAAAAAAAAATCCTAAAATTACTAGCTTTTCTACACAACTTATATATCACACGAGGTTAGTCGTGTTTACACTGTTTATAGTGCTATAGCACTCCCGCTGTAGCACTACAGCACCGAACCAAAGGCCTAGTTACTAGTTTTGACCGCCACCAGGAGCGCCCATTATTGGCCAAATGATGTTCAACTTTATCAAGCTCCCCTGAAAGAAAATATTGACAATGCTGCTAGCCCACTACGACACAATTTAGGCATGTAGGATTAGAAAGGATCAAAAATTTGGCGTCGAGCACATTTTTATAGAGCAAACGAGATCTTGAAATTCGAATGCCTGACCGCCACGCACAAGGATATCTCTGCAGTCGAGCATAATGTATGAATGCAGCTACAATGAGTTCCCTTTTCCCTGAAGTTTTTGGTGAAATCAGATTTAGACTTAATTAAATATGTTGTTTTCCTTGAAACTAAGGCATCTTCTGGTTCTTTCCTTCTTTAACCCGAGTATCTGTAGTTTCCTCGACTGTAAATAGAAATCATGACCTAGGTGGTAGTTCCAAACGAACCAACTATATCTTTTCCAAGTCACCGGCTGAATCGCCTCGTATCAATCATGGACCAAAAGCCTTTCGCAGTTTTCCCAATATCCCTCCTCAACACTATACGCCTCATTGGGTCTCTCTCCTGGCTGCAACTGCTCTACGCCGTCTCTTTCCTTGCACGACCATTCTGGAACACACGGCGCGAGTTTCCACCCTTTAACAGAGTCATTAGCCACACAGAAACAAGAATCATCAACACCTTTCTCGGCACTGCCCCACTCTCAGCCTATAGTTCCACAACAGCAGAGCGCCAGTGGTACCTCTCATCGGGCAATGACACTCTGAACCACGCAAAAACCACCCGCACTACCTCCCAACCCATTCCTCACTCGCTAGCCACATCAACCTGGCCACAACAGGGACACCAAGACTCGGAGTCCTCATCGTCAGAGCAAGATACTCCCACCTCACAGCCAGACACCGAAAACTCCCGAGCAAACTCCCCCATTTACCAAACCGTGCGCAAACTTCGATCCAGCACACGAGGCAGCATCTCAAAGATCGCCAGCTCGGCAAAATCCATTTTCCGACAGCCGCTAACCGTTCTCCCACGGAATTTGGATGGCTCAGCTCTAGATGAGGAACGCGCCGAGCCAGACCTGGTTCCAGTTCCCGTGCGCACTTCGCAGCCTCATTTCGTCCAGAACACGACTTTCTCCGTACCCATGTCTGCGTCTGCACGTGTCGCAGATCACTTCAGTGACCCTGGTCCATCGATTGGAATCAAGGTGCAGCAGCCGGTCTCGTTCGGGGCTACTATTGATGCGGTCGTTAATTCGGAAACGGTGCAGATGAATCGCACACGCAAGTATCACTCGATTGAGAGTTATCCTGGGAAGTTTCCTGTTAGTGATGCGATGAATTATAGCTCCCTTGCTACCGCATATGCTGTTAGAGGGAGGGGGACTACCTCTGTTCGACCTTTCTCGGACTACTAGGGCTTTGGGGGGTGGGGGGTGATTGGGCATTCTTGTGACTAGACTCTGGAGAAGAAATTATGACGATTGTGGTTTTGTTTGTCTAAAGTTTTTGATGGTCGAAGTTGATTATTTCATGGAACATGCAGAGTCAGCATTGGACTTCGGATTCCACTATTAAATATTATTCATTACCAAAGATCAGGTCTATCTTTCTTGTCATTCAATCTTATATTGCCGTTCCATTCTTTCCAATGCTTCGATACGAAAATGGGATATCGTCACGTTTCTGTGTTTCGTTTTACTCCCATTCCCAAGACTCGCTATCACCCCTGAACTGGCCAGCTCTAGCACTACGAACCACCCAAGCTTAATGGAGGGGATACGACCGACTCAAATGAAATGGATAAAGATTTTGGACTGTCTACTTGATAATACACCAGTCGACCCAAGTCAATAATAACGCCAACAACACCAAATACTGACATACAACGTAAAACAATCCCACACTACCCCTTCATTTCTCCGTCTGCCATCCCTCCCATCTCTCAAAGTCCCCCGTATCCAAATCAAACAAATCCAAAATACGCCCCACAGTCTGATTAACCAAGTCATCCACCGACGCAGCCCGGATATAGTACGCCGGCACCGGAGGAAAGATGATGGCACCAGCGCGGGAAACCTCTAACATATTACTCAGATGAATATCGCTAAGCGGGGTCTCTCTCGCAACAAGCACAAGTTTCCGTCTCTCTTTTAACATAACATCTGCACTACGCGAGATCAAATCATCACAGAATCCACTGCGAATAGCAGCAAGTGTCTTCATGCTGCATGGAACAACGATCATGCCATCGGTCTTGAAAGACCCACTAGCAATCGGCGCAGCCATATCGTTGATGCTGTGCACATGGTCTGCCAATGCTTTGACATTCGATGGGTGGTAGTCGGTTTCGTATTTGATGGTTGCCTCGGCCCATTTGCTTATGACCAAGTGGGTCTCAACGTTTAGGCGACGGAGCGCGATGAGCGCTTTGATTCCGAGAATTGCGCCCGTTGCGCCGGTCATTGCGACCACGATGCGTCTGCGGCGCGTGGGTTGAGGGACATGGTCGATGGTTGGCATTGTTGATTCGGTTGGGCTGCCTCCGAGAGAGTTGCGACGGGATTATTGTGTGTGGGCTCTAGAAAGAAGAGACAGAGAAAGCATCGATTGAAGGCTTGTGGAAGAGGTTGTTTTGGTCTTGTTGGGTGGCGGTTTGATTTGTATCCTGTGGAGCTGTGAAGACTGGGGGTGAAAGATCTGAGCCCGGCAACCCTGACTTGTTTTATATGAAGATCTGGTAAAATCCCAATTCTAGCCAGATCTCATAGGCTTTTGGGTGTTTTTTTTTGGCTGGAAGTTATCGTGTGGCCTGAGAATCATTTCGTCGGTCCGATTTTGGGGACCGATCAGATCCCTCCGAGACCCGATGCCGAGCGCCGAACGTTGCGCGGATCATAGTTCACGAGTGATACTGGCCCTTTTAGATGAATTAAATATGCTTAACCCCCGAAAGATTGCATCATTATGTGCATTGTGAAAGTACAAGTGATTGAAGTCTATGACTGGCCGGGTATCAGATTTAGAGGAATCCATTTTCCTGTGTGTAATCAAACATCGGAACTACGATATGTCAGCTTTTGTTTATTGAAACCAGAGACATGATGCTTACGGTTCATGATCGAGTCCAGATAAGTGACCGGTGATACGTCGAATGGGCCTGTTCAGATCAGATGTAAGCATTCATTTTTCATCAGGGACAGGAAACTTACCCAGGGCCAAATTGCGGTATCATATTCGAGGCCATTGCCGCCCAAGTATCCGTTCCCGTAGTGCCCGTCTCCTGCTCTCGTTCCAAGGCGCTTCGCAAGGTCACCAAGGCTCGGATATGACGGTCTGACAACCACTGACTGTCACTTGCCGAGTAGAGAGCACCATCATCGTTAGTCCTTAAATTGGACGACGAGAAGACGTCGATGACATTTTGTTGAAGGTTGCGACATTCAGAGTCATTGCGCGTCTCTTCCCAGATACAAAGAAGCAGCGTTGAACTCAAGACTGTATGCACCATTGACCAGCTCCGCAATGGAACAGTGCTCAGGGCCTGGAAATCAAGAAACGCCCTGGAAGCATCGATCAAACTCCCTTTTGCACGAGCCCGAAGAATCCCACCGTGAGGGAGAAAAGGCTGTGGGGCAGACTGCTTCATTGCCGGTCGGCAGAAGACTGATACACAGAAGGAGGTGTGCATTCTGAGGGCTAAATGCTCGAGATGTTGTTGTAGTGAAGTGCATTTTTCTCGTGATCGAAGGTACAGCAGACCGCGTTGGTAAACATCATCCAGCCGCTGCAACGCTTCGAGTGCTCGATCAAATTCAGCGACGTTGAGGGTTTCCGGTCGCATAATATCCAGACTGATGCGGCAGAGCAAGTGCATCACTTCTGAGAAGGATAAGTCTTGTCTCTCGAAGAAAGAGTTTGCGAGAGACCATCCGGTCACGGAGACAATGGGCGGTCGGTCATAGCAAAGGCACAGTAAACTATCCTGCCAGACAACTGTTGACCTGTGGGAAGTCAGCTGGGAGACGAGCAGATACTCCCGTTGTAGTTCGATCTTCATACCAAAGAGTCCTAGCCTTCACTCTCACCTGCTCGGGCCAGTGAACGGTGCTTCTTTCAGTATGCAGGCCCATGGTCTGAGCTAGTCGGATTGTCGTGCCCAGCAACGCCCAGGCGGCATCGGACTGCCCCACATTCTGCAAAGTATTCCCCAAGATAAGCAGCGCTTGTATGATATCTAGCGATGGCTGAAACAAGAAATTGGCCAAGCGGAGAGCATGAAATGATCGACGGGCTGGATGTCATTAGCCAAGCTTGATGAGCATGCAATCAAACTTACCAAAGTCAGTTGACAGCTCAAGCCGTTCGGGGTATTCAATATCCGAGTAATGGGCCCCTGATGCCAATGTTGCCAGTAAAAGGCTGATATGGCCAATAGACTTGTCGGTTGCCCATCGAGCAGTGATTTTCTCCGGATCGCGTAATTCGCCAGATGCGTGGGCATTGAGATATGTGCACAAGTCAGATTCAAAACGATCTACGTCGGCGAGCATTGGATTGAATGGATATGCCGTGACACGGTAGAAGTGGAAGAATCTAACCAGTTAGCCAATTCCCTTTTTCAGTTATTGGTAACCTACTTCAAGACCTCTGATCTTTGAGGCAATACAGTCAGCAGAGCCTTCCACCTCTCAAGCGGCGTCTTTGAGTCCATAAATGGATAGTTGCTGAAGGTATTCCGCAGACCAAGAACAGATCCAACTTCACGGGCCACCGATTCATTGGCATCCGATGCTCGCAGGCGCAGGATCGAAACAACCGAATTATCACCGGAATAGACGTAATCCTTCGAACCATCATCATGTCGTGCTGGTTCCTTTCTTGCTACGGCCGGTGATCTAGGCGAAGCCGAACGTGCGACACTATGGCGAGAAGCCGATCTCCGCCTCGACTGCGTCAGAGCGTAGGTGCATATCTCGGGGTGTTTCCGCTTCTGACAGGTATGACACGGTTGGCCACCATCACATTTGACCTTCCGCTTTCTGCATGGGTAGCACGCATGGGTCTCTCGCTCTCGACTCTTGAGGTGCAGCACCCGGTCCGCTTCGCCTTGGCTGATAGTGCTCATTCCGCCGAAGACTCCGAGGTACCGGGATTGACAGGGGTTGTCTTGGCCAAGAAGTTGAGTTGGAATAGTGGGGCTCGATAACAACGCACATCCGAGCTGGGTTCATGGGCCATCGAAAGTGCCAAAACGGATTGGGTTCCCGCCCTAAGCGGGTACCCCACTGAACCAAGTCCTACTATCTCATTACTGCGTGATCTGTTGTAGACTGTAGTACCAGGCATTCCGACCCTTCATCAAATTTCAAATTGACGCTTGAACAAATATAATACACATTTGCTTTACTCCCGGAATCCCATTTTCGTCCAATTCGCCAAAACCTTCTGCTTAAGATCCTCGGGATACGAGCTCTCAAAATCGGCAGCCTCCCAATTTTTGCCAGTAGTATACTCACAGGGGAGAAGAGCATCAGAGACAACCTTTCCTCCCTGCACCGGTGATCCATTTCCATGCGACATGTATGGAATAAGGGGGAACCCGCGCACATCCTCGAAGAAGATCTCGTCGAGGCCAGGACGGCAGCGAGTCGAGAAGGCCCACATAACATCTTTGCCGTTGTAGACATCTATGTCGTCACCACAGAGCACCAGCCGGTGGATGGTATAGCCGGCCTTGCAATTGAAGATAAGGTCACCAACCTTCTTGGGAAATTCTTTTGGGGTGGTTTTCATGTCTCGCAGCTTTGCGGTGTCGATTCTCAGCGCGACCCAGGTCACTTGGGACTCGAATGGTGCGAAGGCATCAGTTACTGGGAGACCAGCTTGTTGGCAAATCTTACGAATCTCGGCAGCGGCCAGCGAGCCGATCATGGTATGCTAATAATTGTTAGTATGGTAGGGACCTGGAAAGATGGGATAGGGAAGAAAGCTTACAGTCTCATCGGTCAGTCGACCGCAAGATGACATGGGCATGATCGCATTGTTGCGGTAGGTGATGCGGTTGACCTTATACTTGGGCCACAGGTGGGTATCTCCAGGGAAGACATAGCCGTGCATTTCACCGAAAGGACCCTCGGGACCCTTGTCTGTAATAGAAAGGGTACCTTCAAAGACAATCTCAGAGGTGGCGGGCACATAGAGATCATTGGTATCGCACTTGACCAGATCCAAGGCAGAGCCAGTCATAGCACCGACATATCCAGCCTCGGTCACGCCATCGGGGATGGGCATGCTCGAAGCCATGATAGCGGCAGGGGGAACACCGAATGCCAGAGCCCACGGGACGTCGCAGCCTTCCTTCTTCCACATCTGGTGGATCTGCCAGAGGTGCTGAGGCTCAATGACGAGACCTGTCAGGTGCTTATCGTCAGAGACCATAGCACGGGCAATAGACCAGTTAGTCCAGGACCCATCGGGGGATTGGACAATGTGCATTCCGTAGGTCTGGATGTACTTTCCTCCATCGGCCTGGTGAATCAAAGGTGCAGGAAGCTTAGTCAGATCAATCTGGTTCTCTTCGAGGAAGTTCTCTTTACAAGGGCCGGTAGATACGATGTTGGGTGGAAGTGGGACCATGGCGCTGGCCGAGAGCATCTTGTCGAGGATGTCGCGCATAGATGCGGTCGGTGGCAAGGCCAAGTGTCGCGCAAGTCGACCATAACGATCCTTTGGGGACTTTCTTAGAGACGCAGGAGCACCCAGGATGCGGAAGAGACCGTTTTTAGCACCAATGAGGTTGTTGAAGAGCGGGGCCTTGTCGTCAGTTTCACAGACAAGACGAGTAATAGCGGCCGCTTCAAGGTTCGGGTCGATTGGAGAGTCAATCTCAACTAGATCATTGTCGGCCTTCAAAGCCTCAACAAATGATCGGAAGCAGAGGTGAGGCTCAGTGTTGGTCATTGTGAAGATGTCTTTGCAGGTAGTGGTTGTGCATGTGTTTTATGTTGAGTGGAGTTAGACTTGAGAAGCAGGGCAGCCCTTTACACTTTAGCCATCTTAAATATCCCCGCTGGAGTCTTCAGCACAGTAATCTCGGATCGCCACATGTCATATTCGAGTGACACACACCGATTCATGAGAATTCTGGGAATGCCACACACTTCGGCACTTGTGAGAGACCCACACCGAGCCCCCGAGAAACCGAGAAACCGAGCGACGATTCGTGGAATCCGAGCTCTCATTCTGTATTTGCATCAACGAAAACCGATACTTCCGAATCAGATGTCTGAATTGCTGATACGGCGCAGATGGATCAAGGCCAGTGGGGTTGGCTGTTTCTAAAATAACGCTCATCCGGCGTTGACACTTTGATTAACAGCGGGGAACACACACATAAGAAGGGTTGACTCCCAGAAAGCATAGAAACGGTAATAAGACATGTCATGTTCTATTAATCTGGAGTGATAGAGTACAATCTTCCTCACGACCCGTTCAAGGCAAGGCCTCGAGGATAGACAAAAGACAACAAAGCTAACGCTGACAGGCATGCGTGATGTTCTCTTCCAACCAGACTGTGAATGGCACTCGCAAAGATACGGTGGTCAACACGGAGTAGATCGGACGCTTCGTCTAGAATCTGGCGACTTCGGATCTTCGCGAGGCCGTGAACATCTCGGCAGAGCAAGTACCCCTATGGGGTAGATAATTTTGAGCGTGTTAAGGTGACTAAGGAGCTGGCAACGCTGATGTATGGAACAGGCCCACAGATTGATCGATAATCGGATCCCTTGGATACAACAGAGCTGAGTGAACTCTTTATGACACGGCCTTGAAATTGCTACAGTGTAATCTGAAGAACGGAAGGCTATTTATGTAATTCTGCTTGCATCCACTCGTCCTGTTCAAGTTCCATGGCAGAGCTTCGCTTTTCTGGCTCCCATTGTAACATCTTTCGTACTAGCCGGAGAAACATCTCTTTTTCCTCCCCCTCGAGACTGTTCTCTCTTTGTTCGAGCGAGATGTGTTCTCCCACTAAGTCCTTGGCGTATAAGTCACCTAGAATAGCATAAGTAGTCAATAATCAACGCTTTCTATTCATAGACAGGAAAAGGATAGAAAAGGTACCTTCGTCTGAAAAGAACTTTTGCGTCAAATTTCCTCGGGCAAGGAAACTTGACGGTGGCGGACCGAGCAGGCGTATCATCCCAGCCAGATGAGCCCGACTCCTGTAATTCTGATACTCTGGATCCTGGCCGCTAAACAGTGATCCTCCTTCGTAAAGGTTCCAAATCTGACAACGTAAGCCTGGAAACTTTTGCATCGGAAGTATCGGCCTTCTTACCACGCATCCCACGTTCCATATATCAACGCTGTATGACCATGGAACTTGCAAGATCACTTCCGGGGCTCGATATATATCCGGCTGAATGTCTTCCGAGTGCTATTCATCACCCATCACAGCCGAGCCAAAATCGCAGAGGATAGGTTCGCCTAAGTTTTTGGGGCATCCTGAGCCCGCGAGAAGTGTAGATAACTCTACCATCTAACACCTTTCTAGGACAGGGATCTTGGAGCTCATTGTTTTCAAAATCACTGAGAACGGAATCATCATCAATGCCGAACATAATGTTGTCTGCTTTGATATCTGACATATTGATAAGCAAATGATCCAACTCAAGATCGAAAAGAGAAACCTATACCGGTGTGGATGATTTTGCATTGTGTATGCAGATAGTCCAATGCAAGAAATAGACGATGAAGCGTCACTGCTAAAATTGGTGTTGGTAGTCTCTGTACCGGGTTGCGGAATAGAAAATCCAGTACACTCTCCCACAATGGAGGATGCACGAGGCATCGATGTTGATCTTCATCTACACTGTTGTCAAAGGAGTCTAGCAACGATCTGACGTACTTGCGGCCTGGATGTTTCCGGGGAGCATCCTCGATAAGTTTATATATCTTTGGCTCGTCGTCCAGTTGCTGCCCCATCGATGCGGACGTTATGAAAATCTTGAGAGCAACATAGCGACGATAGCTGTATTTTTCGTTAGCGAAGGAGCTATGAGAAGAGAATGAAAATGCAAAGGTGCCAGCGTCTTCTTACTCCATATCACGTGCGAGCCACACGGTTGAGCTGGCTCCAAATCCCAGTTTCCCCACAACTTGGTACCGGTCCTTGAGGATTTCCCCTATTCGAGTAGGATAATACCGGCCTGCAGTATATCCCGGGATCATTTCTTCCTCAATTGCTTGACTCATTGATATCTGAGTGAAATTTGGATTGGTGAAGTTGAGAGGTGTCTATCTTCGCCCTAGCCGGGGCAAGGACTGAAGCAATGACCTCAGCATTTCTGGGACCAAGACGGCCAGCTTTTTCTGTCTTTTTCTGTCCTTTTTTTCTTCTTCAAAGTACGGTTGGTGGAGGGGAATATTAAGATAATAATGGGCTTACAGGTGATAGAAAATGGCCAGCTCCTTGATCTCAGACGGAGATCGAAAGGTCAGGTGATATCTTCCATGTTCAAATGGTATATATAGAGCCACCGACAAGTGCTAGTCCGGCGCATATGCATTGTTATTTTTAGCTTGATGCATATACATGGATTTTCACAGCAAGGCGGGAACGAATAGTCAGTGCTTTCGACTGCATAGCTAAGCGCTCGGTTCGCACATCATGGCCATCCACAGCCTCACATCAAACAAGGCCAAAAGAGTCAGAGAGCACAATATCAAGGAAACAAAAGTCCGGGTTATACCGCAGCTGAGTTTTAATCAAGCTGCGAGTATGAAGCAGAGAGCACAATATCAACAGGGACACAAAGGCAACTGGAGGGCAGTTCTTGGCAGTCCTTGTGCATCTCTATCATGTGTTCTAGTCGCCTTCTTAGTCCCTTTCCAAATCATGAAATCCTTTTTCTCCTGGGTCTTGTCTAGCAATCTGTATTTGAGTTGACATTCCTTTGACGTTGTTGTCTGATTCTAAATGGAAAGCTGTACGCTGTTAAATGATCGACCGAAATAAGAAGCGAGACCGGTTCTCGTGGTTTTTTTTTCCAATCGTTCGAAAGCTTTTGAGTTGCGCTAGACACCTTGTAGGAAGTAACTATTCTATTCACGGAGCCTCCTCCGATGCTTTAATATAGGTAGGAGACAATTTCACAGGGGCGATATCAAACCTAGACCCGCCAAGAATATAACATAAAGTTCCCTCTATGAACTTCCAGTTACGTTTCGCCTTTTGTCATTGATCTTCTGCAATTCTCTTGCCCACGGGAGGCTCGATGCCAGTTACTGAAGATTCGCTGATCTTCTTACAAGAATATGGGAGAAAAAGACCGACATTTTTACCACTAGACCATATCAAAAACCTGAGTTAATGTTGAGGGCCTAGGGCAGACCACATCCCATTCTGACAGCGTACACTAAACAGTGACTCGACGGGGCCTTCGTCAGTTACGTGTATATTTAACGCGGCGATAGAGATAGTGTCGAGGAGTCTCGTAAACATGTCTTCCTACCAAACTAGGTATGTGACGAAATCCCTTAAATGTCTATTGACATCTGACTTAAAAATAATGGCTCTGATTGTTGAATGTGATCATTTTTGCCAGATCTTGATTTCCCAGATATCAATAATGTTATTACCAAGGAGCTTTCGTGATGACATGAACATGGCCAAATACTGACTTGGGTTTAGTTGCTGAGTGTGTGTCAATTGAAACTAGCCGCTGAATCGACCGCTCTGCAATGAAAGCTTGGGATATTCTATCCCAATAGCTGCCGTAACCATTCGTGCTGCTCGAAGTCAGTCTAAAGTGTGTTGGGCAAAAATAGGATGTCACCCAAAGGAAGTCAGGCAGGATTTCGAAGCGGATAACATACTGGGCACGCTCCGGATCGGTGGATTTAACTGCATTTTGACTTGACCGGGTTTGGCTACAAGTTGGCTTAAAATTGTCTCAGCATGACTGGCCTTGCAATCTAGCCGCCCACCACAACGTGGCCATAAATACGGCCTGCTGCAGTGACTCAAACCTCAGAAAGGACTCCGTGCCAGTCTTTAGACTTTCAAGGTCGACAGGGGAAACTGCCATTGGGCTTACTTGGTTCTAAGTGTATGAAGTTAGTGGCGTGTGGAGAAGGTCTGGGAAGAGAACACCTGGGCACCATTCATCATGTCACATAACCACTTTCCACAGTTGAGGTACACGAGCTCGGGATGTATTGGGGAACCCTTTTGTGATTACGTTGAAAGGAGAGCTACGTTCCCGTTGATCTCACTACGCTTGATCTTCTCGCTTGAGTCGGGAGGGATACGAAAGTACACATATTTCCCTTGTCATCCACATAAAGACAAAGACACGAAAGATTGTTCCACACCTCTCGGAATAGACCGTGTCTTCCTCTGCACCACTATCTACACCACAACACAAAAACTACAAAAAGAGGCTTAAACCCCAGCACGCTCACTAGATGCACGAAAGCAAGACCATGAAAAAAGCAGCGAAACTTGGCATAAGAAACCCCAGGGGGGCAAAGAGAAGACATAGCTTTCCATTCATCCCATGGTCATTGACATGAAACAAGAAATGCAGGAAACATTGTAGACATTTAAACACGTACACACACACACACACATTGCTCATAGATTTGGGGATAAAAAGAACTGTAACCAGAGCCCCGGTGAACGGTCATAACTGTCGTAAGGAGAAGAGGAAGAAAAGGCAAAAGCGCTAGAGGGAAACGGAGATTGAAAACATCAACCCAGGGGTATCACAGTGCAAGTCTCAATAGAGCTCCTCTTCACAGTCGACTTGCACGGGACTGCCTCGGTAGCGGGTTCGCTTAATATTGCCTGGGCTGTAGGAGCCGGAAGACGTGAGGGGACGCGGGCCAGTTGGCTTGCGTGTGGGGGGAGAGCAGATGGCAGAGCTCTGGAAAGGACGGAGATTAGAAGGTGTTCACATGAAATAGTCGGGGAAGCCTCGGGAATACGTACTCTGGAAACAGCACGATCGCCGCTGTAAGCCGGTTCCTCATCATCTGCCACTTTAGGTAGACGCTCAGGAATGAGAGGGCCAGCGTCCTTGACTTTAGGAGGACGGGGTGGACCCGATGTACGGGTTGCGCGGGAGCTAGTCTCCGAGAAGCCTGCGTCGGAGACCGGAGACAGACGCGTGGCGCCGCTGATGTCGCTGTCGCGGGTTTGAGGAGGGTTGACCTCAGACAGGCTGGGGTTGGAATCCCAATGGTCTGAGTCAGTGGGTGAAATAGGTCCTCCGTAGATCTTGGCCTCATTTTCGAGGTGGGACTGGTAACGTCCGGTTGGGCCTTGTCGAGGCTGGGGGTGTTGCAGCTCGAGACTACCACGGTGGCCGCGGTATTTGGGCGCCTCGGACACCTGGGAAGGGACCAATGGTGAAGGGGGTCTGTTTACATCTTGTTCGTCGTCCAGGGTATAGGTAGAGCGTATTCTGTCGTCCCCCTGGGGATCATGATATTTGTACTGGCCAAGGGGTGCAAGATCAGACCCGGACCGAGACTCGTCCGAGGTCGGACGTTCTTTGCGGGAAGGCTGAATACTGCTGCGGATGCCGTCGCCCATGGAGGTGGCCGTGGACTTAGACCAGCGGGAGAACTTTGGGAAAATGGATGAGCTGCTGGACTTGTGCTTGCGAGCCTTGGGGGTAGTTTCGATGCTGCGAGCTGTGGCCACCGGCAATGAACCAGACCGCTCGTGACGGGGCGCATCGCGGACAGGAAGATGCGAAGTCAGGAACTGGTCGCCATCGTCAAGCTCAAGGTCTTCGTCAACTTCATGGACGGTGCTGACTCGCTGGTCTGAATCTCTGCGCTGGCCATTGGCCGGACGAGAAGAGCTGGACCCGTAGGGAGAGCGACTCGTCTCGGTAGGCACTCCGTTGGGACCGGGAGCCTCGTACCCACTTGGCTCCATGTTTCCCATTCGGGTGCCACTGTTAAGGCTCAAGCCATCTTGTCCGGATCGAAGGGCCTCAACCTCGCCAAGTAGCTGCTCGAGCATGCCTTCAATCTTAGTCAAATCATTGCCCGACTTAAGACTCAGTCCCTTCAGTGCACGCTTGAAGATGCTCTTGCGCTTGTCTTCCTCGTCAGCCGTGTTCAGCTGCCGGTTCCGAGAAGCACTGGGGGGCAATGGCCGAGGACCACCGAGCGCCTTGTGAGTCCGCTCATGTCCCCTCTCGCTAGTGTCCATGATGAGATCATCTTGGTCGGCGATAAACTTCTTCATCTGCTCGAAAGAGGTGCGCATTTCAGCAGCGCTTCTAACCAAAGTAACCAGAATCTCGGTATCTCTGGCATTCCGCTGGGCATCCCGGACAGTCAAATGATCCATAAGAGCCACGATATCTTGGGACTGAATTCTCTCGATGCCTCGACCGGTGGCACTGTCGTAGAGTGGTGAGCCAACACCGTGAGAGTAGCCGCTGAAATGGCGTTCTTGACCAGAGGCAAGAGGATCGTCTGCCCCAGCAGGGCTATTGTAACTGCCCCTGCCAGCGGCATCCGCACCCGCAAGACCTCGACTAGCCTGATTCGGGGTCCCGACACTGGGAGACATGGGGTTGGCAGCCGAAACGTAGCCTTCGTCCTTAGCACCAGAAGGCGTACCGAACAATGGCCGGGGTTGGTTTTCGCCAGAGTCGACAGAGTAGTCATCACCACCAAAGATATTATGGGCAGTCTGGTAGTATTCAACGTCAAGTCCTGTCTGCTGTTCAGCATTGAGACCTTTAGATCCACCGATATGGGTATCGTAGTAGTGATCCACCGGCGGAGACCTAGAATCATATGTCCAGTGATCTGCCTGAGCGACACCGCCATTGGGGCCCTGTATTATGGACGGATTGGTGTTAATTTCAGACTCAGATTCCTGGCTTTCAACGCCCACGTGAGGGCTCTCCACTTCACGCGGAGTATTGGCAGCCATATTAGCAGAGTTGTCAATGTCCTCGACGGACTGGGTAACACTCTGAGGGGGTGATGTGGCACCCATTCGTCGAGGGAAAGAGGTCTCATCGGCATTGAAAGCATCCTGGCGTTGCTTCAAGGGGCTTCCGCGGTAGACCTCGCTTCCTGGCTTTTCGGGGCTTCGGCTGCCTGCTCGCTGAGCTAGATCAGTTTGCGAGCGGTTCATGGATGAGATCTGAGATTCAAGGACAGAGGGACCCATTAAGGAAGCGACTGCAGATTCGACAGCGATCGGGTGCATAAATTTGGGGTTAGCAGCAATGCCAGTAGTGACAGGGTGGCCCTCTTTGACTTTATCCATGAAGTCAACATCGCTATCTCCATCGTCAATAGAGTGCCTGTTCTCTTCATCATAGCGATAGAAGCCATTGTCTTGGGAGCCCTGGCGCGAGTGTTCGTATCCGAGGCCAGGTGATGCCTGGCTGTGCTGCTTGAAAATTCCACTTTGGCTGTGCGAGCTAGTTCCCTGGCGGGTGGATCTCGCTAGGTTGGTACTGGGGGCGGATGAAAATGAGTCAATGGAGAGTCGAGGCTCAATCTCATTTTTGCTGTCGAGGTGTTGCTCGCCGTGAGCCGAGTAACGGTCGTTGTAAGGCTCAGTGATATCACTTGCAACACTCTGAATGGGGCTCAGTCCACGGCCGGTGTTCTCATCGAGATGGTCACCTTCCGTTTCGTGATGCCCAGGGTGGGCGACGTCAAGGAGATTAGCCGCAGCTGCAGCTGCAATTTCCCAGTTACCCCCGTCACTTCCAAGGGATTGGCTCTGGTATTGCAGGTCACGCTCCGAAGGACTGTGCACCGAGATATTATGGTGCGATTGATTACCATGGCGCATTCCGAGCTCCAATCGCGAGTCGACGGAATTATTAGTAAGAGTGCGAGAAACTGGTGACATACCCTGCCTCGGCGATCCGCGAGCAACGTCGAAGTGAGATGCCTGCCTTTCGGGAATGGGACTTGCCGTTCGCTCAGAGAGCAACGAGTTTCTGGTCAGATCGGAGTCAATTGCGCTGTGCATTGGCATTGGCGCAACATTATGTTTTTGGAAAACAAGTTCAGTTTCGTTGTAGTCAATACTCTCTGTGCTCTTGCGCGAGCCACTTTTCCGGGAGCCACTATTTCGGCGGCGCTCTTTTTTATCGAGACTCGAGTTGGAGTCATGGTGTCGCAAAGAAGCCGCTGTGAGAGCAGAACCGACTCGGGCAGCAGCATGGGCGTCGCGAAGACCCTTACTTTTCTGTCTGCGGATCTTGTCTTGTTCGGTGTAGTTGGGTCGATTTGCCCATCTCACCGCCATATCGGAGCTTTCGCTGCTTTTGCTTGCTTTGCGCTCCTTGTTTCGAGGAGCTGTCTCGGGAGAAAGAACAATACCTTCGTCTTTGCTATCCTTGGTCAAAACAACTTTGGGCTTCATAACATCCGGCGCACTGGCGTGCTTAGAGAGGCGTCGACCCAACTCATCTCTGGAGCTCGTGCCGGACGAATTAGACGCAGCCATGTCCCGATCGAATTTGCTCGTGTTGGTCATGACTTTTTGGTCCTTCTTGAGCTCCTTTAGCTCCGGTAGGATCAATCTCCTGATGGCATCTTCAACCGTTTCGAGTAATTTTGGGTTGTTGATAGAGGACTTGGATGCACCGGAGCGAGTTGAGTATTGATCGGACTTGCGGTTTGAAGAGACCGCAGATGCACTGAGCAGACTAGATTCCGGACTGATAATTTCTTCGTCTGCGAAATTGTGTTTTCGGCGATGGGATGGTTTTGTGTCTGCTTCGAGGTAATTCTTGTCACCCTTGCTTTTGTGCACGCCGCTCGAAGCATCTTGTGGTGATTCTGCAAGCTTTTCTGCCACGCGATGCGCAATTCGCTCATGGCTCAAGCTGCGACTTCTTTTTCGGTGAGGAGTCTTGAGCAATCCCTCACCTTCAGGAAGCGAACCACGCTCAACAGTCTGGCTGCGTTTCCGCCTGGAACCCGCTGACGAAGCGTTGATTATACTATCCACCGGCATGGACGAAACCTCCGATGACGGTTGCATGTATCTGGTGTCTTGCGAAAGGGAAGACATCTCGCTCTCCTGTCCGCGGTTCACAAATTCGATTTCGACCGGCTCGCGACGTGACGAATGATGACCCTCTTCCTCGGCTGAATTCGACGCAACGCTGTTGTCATCCGTTGTGCCCGAGTCCAATTGCGTTTGTTTTGATGATGATGATGGTAGGGATATCCGGTGGGTATATGACGGTTTGCGGCTACCGCTTCCGCTTGATTCGGTAATTTGCAAGTGGTCTTTTCTGTCCCTGGACTTTCTAGCCGACGATGGTGTAACACGTACTCGCACGCTGGGACGAGAGACAATACCACTTGAGCCTTTGCTGCCTTCGAAATACTCGATGAGCAATGAGGTATGAGAGTCTTGTTGAGATCGAGACAATTTTTCTTCGCGGTCCCGCTGTCGCCGAGTGGAGACAGTGACGGGGCTACCGTCGTCTGGGATAGAGTACGAAGTTTTGTCTGTGCGGCGAGAAATGTCAGTTGCTAGATCTGTGCCCATTACGCTATCCCCAAAGGTATCCATGATGGAATCTGTGGGGGCGGGAAGAATCGGTTTGTGATTGTTGACCCCCATGATGGTGAGGCGTCCTTCAACCCAATCGCATGCTCCGGCGTGCTGGACCGAGGTGATAGGATGATGAGGGGAGTGTTGTTGGGGGTGATCACTGTTGCTCCGCGCTTGTTGGCACGAATGGGGAAGTGACAAATGGTAGGAACGAAGTCCTAAGAATTATTGTGATAGGAGGTGAGAGCGTACCAGCGCAGACCACGGAACAGTGGGAAAAAATTAAGAATGTGGGATTGGGAAGGAGAGAGAGAAAAGCAACGGTGAGTGTGCCCAAGGTGCTGTCGAAGCTCGCCGATCCCCTCACATGAAAATATGATGAGAGGAAAGGGGGGGCGGGAGGAGGGAAAGAATTCGAATCTCTAACGAGGAATGAAAAATGAAGCAAAGGACAAGCGAATATCAGCTGGTACCCAAGTAATAAAAATGATTGCCCAGCCTCAAAAAAAAATTTAAAAATAAAAAGAAGGCTGGATGTGTTGGCGATTGTACATCCCAAGTTCCGAGCCGCGTGGATCATCATACAAAGAGTACCTGACAACTACTTTGTACGAGGAAAGTACGCCGTAAACAAACGGAACCCTGGAATCTATGCGGGATCGTCTTTTGGTTCCTTGGTTCTTTGGATTTTATTATATTTTAGTTTTTTTTTTTAATTCTTCAAATCTCATCTTCAATTAATAAACGAATTCATCTCCCAAACGCTACTCTGTAAAACCCTCCGTGCATTGTGGCTGGGGTAATCTTGACAAAGTCAACCCTGCAATATACAATTTTTTCCATCACAAACCAGTGAAAAAGACACTTCGGTGTACGGAGTATGTTGTACCCGTCACACACGAACGCACACGGTCCACCTGCAGTTCTCCGTGGGACCCGCAAAAGACAGACGAGAACCGGGACAAGCACACCGTCACCCAGACGACAGAGACCCCCTGGAGATCGGGTGATTGGGCCCAGCAAATGCCAGCTCATCACACTCGTGTGCGGGCTTGCGACCTTACCAACCTCTCCATGTTGGAACAATTGGAATTAAACAAATGAAATGATTGGCCTATCGCCGGGATGCAAGATACACCGACAGTCTTTCCCGACATTTGGCCCTAGATTCACTAACAGTGGACTCACCCTGTGACTGGACAGAACTATACATACATAGTGCTTGCAAGGGGGCGCAGGCAATTGCCATCGAGACTACTTGCGCAGCTGGGGGTTGAGGATTTGCTGCATCTCGTACATTAGTGGCAATCAAGCTGCTTGACTCTCTGTCATTGGCAAACGATCGCCTGACCAGAATACTGTGTAAGATTGGCATCTTCCAATTGGATGGCTTCGGCGGGTATGGGAGGTTTGTAGAACTTGCTACATATAGGTACCAATATCTACTCCGTACCCCGTACTTCAGTAAGGATACTTTACAGCACTTGTGTTTTTTTTTTCCGTTGCACTTGGGTATTTCTTCTGTGGCCCTCCGATTCTTGTTTCGTCAAGCCCCTCCCACGTGGAAAAAATCCGAGGCCCACATGGCTCAATGAATGCTTGCCGTGGCATTCCGTGAAGGAATAAGCCTCGCGGTCATTTTACAGTCAGAAGTTTCGTGATTGGCGTCTAAATATGTGGAATTGGCTTCCTGGACTGAGGGTATATCCATCATGTTTACAGCATGCACAAACCTCCAATCAAGGCTCAAGGAGGTGTGAAGGAGATTGATCCGTACAAACAGCAAGATGCATTCGACTTTCCCGCTACCAGCGAATTTTCAACTTGGAATGCCATCTTTCTCATGATTACAGAATAAGGGGACGAGATTGAAACCCAAATAGATATATCCACATTGTTGAACTCCAATGTCCCTAAAATAAAGATGCAGAGACAATCGATCGCTTTTGATGTTCATACAGATTGTTCTCAGTCATTGTGCTTCCGCTTGAACTTCAGTCCAGCACCGTGCTTAGGCTGGCTGCCGTACGTGCGGCGTCCTTGCTGCTCCTGCTTCTTGTCGCGGCTGAGGCTCGAGCCCAGCTGGATGTCAATGCGAGGAGGGGCATTGAAACCGAAGCCCTTGGCAACTTTGACGAGGTCAAGCTTGTTCACGTCGAACACAGTGCGAAGGGAGTGCGAGGCATATGCTTGGAGATAAGAACGATAACCATCCTTGGCAGACTGCACAAGTGTGTTAGTAGACGAGCAACACAGATAAGTGAGACGATGTGAATGATAGCGTACCTTGTTGAGGTAGTAGTTCTGGCCGATGAGCTTCTCCAATTGAGACTGCACATTGACAATCTTGGAGGCTGGGAACTCGAACTCCACGACTGGCACACGAGCATCCTTAAGATGCTTCAAGAAACCAACCTCGGAAGGCTGGAGGAACATCAGACTGCGACCCTTGCCTTCGGCACCACGGGCGGTACGTCCGACACGGTGAATGTAGTCACGAGGATCATCAGGGGGGTCAAACTGGATAATCCAATCGACAGCGGGGATCTAAAAGTTGAGTCAGTTATACAATGACCGCGGTCGTGTCATAGGAATAAGGGAACATACATCCAAGCCACGAGCAGCAACATCAGTACAGATCAAGGTACCTTGCTTGGCATTGCAGAACTCGAAGAAAGTATTGGTCCGCTTCTGTTGCTTCTGCTTTCCGTGCAACTCCAGAACGGGGAGATCGATGTAGTTCAAAAGCTCGGCATGGTACTTGACGCAGTTACAGCTCGAGAAGAAGACAATGATCTTCTTCTTAAGGTTACGCTTGAGGAATGAGAAGAGAAGCAAGAAACGCTTGTCTGCCTCACACACCACGTAGCCTTGTTCCAGACCAGCCACCGTGCTGTGCTCCTTGCTATGGTCGACATTAATGTAAAGCGGTCCAGGGCGTAGGGATATCCGGGCCAGATCTTCGACCTTAGTGGTTTGTGTGGCGGAGAAAAGCATAGTTTGACGTTCTTCCTTCGGCAGAATCTTCACGATCTGGCGCATCTCATCTTCGAAACCGACTTCGAGAATTCGGTCTGCCTCGTCAATGACCAAGGTCTTCAGGTTCTTGAAGATGAATCCTTGGGTGTTCTGGAGGTGATCGAGCAAACGACCGGGTGTCGCAATGAGCAAGTTGACACCCTTCATAAGCTTCTCGGCCTCAGCGCGACGGTTGGCACCTCCGATAACAATGCCGTATGTCTGCGAGTGGTGGGCCATGAGTTCACGGGCGACACCGAAGATCTGCAGTGCCAGTTCGCGAGTAGGGGACACAACGAGAACACCAGTACCTGCATCAAAAAAGTTAGCCAGCAGTTTCAACGGCAAGTAAACATCAGGCAAGGGCATTTAGGGGGAAACCCCTACCATTTCTGGGCTTGAAGCGCAGGGCGTGCAGCATCTCAATCGCGGGGAGCAGGAAGGCCAAAGTCTTTCCGGAACCAGTTTTCGCAGCACCGAGCACATCGCGTCCGGCAAGCAAAGGAGGAACGGTACGCTGTTGAATCTCAGTCATGGTTGTGAAGCCCATGTCATTGATACCCTGCATGGTCTTCTCGGAAAGGTTCAGCTCAGTGAATTTCTGGAGCTTGCCCTCGGTCTGAGGCAAACGGACATCTTCCATAGTAGGAAGATCCGTACCATTCACGGCCTCGGTGTCTTCAGCATCACTGTTCTCCTCGGCATCCACTTCCTCGGCATCCTCGGCGACCTCGACCTCGTCGGCGCTTTCTTCCTCGGCGCTTGGTGAAGGGCTGACCTTGCGCTTCTTAGTGGACTTCTCGGCTGAAGCCTTTGGGGTTGAAGCAATACTCTTTTTCGGGGTCACGGCAGGGCTGGATTTGGCCTGCACGGGCTTGGCGACATCGCTCTCTGCTTTCGAGCTGTGCTTTCTCTTGCGCTTGTTGATGGACTTTGCGGTGTCCACGGGGCCAGGCATTTTGTTGATTAGTCCTGAGACAATGTAAGAATTGATACTGGAACAAATCAATCAGATGCTTGTCTCGTTTCACCTTGACCTTGTGTTTTGCAGGTCTAGATTATTGATCTCTGCGGGCGGAAATCATTCTGCTACTTTTTTTTTCTGATCGGCAAATTGTGGCAGAACTCTACATCACGTGTTGATAGACTCGACCAATTTATGCCTTAGCCAGGAGGCCTTTGTAATTGACGTCGATCACGACAGTAGCATCTCTTGGGATTTGATCATTGCTTGGTTATACGTAACACCTTGGGATTGCAAAGACCACATATTTATCAAGTTTAAGGCTCCCCTAATTATGGAGATTAAGTTCTTTTCACACCCGAGAAGAAATGAGGCCGAGCAGGATACGCGCCTCGTGGGTTCCTGTTTTGTTAAGTGAAACAAGGATGGAACGCTTGCCTGAAGGCTGTGCAAGTGCCGCCATCTTGGCCTTGAGTTAGGCAGCTGAGATATCATGGTATGTACGACAAATTTTTTAGGTGACTGCTCAAGTGTTGTGTACCCATGTCTCATACCAAGGGCTGGACTTATTTGTCTTTGCCCAGGGACATTGGTCTTCGAAATGCTTACAGAGTACTCTATATCAATCATATATCAAATATCATACATAGAAAAGCTACTATATACATCTTAGGCCGGCTTCACCACCTATTTTCCAGCTACAACCCGTGAGCGCCAATTAGGGAGACATCTAAAAAGGGTCTCAGAAAGACTACCCTAAAAAAAGCATCACAAGGCCGCAAACACGGCTTATCATTCTTGTGCATGGATTTTTGCTTTTCCTGAGATCTTGTGTACAACATAGTTTGTAGCGAAGTCGGCTTTCTATTCGTCGATTCCTCGAAATGGGTTGATAAGACAGTGACTACCGGTGCATAGCATAGCAGTCTAATAATAGTGTCAGGTACACACTCGCTTTCGCTACAAGAAGCGTGTATCGGAGGGTGCCCCCTGTGAACTGAACCAGAAAACTGAGGATAAGTGTAAACCAACTATATGTGCTGCTTATGCTCTGTACGCACCTTGAACCCGTCCAATTGCAGCCAAGGTAGAGATTTGTGACCATTGACGCGCAATGATACAGCGACAAATCAGACAATGCTGGTGGACCCAAAAATGCCATCTAGCCAGACCACTCGTAACTTGAACGCTTAACAGTTGAGAAATACTAGTACGTGCCACCGTATTAATGGGTATAGCCTAATACGATAGTCCCGACATCTGCAGGTTCAATCTCTGATTTAGCATATTATTGTAGCCACAATTTTCATAACAACGTTGCACTAGATCAGATTAGAGGCCAAGCGGAAAATCAAGACGTCATCATGCGCACATCAGAATACGTGATTTTTCTGATCATCCTTTTCTGGCGATCAGGGGGTGACAATAGAATACACTAAGTAAGCTAAACAGCTCAATAATAAAAGGGGCACATTATTTAACACTAGATACTATACCAAGCTCATAAATGGTCCATGCATATGGAGGTACCTTTCTTCCTGAAACATGTCTGATCCGACTAGTTATGAAGTACGGAGTACGGAATAGAGGATGAAGATGACGGGGCATTTGCCAACCTTGGAAACGAGGCTGTGCAGTTGTATTGAGTATTAACGCCAAGGTTGAAAAATGTACCTCGTCGATCCTTATATCATGTCTAAGCAGTATGTTGCGGGTATGCTATTTCATTTCTTGTTAAAAGTATTTAGAAGAGAGTGTTGTATCGTGTATTTTTTTTTCATTGGGGGTGTTCTGGACCTATGGAGTCTACGATCTTCCCGGATCCAGAATCCTGGGGTAGACTAAGAAGAATTTTGTGTTCGATGTATGTGGTAGTACGTTGCTCTCTCGCTAGTATTAAATACCCCCGGATCTAAAACCATCAGAAACTTGAAACAGAAGGCAAAGACATCTGCCAAGGACTCCCGAAGTCTTGGCATTCTATCCATTTTGGTGCAATTATCTTGCCGCTTTTTCATCCCTGAGTAAAACTGAGCACGCTCCCAAGTATGAATTACCGAGCTTCACCTGAGCAGTCTAATTCTGCCCAACTCACTACAATGTTGTAAAGACCTATTGTCGTGTCGTGCAGTTAAGGCTCTCCATTCCGTTCAATGGAAATTAGCCCCACATTTAGCCAACACCAAGATTAGTCGCTTGCCCACATTGCTGAGGTGCCGAAACAGACCAACTTTGCTCTTTCATTTCACCATGATTAAACCCGAGGAAAGTTTGTTTCCTGATGACCGGGGTTATTGCGGCCCTAAACAACTCCCTAAGTCGAAGATCAGTGTATTGTCTGAGATTGGGATCGACTGCGGGTGATCAAGGTTAAAGGCACCACCAAACTGTTTCCGAGGACAAAGAGTGCTTAATTTTGGCGCAGCTCGCTGATTACAGTCAACGATGATAGGCTCCTTTTTGGGGCCTCTAGAGATCCAAATGAGGACGATTCTCTATTTGTAGCATATATTCCCTTCCCAATGATCGAATCGCTCCCCGATTGGTCTCTTGCCGATTGCCGTACCAAAAATTGCTCCAAAATTGAGGAGTTTGATCGACTTGGACCAGGTGTTGGCCTCCTATCATATGAAGATGAATCCGAAATTCCTCAAAAGCCTGCATCTCTCCATATAGCCCGTGATAAAGTCAACATTCTTCAGAATCTACCGCTACATCCCAATATAGTAGAATGAGTTGTTCTCGAATACGTGGAGTGTTAGCTGGTGAGATTCACAACAAAGTACATCCCAGGTAGAATTATCGTCAATTTAAGAAATCTAAAGGTGCCTTTCCGATTTGAGTGCCTAGGTGGCTGCAACAGCTTATGTTGTACCCAAGATGTGGATTTCCTAACCCTCGAACTGGGAATCATACACCAAGATACTGCACCCCCGGAATCTAGTTGTCAATACTGACCTACAAAAACATTCCTCTCTTTGGTTTAAATTGGCATGTATCGGGAAAGAAACGCTTGCGGTATAGCCGAGATAACGGGACTGGCGTCGCACTTATGTCAACACGAATACATCACTGCGAGCATTCCTCACTATGATCGAAATATCGGCATGGTGCGGAGTATGTGAAGGTGGACTTGCAACGGCGAACTGGACTCTGACACGTCGAAATTCCGCAACTTTTTGAATAAATGGGGCAGCAAAGTGAGATGGGGACATGGAACGGTATCTCAGCGCACCAACCGGCTTCTATCGCCGGATCTACCAATCCCGCCACCCCTCCCGACAGTAGCGTGCCTTACGACCTGGAAACATCCCGGGATGGAGCACAGGCGTACAATCTCAACACATTTCAATTAAGTTGAGGCAGTATCGCTTTCGCTGGGAGGGGCCACCTCAAAATAGACTGTTCAAGATGGCTAAAAATGACGAAGTAGCCAATATATAAAAAGACCCCGTTTAATTTCATCGAATTAAAATCAAACCTCGGAATTAAGTAGGCTGTATCCCAATTAATTATTTCTTAATCATTGCAAATAACGTTGTCCATATCAGCACGATCTTCTACCTCCCCCGAGTATGAGTCTTTACATCTTTACCACGCAACTAAATCATAACAGTATGTGAACACCGCTCCATTGTGGCTTCATCGCTCCTCTAAGCGTTACAGAGTTGTGCCAAAAACAAAATGGTCTGCTGACATCCTACAAGATGAGATGCCAGTATACCGTAGCCAGACAGCACTCAGTAGGATCATGCCTCGGATCAAGTGATGCAGATTAAGCACCTACTCACTCCGGACTGAAATTTACCCAGTCTAATTTAGAAGCGCCCTCATAAAAGCGGCAGCTAAGGGCCCCACCCTACAGAAGAAATTCATAACGGGGGTGGATGCCCCATAGTAGGCAACGACTTTTAAGTGTGGACCTCGAAAGTCTGAAAGGAACACTCTAAATTTTGATTATCAGCGAGTAACCAGACAGACAAAATACTTGCATGATGTGAGCTCCATCCGGAACGGTTAAAGTTGAGATGTATTCAAAGTTACCATTGTGCGTCTGTAACGGTCCGCTACTCCGTTTACTCGGCACACTCCACAGCTGGGGGCAACAGTTCCTTGGGTTCAGTGCAATACTTAAATTGGAATATCCGACTTTTGTCTCTAATAATAATCCCAAGGGCCATGGACCCGCCTGATTCCGCCATGATCCATCAACTGCTTTCGGCAGCTTCACGCGAAAACGAGATACGAAAAGAGAAAGCTGATTTTCTTCAGAAAGAGAACCAAGTGTATATAGGGAATAGAGCGAATACAACATAAAGTGAATAGACTGAAACAAAGGGAAGAAAGGGGAGAAAGCAAGTGAAACATTATATAAGTTCGCCTTGGAGGTGGCATTCTGTATTGTTGAAGGGGGGGGGGAAGGTGCCCATGGGTGGCCGTACGGAACAAACCTAAACATCAATACCAAACCATACAGGTATTTGATTGGTTCAGGGTTAGCCGCCCCTGTCCTCTTACAATACGTGACCACATGCCTTGCCAGTGGAATGGCGACGGTCAGTCCAGGCAATGTCTTTCCCACCCTTGTCGACTGTCCCTGGAGCACAACCCGTAGACTCCTCTTCTCACTCTCATTCTCTCATTGTCTCTCTTTTTTTTCCCTTCTCTTCTTGCTAGGGAAAGGCTGTGTCTACTTTAAGCCACTTTGTCCCCCTTCAAGCCTATTACTCCTTTACTCCTTTTTCGGCCATACTGTGTATCGCCAGTCCGCTCACTCTCGACACGCTTTTTTCGCTTTACTCGGCCTTGCTCTCATTCAGGCTTTGACATACTCTCATTTTTATCTACAAATTCAGCTTCTTCCGATTCCATAACCCCCCCCCCCCCTTACGACTACTTCCATGTTCCGTTTATATTCCATACCACAGTGAAAGACATCTTGACTGCATCTCGACTCAACCTTGACTTTCCTCCGCACGCCAAACATACAGTACAGTCACAGTCCAAGGAAACGTCGAGAAATATTTGGGTCACACGGCGATCAACCAATATCCGGCCGTACAAAAACTTCCGCATTCGGCGGCTGGCAACGTGGTACTCTGGAGTGCCACTGACACGGAACCCGTCAGATCTTTCCCCCTCGCCCTGAACCACCACTGGAAACTCATCCAGTGCTTCGCGACATCTTCCTAATATCGAATCTTTAGCAACATGCGGTTACTATCGCTTCTCACTTGCTTTGTCGCCTTTCTGGCGCCGCTAGCCTCCGCCGTGCAGCTCCTTGAATCCAATGCACTCAGTGTATGCATGGAAAGTAGCAACTTCACGGCCACGTATTTCAGCGTTGTCTTCTATCCAGGGAACAATTCTCTTTTGGTCGGCTTCGATGGCGTCTCATACATCGAAGGTAAGGTTGTCGCAGAGATAACCCTTACCGCGTATGGCTTTGAGGCGTACAAGAACACCCTTAACCCTTGTTCGATTTCCGGCATGGGTATGTGCCCCATGTCCGCTGGACCCATGGATTTGGGACCACTTTCTCTCGACCTGCCAGCTGGTACTTCAGCCAAGATTCCTGGTATTGCCTACACTGTGCCCGATCTTGATGCAAATGTGCGGATTGCCATCAGGACCCTCGACACTAATGAAAAAATTGCTTGTGTCGAGGCCTCGCTTTCTAATGGCAAGACCGTTAACCAGGCCGGGGTCGGGTGGACAACCGCTGTCATCTCCGGATTGGGTCTTGCTGCATCCGCTATCACCTCCGGACTAGGTCATTCTAACACCGCGGCTCATGTCGCGGCAAATGCGCTCTCCCTTTTCGGATTTATGCAGTCGCAAGCAATGATTGGCATGACCTCAGTTCATATGCCCCCGATCGTGGAAGCTTGGACCCAGAACTTCCAATGGAGTATGGGTATTATCCCCGTGGATTTCATTCAAACGATCGCTACCTGGTATCAGCGGGCAACTGGTGGAACTCCATCGACAACCCTGTCAGAGCTTGCTGATACTTCTGTGGAAGTCCTCAAGCGCCGCAAACGTGACTTTGCTGACCCGGCAATGAACCTTTTGAAGAGAGCCACGAGACCAATGATGGTTAAGCGAGCAACTGGCATGAGCAAAAAATCACCCGACACAAGCCAGAAACTTCTTGTTGCCCGAGGAATTGATCGGGTTGGATTCCGTGCCGACATTGAGGAAACCAATGTCTTCCTCACAGGTCTCATCTTCTTCGCGGTCTTTACCTGTATTGTCGTCATAATCGTTACAATCTTCAAGGGAATTACTGAGCTATTTGTCAGAAGTGGCCTAATGAAGAGCGAGCGGTTTCAGGACTTCCGTAATGGATGGAAGATAGTTTTGCGTGGGATCTTGTTCCGACTGACTCTCATCGGGTTGCCCCAAATGTCTGTTCTTTGCCTCTGGGAGTTCACTCAGCGTGACTCGCCCGCTGAGGTTGTCTTGGCAGTGGTCATGCTTCTTTCGATGCTCATCTCTCTTGGGTGGGCCTCGCAGAAAGTAATTCGGCTGGCAAAGCGTTCAGTGACCATGCACAAGAACCCGGCATACATTCTTTACTCTGACCCATCCTGTCTGAACAAGTGGGGGTTTTTGTATGTGCAGTACCGAGCAACGGCATACTATTTTGTCGTTCCACTTCTCATCTACACCTTGATCAAGGGTATGTTCATCGGTCTGAGCCAGCCTACACCAGTCGTCCAAACAGTGGCCTTGGTGATCCTTGAGCTATCCATGCTGCTTGCTGCCTGTATCCTCCGCCCTTGGATGGATAAGAAGACTAACGTCTTCAACATCTCTATTGCTGTGATCAATTTCATCAACTCCATCTTCCTGCTCGTTTTCTCGGATGTGTTCGACCCTCCCGGATTGATGATCGGTGTCATGGGTGTCGTCTTCTTTGTTTACAATGCCGTGTTTGCTTTGGTTCTTTTGATTATGGTTCTGATCGCCTCACTTTATGCCGTTGTGTCCAAGAATCCCGACACTCGTTACCAGCCCATGCGCGACGATCGTGGCTCGTTCATCAAGTCCCAACCCCAGCTGACTACTGAATTGGATGCCTTGGGTGCTACAGCGCGTGGGGATATGAAGCCGGGGCAATACAACCACAACAACCCGTTCGACGATGATGATACCGCTTCTTTCTCCAGTGGAAACGGTGCTACCGTTGGCCGCCAAATGGAATCAACCTATCCACCGAACGGTTCTGCCACCCAAGCGCCTCGGTCACCTGTTGACCCATCTGTGCCGCTGTTCCCCAGCAACGCAGGTAATCACAATCCTCCCCCTGGATACGACCAGTTCGGTCGGGCCCCTTCGCCCGCCGGAAGGAGCTTTGACAACACCTCCCCTGTGGGCCAATCTGCTTTGTCGACAACTCATCAAGCCCAAAATAGTGTCAGCCCTTGGCAAAGGGGTGCTGGCTACGACCATTAAAAAAGGGCCACTGGTCTCCTATTTTGTCGCTTCCGTGATGAAGATATGTGATTTTGTTTTAGCGCAGGATACCGATGGTCTATGATTTTCCAATCGCCATACCTTGGGTTCGGGTTTCTTTTCTTTTTTGCTTCTGTCTGCAGCATCCTCGTCGCTTCAGATAAAACCTCTTTTTTAATTCGCTCCATTGCTAAATGGTGTGAGCTTCTGTCGCCTATCCGCCTATCCTTCCTTTCCCTTTACTTGTTCTCCTCACTTCTTTTCTCCTTTTCTCTCCCTGGTCCTGAATCCTTTCGAGGTGTACTCTTCTTTTTTTTTACTACCGCGTGGCGTTCTTTGATGCATTCTGGATATGGTGATTGGCCTTGAGGGTTTCTCTTTTCGTTTTGTTGGCTTCACAGTATGTCTGCTGCTGGTGGAATATAATTCCAATTTCTCCGTTTGAACCAGAGCACAATTTCTCACCCTTCACGCCAGTATTCTGGAGGTAATCCTAGTGTATATGAATGAAATCAACATCAACGGTTAAACATGGAAAAGCCATCCCCTCAAGTAGGCCTTGTTCGGTTTGTTTCCGTGGTCTATCTCCAAACCAAGAAAATTGTCTCGAAATAAAAGACACCCAAAAAGACGCCAAAAGGCCGCAAACGGGGCCGACTGTTCTTGTCGACATCTGTCGATGTACGTGGATTTTTCTGGCAACTCTCACGGCTTTGAATCTCTTGTAAATACTTCAATTGCTTGAGCTGATGACAGCCATGACAAGAACCCCAAGAGACTATGTAATACAAACTACAACGGACGGAAAGTCAAGAGACGTAAAAAGAAAGAAATCGCTTCTGTATACTAATAGTAGAGAGGAATAAAAAACCAAGAGAGATGCCATGCCATGCCCACGGCACCGAGTCGGAAAAAATAAGGTATCAGAAACAAACCACTTACAAACCAACCCCAAGATCGTGATCATTATTACCACCGTTGATCCATCCCACCGGGAGGCCCACCTCCAGGGGGAGGAGGATACCCCTCCAAGCTACGGGGGCCAGTAGGAATCTGCGACGGGCCACCGGGTCCCATACCAGGCTGACCAGGCATAGGTGGGAAGCCCACAGCGCCTGGCGGGGGGATGGGGAAATTGGGGAAGCCGCCTGGGGGCGGGATTGGTAGGTTTGCGCCCTGGGGCATGTTGGGGAGAGGCGGAGGGAAGCCGCCTGTTGGCGGGGTTCCGGCGGCGCCAGGGAAGGGAGGTGGGAAGGGGATGCCATGGGCTCCTGGAGCTGTTGAGTGGGGATATTGGTTAGTCTGGTTTTGTCCGGAGTGGTTTTGATATCCTCTCTGCTTCTTGGGGGGAGGGGGCGGGCTTGGAAATGGGTGGGACATACGAGGTAGCATGCCTGGGGCACCAGGGGCGCCTGGTGGAGGGATGCCGAAGGGGGGAGGGGGCATACCTGGCATGCCTGGCCGTCCTAGATGTATTAGCTTGTGTTTTGGAATGGCTTTCAGCAGAGCATGGGAGGGAGAGAGTCATACCCGGGAATCCGAAGGGAGGCGGGAAAGCGCCGGGGGGCATCATACTGGGGGCTTGTTGGCCCTCTGCGGCGTAGGAGGAGGTAATGGAGTCAATCACAGACTGGGCCTTTTCTTGGCCGATCTCTGTAACGGGTTCGTATGATTAGCTATCACTCAGCTGTCGGCATTGACTGCCTTGCGGCGCCATTGGTCAGACGTACGTTGGTAGTAGTCCACCACGTTTCTCAGGTGGTTTCGGCCGGAGTTATGCGCCTTGCGCACGCTCATGGAGTCGTGGGTTAGATAGACATCACAGTAGTCGCCTATAGTTAAAGTGAGGGGTTAGAAATCTGTCGATTGATGTGGGCTCAAGAGGCCGTAGTCGGGCGTATCGCATCATGGCCCCAGTAGGCTATGGCACGGCATGATTTGTCTGGACCTGGATTTATGGCAGAACATACAGAAGAGTGCATGGACAGTTAGCTTTTAGTTGCAAAGATATAGAATAGAGGGTACTTATATTTGGGCATCTTGCCGGTTTCTGCAGCAAGTACCTTGCTGTCGTCGCGCGAAAGAGGAAAATTCCCTTTCGGGATGGGGCTCGTTTAAAGGTCGGAATTCTTGGCTAGCAAGGACTGTCCTGGTTGCCAATGTGGTGGTCTCAGATTGAGTCTCGAAAGTGAAGCCTTGGTGATGCAGATAAGAGAGAATTTGAGGTAGCAAGACCAGCCACTGGTTTCGGAGCACGATAGTGAAAGTTGAACAGGCGGTCTGATGTGGCAGAATAATATCTTATCGCTTCCGCCACAAAGACTCCCCTCTTGCTAAGGGGTTGAATTCTTGTGATCAAATGAATTCTTGTGATCAAAGTAACGATGTCAACTAATTGCTAGTATGAGTGTGTCACCAAATCTAGACCAGCACTCGAAACGGAAACCTTTCAGATAAGACTATTCCACGTCCATTCACTCATTACGATTTATGACACTCTGCTACTCTGGGCATAGTAACGAACCCCTAAATCAATGACCATGTCCACATTGCATTATTGAAAAGTATCATGCACAGTCAATAAATGACACTTCTACTCTCTAGGGCCATCCTCAATGTCATAATGGTGCAGATTATCGGGTCAGGCCAATGTAGAGCTTTGGAATCAGTTGTGATTAGCGAAAAGCATTGGATTTGTATTGAATAGATTCACACGCCAGATCAATCATCAAATCGAAATGGGTAGCTTAAACCACTGCCTTCGTGAGAGCTGGTTTACAAATCCCACTTGCTTGCGACAGCTGGGGACAAGACACCATTGACAACCCCACGCTGTTCTCTCAGATTCAAAACCTGCTCACCCTCCTCACGCTCAATCTCAAGTTTTCCATTGTCCAAGCTCCGAGCAAACTCCACAATCATTTGGAGTAAGCTGGCAAACTTGCCCAAAGCCAGCTGTTGGGTCTCCTCCCACTGTTTGACATCATTTCGCACATCCTGAACCCGAATGTGCTTGAATTGACCAGCTGCATGATGGGCGAGAATGAAGTTGGGGGTCTGTGTAACCCACAACTGGGGTAATTCCTTCTCAAGAACGTTGACACTCTTCTTGCTGCGAGATCGAGTCTTCAGGTCAAAGACTGCACACTGTGGGATACGCTGGCCTTGGATGGCAATGTCGAGCTGCTCCGTTGCCATTTCCGTACTGGCTGAGGGGACATCCGAGATTGCCATTTCATCGATGGACGGCAAAGCTTCCTCTGGGTCGACACTCTCCTCCTTGGAATCGGGAACGGGATCTTCTCCGGATTTCTCGGGATCCGAAACCAGGTCGGGTAAAAAGCCATCGGCTTCAAAACGCACTAAGCACCGCATGCCAGCAAACTCATACTCCACCACCCGTTGATGGGACTGGGAACCGCCCACATTTGCACCCCACGTGGTGTATGCTTCCGGGAAAGTGTGCCCATATCCATGGATACCGGGAATTGTTTCGGTGGGCGAGTTTTCTCTTCTGACAAAGAACACCGTCTTGCCAAGTACCTCAACCAGAATCCTGAAGGGCTTCTCCTCCCCACGCACAAAACACAGCAGGTTACCCATTGTACGGTTGCACCCGATAATGTCCACACTGGTCACGGGGAACTCGGGGTTGTCGGTCAGAATGGCTTGTACCATTGGCTCCAGAGGGTAAGTGGGATATTGTGCGGCATTTCGATCACGATAAAATCTACCCCTGTCTTGTGGAAGCGTGCGTGGTTCGGATAGAGGCGTCCACTTTGGTGGTTCGCCTGGAAAAACTGTGTCAACTAACAAATAGGTGGTGAACTGTGCATTCGTTGTCATCTTACCGGGAACTATTATTCTGCTCTTGTCCCCACCAAGCCAGTTGTAGGATGTCAGATATCGACTGCTCGTGATTCGAGATAGATCATCTTCTTGATCAGATGCCGGACTTTCAATTTCATTGTGCTGGATTGTAACAACGATATCTCCCAGAGGAGGCGCTGGTGAATTGATCTGGGTCGCTCGTGCTCCACCTCTTCCTCTCCGTCGTCTTCTTCCTGTTTCCTGCAAAGGCATAGCGTATACCAGTCTGGCAATTAGCGACAAAGGTTGGCAAGTGATGCAGCAATGTGTAGATGGATAAGAGAACGATTGCAAGTAGAGTGGACCAAAGTCTTAGTTATTTTCTCGTTTGCTACATCTCTACGCGCGTTGAATTGCAGGGGTATAGATCCTTGTTGCCAGGTCACAAATGGCCTTTCCCTGCATTTTCTTGCGTTTGGTTTCTGCTACGCATAACCTAGGCAGCCCAGTTGGCTTCTGAAGATACAAACCTACACCAAGGCAGACAGTTCTGGCAGTCTGCATATTCAGTGTAACTGTGCTCTTTAATATCAATGAAACAGAACCCAACCTGTCTCTTATCTCCAAAGCCTTCCTACACCTCGTTTTATCATCTCCTTCTCCACTTTTGATTTTGCAACTATCCATGTTAAATCTGCTGTCGTTTGAGCGCCTCATTTCCTGTCATGTCTACAAACGTTCGATCGGAGCGACTGGCCAAATATCTCGGAGCCGTCATCCATGGAAAGCAAGAAGTCCAGCATCTGAACGATTTCAAGCGATTTGTTGAAGCAGTTCTGGACCAAAGTGATCCCGGAACTGTTGTTCAGCGAATTATCTCAAGCAAAAGCGCTCTAAACGCCTTGCAAAATGGACTGAGGTTCAACCTCACCCCGGTCTTCATTAACGGGCACACTGCAAAGTTGATTCAGTACTTGAATCACCGCGAAGTCAAGCTCCTTTGCAATGGTCAATTTCTTGAGCAGCTTCTTCTCATCATCCTGGAGCCTCGTGCCCTCTGGCACGCATTTCTGGAGGCGTTCCGCACTCGGAAACTGGAAGAGCATGCAATACAGGCTCTATGCTGGTTGATGACGGAGTTCCTTTCACTGTCTCCCTCTTGTGGGGTAGATATTAGAGCCGATGCTCAGACTATCTTGGACGATGGTTCGCTTTTTTCCTCGCCCTCGGCTGACATTCGAAACTTGGGCCATAAGATCAAATTGCATCTGGAGATGAAATCACCTGCAACCACCTTCCAGCACTCTGAAATCATTGCAGGTGGTCGGCATGATAATGATTTTGCTGACTTTCGCTTGACAGCCATTTTTCCCACAGCCGATGAGATGAGATGTACGGAGAAACCGTTCTATCGCCGTGCTGAAGATATCGCGCAGCTATCCAGTAGTCAACGCATTGCGGGCCACGTTGACAATCAGTTTCGTCTTTTACGAGAAGATATGCTCTCGGAGCTCCGCGATGACCTTCTAGTTGTCATAGGCACCAAGAAAGGGCGACGGTCAGCTTTCCGCTTAAGGAACCTCTTCCTCGCTCATGTTCGTTGCACTTCTGGAACCCAAAACCACCTTCGACAATGTACCATTGGTGTTACTGCCCAGTTTGGCCTTGAAAAACTCAAGAAACTCTCGGCCGATAATCGCAAAAATTTCCTCAAAACCACGCCCCAGTTTGTCAAGCATCGTTCCTTTGGTTGTCTGGTTAGAGACACAGAGATCGTGGCTTTTGCTACCATTGAAAGAGACATCGATGAACTGGTATCTAGCCCTCCAGTGGTCATGCTGCGTATTGCAGGTGAAGACGCGCTCAAAAAGTCTCTGCTTTACCTTAAGCTCTACGAAGACGTGGAGTTCCTGCTCGTAGATACAGCAATGTTCGCATACGAGCCCATTTTGAAATGCTTGCAGGAGAGGATAGATATGCCTCTGACAGAAGAGTTGTTTCTTTACGAAAGAGGCCAGCCGGTGAAAGATTCGAGTTTAGCTCCTTGGAATGTGGTCTACAAGTTGAAAGAAGAATATGGATGTAACATCCAGGGCACTCTTCAAACTTCAATGCCAGTGATATTGGACCCTTCACAGCTTGACTCTATGTTGGCCGGCTTGACACAGAGAGTGAGTCTTATTCAAGGACCACCAGGTAAGATTATACGAATCCTCTCACTACCGTCTCACTATCCTTTCATTATTCTTTCAATATCCTCTCACTTCCATTACCCAGGACATTTTACTAACAGCACACGCTCCAGGTACGGGCAAGTCATTTATAGGTGCCCTTCTCGCAAAGACCCTGCATGACAGTACAGAAGACAAGATATTGGTTATGTGCCACACCAATCATGCCTTAGACCAGTTCCTAGAAGACTTACTAGACATTGGTATTGATTCCTCTGCCATGGTAAGGCTTGGATCTAAGTCGTCACAACGCACTGAGCCGCTTGGATTGTTCAAGCAGCACTCATCCTACAGGAGGAACCACACCACTTGGAGCACTATCAATGCACTCAAAGCGGACGGAATTGAACATATGGCCAATTTGAATAACTCCTTTCAAGCCTACAAAAATCTTGCAGCTACTTCTGCGTCTATCCTGGACTATCTGGAGTTTGAGGAACCAGAGTATTTCACCGCTCTGACCGTACCAGAGGACACAAATGGCATGGTTATGGTCACCAAGAGTGGAAAACCAATCAGACAAGATTACCTTTACGGACGATGGATCATGAACCAGGACCCAGGAGTGTGTTCTGCTCTTCTTCCCGCTCATTGTCGCGACATCTGGAAACTGGACCCGAAAATACGGGAAGAGAAAGACAGGCATTGGAAGAGAGCTCTGCTGAGTGAACAGGCGCAGTCTTTGAGCGTCAGCATAGCATTATTCAACAAATGCCAAAACCGACTGAGCACCGCCCTGGGTGAGAAAAACCGGGAAATTTTGAAATCAAAGCGAATCATCGGCTGCACCACAACCGCCGCAGCAATGTATTCTGAGGACATTCGGCATGCTTCACCAAGCATCGTGCTTCTCGAAGAAGCGGGTGAGATTCTTGAGTCCCATGTACTTACGGCAATGACACCGGAGACCAATCATTTGATCTTGATAGGAGATCATCAACAACTACGACCAAAGATCAACAGTTACAGCTTGAGCACGGAGAAAGGAGATGGGTATGACCTGAACGTCTCCCTTTTCGAAAGACTCATACGTGCCGGGTTTCCACATACGACCTTGAGCAAGCAGCATCGGATGTGTCCCGAGATCTCAAGTCTTATACGCAATCTCACATATCCCGAGCTGGAAGACGACGAAAAGACGAAGAGCCGCCCTTGGCCACGAGGGCTGTGCGACAGGGTGATATTTTTCCATCATCAAAACCCCGAAGGCGTTTTCGTTGAGGTCTCTGACCGACGTGATGAGAATTTGAAAGGCAGCAAAAGAAATGCGTTCGAGGCAGAAATCGTTCTCAGGATCGTGAAGTATCTCGGACAACAGGGGTATGGAACAGAAAAGTTGGTAGTGCTAACTCCTTATTTGGGTCAGCTTAGTCTACTGCAGCAGACTCTAAGCAAGCAGAATGACCCAGTGCTAAATGACCTCGATTCCCATGACCTTGTCAAAGCAGGCCTTCTCTCACAGGCTGGTGCTTCCCACTTTAAGCGTCCAATCAAGCTGTCTACAATTGGTAGGTAGAGAGACAGGAACGCCTTCAAGCGAGAGTCTGACATAAGAAAACAGACAATTTCCAAGGAGAAGAGAGTGAGATTGTTATAGTGTCGCTCACCCGCAGCAACACGATTGGCGACATAGGATTTATGGCAGCGCCCGAGCGCCTCAACGTTCTCCTTTCCCGGGCCCGAAATGTCCTCATTCTGGTCGGAAACTCGGAAACGTTCGTCTCTAATCGAAAGGGTCAAAAGTACTGGAAGCCATTCATTGATCAACTGAAGTCGGAGGGGCATCTATACGATGGACTGCCCGTCCAATGCGAGCAGCATCCCCAGACAAATGCCATTCTTCAAACAGTAGAAGACTTCAACAGGGAATGCCCGGATGGAGGATGCTCTGCCCCTTGGTAAGTCCACCAATCAAATAGCTTACAATGTGATTCTGACTCTTCCCCTAGCGGCGTGAAACTGAGTTGCGGAGCTCATGAGTGTCCGTCAAAATGCCACCAGCTTGCCGATCATTCAAAAATGAAGTGCACAAAGATCGTGAAATGGAATTGTTCCCGGGGTCATTCCTTATCTCTGTCCTGTTCCCAGGTTAAACGTTCGTGTCATTTCTGCATCCAAGAAGATCAGGTCAAAGAGCGCAAGCGTAAACGCGATCTCGAGTTAGAGAACGAACGGCAAAGAAAGCAGAACGAGTACGCCCAGCAACTTGCAGAGGCTCAGGAGGAAGCATCCCATCTCAGGCGTGTGCGACGCGATGAATTCGATGATGCAGAGCGAGCGAGGGTTCTTGAACAACACCGCCAGGAAATTGAGGACTTGAAGAACCCCCTGCGATCAGCATGCCCTCCGCGGAAACTGGGCTCTGGAACAATTGCGAGTAAACAATCAATCGTCACAGAAGAAACCCCTGATTCTACCGGTACAATCACTCGACGCCCTAGTGTTCAGCCTACAAGTCGACAGGTGATGCCACCGCCAAAGACATCGGCCGCTAAAAAAGACTGGGGCTATCAAAAGCAGTTTAAAAACGCTCAAAGTCCGGAGATTGACAAGTTAATCGACCTGATCGGACTTGAATCAGTGAAGGCAAAGTTCTTGTCCATCAAAGCCAAAGTGGACGTTGCCATCAGACAGAACATCGATTTAAGCCGTGACCGATTTGGATCCGTATTACTTGGGAATCCTGGTACCGGAAAAACCACCGTTGCCCGTCTGTATGCAAAGTTCCTATCGTCCATGGGGATCATTCCCGGTGACAAATTTATTGAAACAACCGGGTCCAGGCTGGCGAACGATGGTGTTTCAAGATGTCAAAAAACCATCGAAACCCTCTTGAAAGATGGCGGCGGTGCCATCTTCATTGATGAAGCGTATCAACTCGTCAGCAACAGTTTCGGTGGTGCCCAGGTTTTGGACTTTCTTTTGGCTGAAGTTGAAAACCTCACAGGAAAAGTGGTCTTCATTCTTGCGGGATACCAACGACCGATGGAGAAGTTCTTTGCGCACAATCCAGGGCTCCCTAGTCGTTTCCCTCATGAGCTGAAGTTTGCAGATTTTGACGACACGGAGTTAATGCAGATCTTGGTTGGATGCATCGAGAAGACATACAGAAAGCAGATGAAAGTTGAGGATAACATTGGAGGACTTTACTGTCGCATTGTCGCTCGTCGAATCGGGGGTGGGCGTGGCCGTGAGGGTTTTGCCAATGCTAGAGCCGTTGAGAATGCCATGTCTAAAATTTCCGAGCGACAAGCTGCACGACTTGTCCTGGAAGGACGACAGGGTAGCACCAAGATAGATGACTTTTTCCTCAGCAAGGAAGACATGATCGGTCCAGATCCATCGCAGGCTTTGAAATTGTCTGATGCTTGGAAAAAGTTACAGACCATGATTGGTTTGGACGCTGTTAAGAAGACGGTGGAGGCCATTCTAGACACCATGCGCTACAACTACCAACGTGAGCTAGAGGAGAAGCCCCTGGTTCTGTACAGCCTCAACAAAGTTTTTCTGGGAAACCCCGGGACGGGGAAGACTTCAATCGCAAAGATCTACGGTCAGATACTTGTGGATATCGGCTTTTTGTCTAACGGCGAAGGTAGGTGACCTTCCCCGCTGTCTAAAATACTTACTCTAACGATCGCAGTGGTGGTGAAGAACCCGTCGGATTTTGTTGGCAGCGTGATGGGAGAGTCTGAGAAGAATACCACAGGGATACTCGCGTCTACATTGGGCAAAGTCCTAGTGATTGACGAGGCCTATGGACTGTTCGCTGGAGGCACCTCAGAGGGAGCAAATTCCTTGTCTGACCCATACAGAGCTGCCGTGATCGACACCATTGTAGCAGAAGTACAAAGCACACCAGGTGACGATAGGTGTGTCTTGCTTCTGGGCTACAAAGATCTTATGGAAGAGATGTTTCAGAAGGTCAACCCTGGCCTCAGCCGACGGTTTCCACTGGACCAAGCATTTGTCTTTGAAGATTTCACCTCGAACGAACTGGATGCGATACTGAATCTGAAACTCAAGGAACAAGGATTTGGAATAACTGATCTTGGCCGCCACGTGGCATTGGAGATGCTCGAGCGTGCTCGCAACCGTCCACATTTTGGAAATGCAGGCGAGATTGATAATCTGCTCAACACCGCGAAGATGCGGTATCAAAAGCGTCTCTCTTCCGCCAAATGCCCTGATTCTGTTCCATGTTCTACTCTTGATGCTCCTGACTTTGACGAAGACTTTGATCGCGCTACCAAGAAGCAAAGTGTTGAGAAGATTTTTGAAGGCGTCATCGGCTGTGAAAGTATCGTTGCCAAACTGGAAGGTTATCGACAAATGGCTCAGAGCCTCAGGCGACTGGACTTAGATCCTCGCACACAATTGCCATTCAACTTTGTTTTCCGTGGCCCACCAGGTATATGAACCTCTACTCACAGCCTTTTGTCCACTGGAATATCGCTGACATGTAAATTCCGCTTAGGTACTGGGAAGACAAGTACAGCCAGGAAGATGGGTCAAGTCTACTACGATATGGGCTTGTTGGCTTCAAATGAAGTGGTAGAAACCTCAGCAACCGACCTGGTGGGTCAATATGTAGGCCAGACAGGCCCGAAGACACAAAAAGTTCTAGAAAATGGACTTGGAAAGGTGCTCTTCATTGACGAAGCCTATCGGCTCGCTGAGGGACAATTCGCCAAAGAGGCCATGGATGAGATTGTGGACGGCATTACCAAGCCCAGGTTTGCGCACAAGCTAATCATCATTCTAGCCGGTTATGATAAAGATATCAACCGTCTCATGTCAATAAATCCGGGGCTCACAAGTCGTTTCCCAGAGTCTCTTCAATTTGACCCATTGTCCCCGACAGACTGTATCAAGTTAATTTTGAAGCTCTTGTTGAAAGAAAAAAATGACCTCTTGAGCAAGTCACAGGTCCAATTCGACTTGGTCTGCTTGGAGAGCCCAGACTTCGAGTTTATGGAGGCTATGCTGCAGCGCTTTAATCGACTATCAAAAACTGCCGGCTGGGCCAACGCACGAGATGTTGGAACGCTCACAAAGACAATCTTTGGTAAAATTCTCCAGTCTTCCAGCGGAACGAAGCTGGTGCTGAGCAAAGATACGGTGCTCGAAGCCCTCAACTCCATGATCAATGAGCGATCCAGCCGGGAAGTCTACCTGCAAAGCTCTCTCTCAACTGCAATCAAATCGGGAGAGCAGACAGACCTGGATGTACGTACTCAATCTTTGAACAAGCCTGTCACCAAGCTGGATAATCAAGGCTCGGCCAGCAAAGACATCACCTCCGGCAAGGAACCAGACACGAGAGATCCTGAAACAGACAGCTTCACTGCCACCACCATGCGAGATGCTGGTGTTTCCGACGAAGTGTGGATTCAACTCGAGAAGGACAAAGCTCTGGCAGAAGCCAAAGAGAAAGAGTTCTTCCGTTTGAAGGAGGAAGAGGAAGAGCAACAGAAGACGATGTTGAAAAAGAAATCGGAGGAGAAGAAGGCAGCACGAGCGCTGCAAAATGCAAAAAGACAAGCAGATGAAGAGGCCCAAAGACTCCATGAAGAAGCGTTGCTTCAGCACGATTTGGAATGCAGGAGGCAGGACACAATCTTGAATAATCTCCGCAAGCAGCAAGAGGCTTTGGCCGAGGCGCGTCGTAAGGAACAAGCTGACCAGATGAAACTGCGTTCTATGGGAGTCTGTGTAATGGGCTACCAATGGCTTCGACAAAGTGGCGGATACCGATGTGCTGGTGGCTCCCATTGGGTCTCTGATGTTCAGCTTGGAAATTTTGAGCTTGGAGGAGATCTTTGAGCATTGTTCGAATGCTATTATCATTAGAACAAATCGATGGTTATTGAACCTCCGTTACACACATGCTTTGGTTTCTGGTTTGAAAGGCAACGCCCTAGAGTCCTTGTTCCTGAAGGCAGACTCCCTACTACTGGTGGGGGGGGGGGGGGGGGCACATGCGCATAGCAGAAATTTTGGTAAACGATTAGGTCGTTTACATCGTTTGAATTGGTAGAGATATGAGCGCGCGCACAGCAGACATTGTGATAAAACTCGAGTCGTTCACATCGTTCACTTTCCCAAACGCGTTTTGCTTTACCTCCCTTATTCTCATCCCATCTGAGTTGATTCTACAAGTCAAATTCCAACTTTAACATGGTGACCACCGTTCCTGCAAAAGAAATTGACGAGCTCGCCGCGGGCATCCGGAGTATCATGGTTGAGCCTGAGATTCTGATCTCCCTCCACGACGGCGACCTCATGGCACGCCCCATCATCAATCCAACCAGTAGAGCCCCTGCCATCTCGGTACCGCTCGACGCACTTCCGAGCTACTGTTCAAATGGAACCTTCGTCTTCGAGGAACCCAAGGCTCTCGAGGCATACTTCGGCAACACTGGACCGACTCGTGCAACTGCTACCAAGCTCCGACTGGTTCCCTTGCATCACTTTGTCAACAATCCCTTCCCTTTTGTGAGCCTTGATTTGTTGTCCTGGTCAGGATGGAATTCTGACTCTCCCGACCAGCCGGGCGAGATATGCAAGTTCCTTGATCATGCGTTAATTCCCCACGACTTCGTTATCTCCGCCAAGGGCCAGGTATTCATTGACATCGTCGACGGTTGGAGGGCTGCTTCTCGGGCTGCTCCACATGGACACGAAGTGGAGGAGATCACTTTTGATCTCTTCGGATCCGGTAGGCTCTGCCCGAGCTACATCTCTCGCTTATTGCAGCATGTGAGCACTGTTCTTGCTGTCAAGGCCAGGGGCCCATTCCACAGTCGACTTTGTGATGATGAATCCTACCATTTCAAGCAGGATGTGGTGGGATCACTGACTCACAATCGGCTTTACATGCAGCTGCAGATGCAGCAGTACATGCTTCGATTTTTCAGCGTCCACGCTAGCACTAAGATGGAAGGTGTCGTCCCTGGCGGCTAGGTTGAGGGTGACCGACGGGGGTGTTCGAACGACGCTTTTCTTTGAGATCAATTGAGCCACCTGAACTTTTTCTGTAACCATTCATAATTGTGCAATCATCGTAGTGTCATAGAGACTCTGATCCCTCGTATCACGAATCCTAAATAAGCATTTTCGACCCGACTGCCCACCAGAATCCGAAGTCTTGTTCTTCCCTGTGTACCACTGGGAAATCTGGAGTTCGTCGAAACACACCGCAATACTGATAGGACCACGAATGATGCACGGCATGGATTTACAAGACAATCGATCTCCAAGGTTCCTTTCCCATATCAAAATCAACATCGGCATCCATAACAGTACCAAGCCAGCCAAGATTCCACCCCAGCGAGCTTAGCCTCCGACCACGATATCCCTGGCAACCTCCCTCACCCCTCACACAGTTCGCCCGAGTACCAGATTACTGGAAGTAGGTCACATCAACGAGCCAGCTCAAACGACCAATCGGTACGATTGATGCAATTCAACCATCATCGCATATAAAGTCCACGTGTTGGTCCCAGTGCGAGATACCCGAGAACCGAATCAGCAGCGAAGTGCGGGAATCCCCTCACAACAGAGCTGGCCGTGGGCCCCGGGGGTACTCTGGGTCTTGTCAAGATTTTACTTGTCGTCTTGACCAGTATACTGTGTAGATCCCTCGGGGGGTAGATTGAAAAGTCCAGGTTACGTCCAGCCCTTGCATCAGGAAGAATGCAGCCCCTCGGAGCCGTCAACCGGTTCCCAGGTCTCGGCCTAGCGACCATGCTGGTCATGTGTCATGGTGCTACGCTATGAGCTACTAATCGGGTAGCGGGTATGAAATGGTTAGTGTACGGAGTTTAGATGGGATGGGTTGAGATATGGGTTGAGATATGGGTTGAGACATGAGTTGAGACATGGGTTGAGATGGGATCGCACGATGGATACAACGCACTTGGCGTGTTTGGTTTAATTGCGCAGTTGAACTGTTTGATGTAGTTGTGTTCGAGATATGAGGGGTGATCGAATGCCAGGGATTTTTATTGCCCTGAAGATTCTCAAGTCAGGTGCACACTGGTAGTCCAATTAGGGAGATCCGGATGTTCTTTTGGGATCTAACAAACCCTCTCAACAAGCCATGTCCCTTCCCGGCACGTATTCCCCCCCATGTGAGGTCACAGCGGAATTGGTTCCTTGTGTTGCCCTTTTGAGCATCCGAGGCCTACATACTCCTTATGTTGTAGTCATATTGTGTCCGTTGAAGAACTCCCGAGAGACGCATGACTTCCAGAAAAAGTCGGGGAACAGAAAACCTGGGGAAGGAACGCACAGACACCAAAGGAGGGCGATGATTTGTCGTTCGCCGCCGTTCGGATCTCTTGGCCAGTCAGCGCACAACCTGACCCGTTTCTCTTCTTTTCTCTTCTTTTCTATAACATACGTTCATGTCTTTTTTTTTTTATGTTTTTTTTCCAACGTCATGCAGCATCTGGGGGACATGGCACTGGGCCTATTCTCGGCCTCGGCTCAGCTGCAAGACGAAATAGGGGCAACCTTGGACGCCAGTTGCCATTGTGGGCAAGTGTCCTAGTACGACTCCGCACGGTGAGTGAATTATTGATCCCTAAAACAGATACTCCGTTCTAGCCGATGCCCTAGACTCCCAAGGTCGGATCTACCGGGCCGGCCACAGAAGAATTATCCCGCAAATTTCAGCGATGGAGTCATCGTGCAGAGCGATCTGCGTCCTGAAATTTCAGTGTATATAGTGGTCTTTGGATGATCTGATGGTTCAATCTGATGTTCACCTTCATGATTCTCGGAGGTACATTGTGCAGTCCCAAGAGTCGCATCATCTCGTGGCTTGTACTCCATCTCACGTACCAGTCTCAGATCCATAGATGCTTGCCACCTGATGTTGTAGAACCACTGCTCGAAGTGAAAAATGGGTCGCTGCACAAAAAGCCCCTGTTCTCTGGAAATAGAAAGTGGACACGGCCCGGTGAATGATGCCATTGTTGGAGCCATAAAAAAAAATACCTTCTCCCCTGGTATTCTATACTCTACCATACATCATGTCTATTTTTTTTTTGAACTCCTTCGGCCAGCTCATGACTATCTAATCCTCCGTATGGATTCCGTATGGAGCACTCTAGTGCCTAATACCTCAAATGATCAACATTGCGGAACACCTGACGTGCTCAAGAAATAGCCCCTGTTGCAGGGTGTGATTACAAGGGATACCGTGAATTTTTCTCCGTCCAGTGTGAAAAAGACAGTAGATCTGGATGCTCAACCCTGAATTGAGAGATTTTTCGACATTTCCTGGGGGTAATGGAAAATCCCTATTGGTTGTTCTACCCATTTCTGTTACGTCTTGCCACTCACTATTGGTGGAGCTGCCCCAGTCAGATGACTTGGTTGCCCAGTGGACCATTTTTTGGGTAAAAGCGGCCAGAGTGGTGCCGCCTGAAGGAGACTATGTAATCCCCTTCCTTAACTAGATCACAGGGGCGCTTAAAGGACACGTGCAGATGCTGACATAGCAATTAAACCGGAAATCTCTCTAGCCGCTCTACTCCGATGACGACGGAAATTCAGGGAGAAAATTCCAAACCCCCCCCCAAACTTTAAAAAAAATATACGAAAAAAAAAGAAGAAAAGAAAAAAAAAAAAATCTCACCAACTGCCCCCCCCCCCCCCACCAGCACCTTGTGACTGGATGTCGTGCCTGGAACTGGAAATGACTCCCCCCAAAAGTCCTAGGACTATATAACATGAAAGTCCCCCTGGTTGCTCTTAAAGACACACAACTGCAAATTTTGATCGGTGGAGATTGAAGAGTTTCACCATAGATATTGTTGATACCTCTCTAAATCGTCTCTATACTTCATCTTTATACTTCATCTCTATTCCTCATCTTCACACATCAGCCATGCCTGCATCAAATTATCGCCTGGTTGAGCCACACCCTTCCGTGCCCCATGCCGGTCGTCCAGCCGTCTATACCGGCCGAGGTGGATGTGGGAATGTTGTCAATCTAAAGAACACCAAGACCACCGACTCGCGCAGCGCAACCGGTCCCGCCTCACTAGCTCGTCTCGACTCGCGCGTGTCATCAACCTTCACCTCTGGCCGCGGTGGTGCCGGGAACGTCCACAACAGCACTGAGCGTGCCATCTTCAGCTTCGATGAAGAACTCGAACGTGATCTGCGCCAAGCCGCCCCCATCTACCACGTCGGACGTGGTGGTGCCGGAAACACCATGTACCGCGACGACTGCAGCAATTCCAGCTTGAGTCGGAAGCACTCGGCTGCCAGCACGGCTTCCAATTCCAGCACTGGATCCGTGGCGGATCGTGCCCGTGACTTGGCCCGTCGTGGTCTTGAGATGAGTTGGGGCAAGCTGAGGGGTACTGCCTAAAAATGGCATTCTTCTCTCCCACTGCAACCCCATCTCGTCTCTAGCGAGATCCATTCAACATCAACGACCTAACGACATTTCAAAAAAAAAAGTTTCTGATCCTTTCTCTTGACCACTTCATCAATCTTTTTAATCTTAACGGGACCTTCTACCGGATCGCCCAGACCGAAACATCAACGATGACCACCCGTTGACTGTCTGTCCACAAGACTGTTTCTTTCTGCATCTGTCTGTGACATCCCCCAAATGCGAATCTTCACCCCATCATCCATCTTCCCTCCTATGGAATGCCACCCTCTGTGTTTCCACATCAAACTCCCTCGCCAGGGTCCGGAAACCGAGTTCTCGTCTCTTCGGAGTTTATTCAACACTTGACCCAGATCGCGCCATCGAACAACAATTGTCTGGCCGCATCATTCTCGGAGTTCCCCCTATCTCCTCCTTGTGTCGCACACTTTTTGTGTTTCCTTTTGATTTTCAACATATTCCCCCCCCTGTACTGCGTGACTCTGGGCTACTACTTCCTAGCCGTGGGTTTTAACAATGAAATGCATGCTAGGGATCTTCCCTAGCTGGATTACTCGTCTTCCAACCAAGAAAACTTCTCAGTTACATCATTGTAGTAGTAGATTTCGTATTAAGACGTGCTCGTTGTGAGTGGGTTCCACTCACGGTAAATCTGGACTTGCAGGTTTCGCACATAGGGTCGGGATGTGGTATCCCCGCGGATAGGCGAGCGCAGCCGAACCAAGTTGGTACTATTATTCATGGTGCTTTTTTTTATGTCCTAGAAAGTTGGGTTCTAATTCTCCGGATTTCTTGTGGTCCACGGACCTTCGTTTGGCTTGCCATTCTATAGTTTCTTCCATGTCGGTGTTCAGTCTGGTTTCAAAGTCCACTGCCAATGGATCTGTAACGACACAGGCTCTCTATTTAAGGGGGTGACAGAGATTAGAAGTCCTTTTGTTTTCTACAAAGAAATCGCCTCCCTTGCCCAGTGAAGCCCATCTGCATTAGGCTACATCCGGGTACCCATGACGCCATGTAGTTGACTCATACAAAGGGGTGACGAATTGGAGAATGGACAACCCAATTCTCATCATACTTGCCTTCTGCCCAAAGATAGAATTTAAAAAGATCGATTGTGATTGTAACACTGTTCCATTACAAGCTCGGACACATATATATATCTAGGGCTAGTGGGGGGATTTAGTCAATCTATTCAGATGGGATAGAAAGGTACATGGCGAGAACTTATGTATGCAGGCATGTCTGAGTAAAATTATGTCTAGAGTAGAACCATCCCCAAGACACAAGAGAGACTGGACTTGCAATAAAGTCAGAGCCAATGCCAAGACGACGTGAGCTGGATAGGAAATTTGAAACGGGGGTATCAAGAGTCGGGAAGATGACTCGGATTGGTGATGTTGGTCGATCAATTCTGGGTATGCACTGCCAATTGCATGATGATCGATCCAGGTTGACAAGATCGGTTTCTTGTGTGCGTTCTGGGAATTGGAGATGGTGCCTTGGGATCGGGTTGGAGGCAGTGGATGTGATCAATTCTAGAGTTGAATTGGCAGAAGGCCACCATGATATCAAAGACTTTCGTCATGGGCGAGTCTTTTTATGCGAATCGCTTGTGGATCACCTCGGGATCCTCGTGCCATTCGTCTGCGCTTACCCACATCTAGAGAGTGGTGAGTCAGCTGTGATGCATTGGCAAAAGGGAGATATTTGCAAACCTTTCTAAACGTGCTCAGCCCGGCAAGAATGCTACCGCCAATCCACGTGGTGTACTTGCGCTCAGCAGGCGCCGAAATGCGGATCTTCATGTCCTCGACTGCTAGTTTCTTAATCTCGCGCATCAACCGATCGGGGAAGTTCTTGCACAGTGTTGAACCTCCAGAAAGCACAATATTGAGGTATAGAGATTTTCGCAGGTCGAGATCGGTGCGAGTGATGGCGTCCTGCACAATCTGGTGCACACCGGGATACTCGAGGCCGATGAGCTCGGGGTCAAAAAGGATTTCCGGCGCACGGTAACGTTCTTGGCCAATCTTGAGAAGTCACGTCATTAGCATTGTTGTATCCCCAAGACGAATGGCAGGTCGTAGACAATGCCTACCTTGATCTTGTGGCCGTCCGGAAGAACGTAGTCCATCGCTTTAGCATCGGATTTGTGGTAGCTGTTCATCCACTCCTTCTCTTCCCGCTTCGGATCCAGCGAGACGTAGCAGACCTTCTCCTTGATCATCCGCACCACCTCCTTCTCGGCGCTGGTATGCAGCACATGCCCGGCCTTACGCAGCAGCAGCTGCATCTGTTCTGTAACGTCACGACCAGCAACATCAATTCTCCGAATACTGTTCGGAATAGCGAATCCCTCAAAGACAGGCACCGCATGGGAGACACCATCACCAGAATCCAAAACCACACCCGTGGTGCGGCCAGACGCATAGAGCGACAACACAGCCTGGATTGACATGTACAAGGCCGGCACGTTAAAAGCTTCGAACATGAGTTGGGCCGCGATATCGCGGTTGGCGCGCGGGTTCAGCGGTGGCTCCGTGAGCAGGACGGGGTGTTCTTCGGGAAGGGTCTTGAGCTCGTTTTCGTAGACATAGTGCCAAATCGATTCCATGTCTTCCCAATTCGTGACAATGCCGTGTTCTAGAGGATACCTGATCTTCAACAGTCCGCGGAGTTCCTGTGCACGGGACCCGATGAACGAGTCTCCTTCCAGCCCACCGGCCATCACCCGTGGGTGCTTGGGACGACCAACAAACGACGGAAAATAACATGACGGAATCTCCTCTCCGGCGAAGCCTGCTCGAATTGTGCCACTGCCATTGTCGATGACAATTGGCACGTTGTGAAGAGTTGCCTCAGCCATTGCGGAGAGTGTATGGAAGTTGATGTCGGAGAAAGACAAGCGCGGGTATAGACGGCCTCTCGGCCTAGAATGGGCGACTCGGAAGATCGATGGGGCGGTAGTTGGATTGAAGGCGCATATAGTGTTTCGGTGGTTGGGCGTTGATTCAGGAGTGGACGCGAAACCGCAAATCCGCAAATCCGCAAATCGGGAATTGTCAACAAGGAGCTTGGGCCACTCTTCGTCCACGCCTGGTAAAGTGGACTTCCGACGATAGAATTGAGGTTTACAGAAATTATCATAATCATTTTTTGACTCGCTGGTAGTGAAACATAACAAATTGGTCAAATCTTTGTACTAAAACTAATCGGCTGTGGTTCGGCTGACTTTGGAGAGTGTTGATTCTCTTCACGATCTATCAGATGAGACTTTCCACATCGACTCAATAGACCAAACAGACCGAACTCGGACTGACTGTTTGACGCCTAATTGGATTTCATGTAAGATCGTAGTTCATGAGGAAAATTGACTCCGAATCCCATTGTTCTGTCAAAAATAGCGGGTTGGCGGAAATCAGTCCTCGCAAGTCACCAGAGGGGCTCCTTTAATCCAAAAAGCTCAACTCGTCAGACATACTTTTCGCAAGAGTTGTATTTCCAGTTCGCATAGACAATACCTCGGCCTTCTGAGTCTCTGCTCTGCTAATTGCGCTGCTCACATCCCTAATCCGAGTTAGTCAGACTGGCTGAGTAGACAAAGGAGGGTAGATAGATCATTTACTTGACCGAACTACTAATTACATAGTTCCCTTCCTCTAGCTCATCGGCCAGTTCCTGCTGGTGATTATCGGCAAGATCCGGATTGGGGACCACAATCAAGGGTACACCCAAGCGAAGTCCTGCCAGAACAGTCCCACTTCCTGTAAGATGGTAAGTGGATTAAGGCCTCAAATATTTCATACACGAGATAGAGAGATTTCCTACCGGCATGACATATGATCAAGCCGCGCTCTTGATTAAGGGACTCTCTTTCCACGGTCATCATCATTTGGGCATCAATACTTGGCTGGAAATCGAATCCCCCAAGTATGAGACCGTGATGGGGCTGACCATTATCGATGAAGTCTTGGAAAACTTGTTGACCATCTTTGCCGTACTGAATAAGAAGATGGGTGTAGCCACGTTTGGCTAGAGTCTCAAGAAACTGTGAACTAAGTATTTGTTCAAGTAGCTTATGAAAGGAAGCCGTGGCCCCCACAGTTACAAAGCATAGCTTCATCGTGACGATGTTGTTGAGTCAAAGTGGGCGAAGAAATCACCCGTGGAAGGTTCTTTTTGTTATCAATTATCATTCTCACATAAGAGAATGGTAAAAAGATGCATTATCGAGATGAGAGAATAGTCCGAAGATGAAGATGCAATCACATACCGGGGTGTCACGTGTGTATAGACAACGCTAGTATTAATTTGGAATAGCGCACGGCGGTGAACCTCGCAAAAGTGGAAGCGGAAAACATCGTGATTGAGATCCTGTCCCTACCCACGCTATACCCTCAACAATGGCTTCAGCAGCTCGTTTATTGACTCGCCCGGCCAGGCATATGGTCCAAAGAGGCCTCATGACCCCTTCGTCTCGGTACTTCTCCGTCTCGCCGCTCAATCGCATCCAGGATGACCCGGTGATTCCTCCTCCGCCGAAGGAACTCAATCCGGAGGATTTCCCCCCAATGCCTGAGTACTCAGTCAATCTCCTTACGAAGGAGCAGCGATCAATGTACGATATGATGTCTCCCGAGGAGCGCGCGGCATTCGACGAAGAGAACATCCGCATGGTTGCCGAATTCAACGATCCCCAGAAACGCGCCGCGGCCTTCGAGGAAATCGAGCAGGCTGTTCAAAAGATTGAGAAAGAAGAGGATCTCCGATTCGAAGAGATTCGCCCCCGCCGGCCTGGTTTCTGGGCCGAGGATGAGCCTGATGAGTTGGTGAACATGCTCGAGGATGGAGATGAGGAAATCAATGACGACGAAATTACATCCCTGGCACACGCGGGGATGGAATTGCACCGTGAAATGAGAGAATATGCCCGCATAACAGCATGGGATATGCCAATGCTGAGCAGTAAGATCAAATGCTGATCAAGGCTACGCCTTCCATCCACTGACGTTGAATTATAGAGCTCGCCAAACCATTCACACTGCCTCCCCCAACCCACATCCTCCGCTTCCGCTACACCACCTACATGGGTGAACAGCACCCGGCCGAGCCCAAGGTTGTCGTGGAGCTTGCATCCCAAGATCTGACTCCCAAGTATCTCACTGAAGCCCAGCGCCAAACATTCCTCAAGCTGGCCGGTACGCGCTACAACCCGCAGACTGATGTCATCCGTATGTCGAGCGAGAAGTTCAGCTCGCGTGCCCAGAACAAGCGTTATCTGGTAGATGTGGTCAACTCGATGATCAAAGAGGCCAAGGAAGGTGATTCCTTCGCCGATATCCCGCTCGACCTCCGCCACCACAAGTACAAGACCAGACTTCAATTCCCCGAATCTTGGAACATGACCGAGACCCGTCGGAGTCAGCTGGCCGCCCGGCGCAAGGAGCGTCTAGCGGCCGAAGAGACGCGAGCTGCCCTTGTAGACGGTAATACGGTTGTCTCCGATGCTATCAAGGCCCTGCCTTCGCTTAACCCTGCTCTCCAGGCCAAGGCTGCTGATGAACGGGAGCGCGTTGCTGTCAAGATTGGCGCGCGGAAAAAGGTGGCACGTCGGTGATAGATGTTCGTCAACTGTATATTGGGTGTGTTTGAGAAACTGTTGTCAAACATTTGCGAGGCGCGGGCGCATATTCTAGGATTTTTGGCATTTTTTCTTTCGAATGTACTATAGTCATTTTATTCCATGCATTGGCGACTCGCTGTTAGTCCATTCCATCTTGTAGCTTGCCTCTCGACTTACTACATTGCGAGTATGCTAGCTTCTATATAGCTCTATTTAAATGCTCACAAGTACGTAGCAACTTCTGGATAATTGATATCGAAATTTTCAAAAGAAAAACATCGCATTTAAATTCAAACGCTGTGATAGATATCTGCCAAGACAAAGGGAGTAGTCAGCAGGAATCAACTGCAGCCCCAAATCCGATTTCATATGTACTCGAACCAACAACGACATCCTACCCATGACAGATGGGATAAGGCTTTGCTGCAGTTCCAGAGCCGAAAATTAAAAAAACAACGAATAAAAATCACAACTCCTTTTGGGAATATCTTCCTCACCATCCATTCAGATCAACGAACGGGTGCAGCAATTTCCCAATCCTGCGCAAAAAAAAATAAAATAAAAACAAAACAAAAAGCAAAAAATAACGCATCAGGCAGAGAAGAAAGATGTGTCCACTATCGCCTCTCATTTCTCACTCCTTTATTGTCGTCTTGTTGTAGTCTGGATCATTTTCCGTGTGTGTGTAGGTGGTTGGTATAGTCTCTGTGTGGTATGATATGGCATAATTTTACCTGGTAGGCTGGCATCGAAAGGAAACCATGTCGATGCACCAGATCTCATAAATGCACGAAAAAAGATAAAACTGATCAGTGAGTGGTAACATGCAGGGAGAAATGAGTACCACCTCCAGGCCAGGCACGCCTGAGTGAAAGTCTTGAAATGATCCAATTAGCTGCTGTGGAGGTTGTTGGAGTAATGACCAAACATGTGTGCAATGTTCTCGGCAGGAGGCGAAGTACGCTTGAGAATAGGACCTCCAATGGGACCCCAAGTGACACGGGTGTCGGCGGAGTTCAAGGGCACGTTGTCGGTGAGTTGAAGATCTCCAATCCGGGGAGTGGAAGGACCATAGTTCCTCTGGATGGTATCGTGAGATTCGCTGGAGTCAGACTGCTTGCGAGAAGGAATATCAACTCGAGCGAAAACACCGAAGTTCGAGTCGTAAGTCACAGTGGGCTCTTTCGGGAGCATGACGCCACCATCAGAGGAAGGGTTCGAGCTGTGCTGGTACACGTGGCGGGGCTGGATGCGGTGATGGGGCTCGACCGACTTGTTCGAGGCATCTTCGAACATATCTTGATTACAATCGGTCAGCTCATTGAGCTTCCAGTATGCATTACGGTTGAGGGAGTTACCGTCGTCCAAAAGAGATTGCTGGGCAGTCATGGGAGCAGAAACATGACCAGTAGTCGAGATTGTGATTGGAACCGTGACCGGAAAAGCGGCCGGGGTAGTCGGGGTGCAAACTTGGTTACCGCCATATCCATGAGATTGATAATCGTAGGTAGCTGGGGCGGATTCCATGCCCGGGGAACACTCGCCGCTATGCTCTCCGTCACACTCACCGTCACGCTCGCCGTTAATGCCGTGACGAACAGGGCCCATGGTTCGGTTACGGCCACCACGGTGGGTACCTTTCCAGTTGTTGCCATGGTGTCCATTCGGGGCGCCAGTACGGCCTCCACCTCGATTCTGATTGTGGTTAACAAACCCGTTGTGACCTCCACGGTTAGCTGGTCCTCGGGGAGGGGACTTGTTAAACTGGGGGGGAGACTTGTTCAGCTTTGGGTTGGCGTTCATGGTGGACATTTTGCTGGCGCAGCTCTCGTTGGCTGGAGAAGCTGGGGATAGTAGGGCCCGCATGGGCGGCTGAGGCGCAATCGCAAGCTGTGTACGGTTCGGGTGCAAAAAACTTTGAACGTTGTGCTTCTCGCGGTACCAGCGGGGAATATCGCGGAGACCAAGTTTCTCAATCATGTGGAACTCAGTGGGCATCTCATGCTTGTACAGACAGCCTATGCGACACAGTGTCAGTCAAGATCTCACGGGGTTGGGGCTATCCAGGCCACTTACCTTGCTGAGAATAGTCACACTCGCCGTGACGAATCCAGTACGAACAGTACTCTTTCTTGGAGCTCGGGGCCTTGTGTTGAAAGAGTTAGAAACTCGAACCATAACATGCCAGAATGTTTCGGCCATACATGTTTATTTCCCATCTGGGGGTTCTTCACATAATAGGTTGACGCAACTGGTGACAATCCATTTGCAGGAGTGCCTTGACCACCAAGCCCGCGAGGGCTGTCGATTCCCTGGAAGAGGATGGCTTGCGCCGATGCTCGCATGGGCTCAGGGACATTTTTGTTGGTGATAACCTGCAGCAAGAGGCTGTGCATATCAGGCAAAGGTTCCTTTCCAGCCTCACGCTCAGAGGACTGGGTGACCCCGTCGACAGACCAAGATTCAGAACGCTGGGTAGCCAGGCCACAGCTGGTCATACCCTGGGTTTCTCCAGCATTGAGAGTGCGAGAGACACCGCGGATGGTGACGTTAGAGGGCAGCTCATCAACAGCTACCAGTGGGGTCAAAGTCCCGTCAGGCCGGGTACAGAAAAATTGAGGGCGACTGGTGGTCACCATCTTGACAAAAGGTAATTCTTGATCCAGGTAAAAATAAAATGTTGGACTGGATAAGATTGTGTAATAAGAATGTGATACAGGGAGATGTAAGAGAGATGAAGAAGAGAAGGTGGGAACAGGACGTCTGTGGGAGAAGAGGGTTGTGGGAGAGGTGACAAGCGCCAGAAGGGACAGGTGACAGGTGACAGGGTGACAGCTCTAGGAGGTGACAAACAGAGATAACAAATTGGGAAGAAAGATGAGATGAGAAACTGAAGTTCAGGAGGGGAAACAATATCTCATATATCGGAGACCCGTTGAGCTCTTGAAGCTTGTCTGTGCCAATTACCTACATATCAAAGAGATATACGAATTGTGTCAAACACAATGAACTAAGACTATCCTAGATACACTAGATATATTGAATCCACAATGGAAGTTTGTCCATCTTTAAGCTCACAATAAGATCCCCTTGGTGACAAAGACACCAGGGTCTATCATAACAGGAAACGAGAATACGGCGTTGCCCCTGATATGGAGATAGTGTTCCTCTGCGTATCAGAGAGCAGAAAAATCTAGTAACGGCATATGAATAGACTACAGAAAGACACAAATATGTTGTGTCCTCTTTGGAGTCCACTGCTTTTGGCTTCCAAAGTCATCGTGAACATGTGTCTTGGCAGAACTGAGCGGCTGCCTGCAGAAACTGCTTAGTTCAATTCTAAATTTGCCCTTCCGTGATGCTTCTGCGTACTCTTTGCCCTATATTGCACTTATATCAATGGTATGTATGTTTAAGGCTGGTCATTTGCATTGTGTTCACGGGTTGAAGGTATGGCAAGAATGACCTACTAATACAGTCAAAGACTGAAGTACTACCTTGCGAGAATACCGCAATGATTATTTCTATTATTCAATTGCTACAAATACGTGCGAGTTATCTTCCCTCTCTAGGATACACCTTCGACCCGGTGCGACTCATCTCAATATTGGCGTTCTTGGCTACCTTATATCAACCATATCAGCTCTAGAACTATCCATGTTTTTGTCAGTGCACTAGTGAAAAGCTAGAATACTAGTTATTTCTCTTTTGCACTTACGAAAACTTGCATTTTTTTCTTTAAATTAGGACAGTGCCTTTAGGTGGTTGCCACAACCTATCCAACCTACAGATTACCTCAAAAGATTAAGATTTTCAGAGCCTTTGCATCCAAAAGTACTACACAGATACCACAGATAACCAGAGCCAAAAACACCAAAACAAAACAAACATTCTTTGGCGCGGTTCTCCTTATTCCTTCGTTGTCGCATGTCATTAACAGCTTACCAAGCGGCTCAGGCGAACCTGGGAAGACCACGTGACCTGGCTTGACCTAATTCGACCGCCCAAGCCGACAACCACTTGCAGTAGAACACAATGTCCCAAAGTAGTCCAACTGGCAAATCTATCAAATATAGCATAAGCTCCAAGCAAAATAAGTAATCTTCAGAAACCAAAGCAATTGTAATGACAGAATTTCTCAACTGCAAAAGCGCCAAGGCTATCCTGGTGGCCCCGTGGTATGCTTCTTTCCTACAGCTCATCATAGGAACTTGACAACCAGGTCTCTTGCTTGACCTAAATCTCTTTCTTCGGCTGGACGATCATTTGCTTTTCCTGGACCCCTGGCTTGAGCTAGGTCTCTGGCTTCGACTGGCTCTCCAACTCCTGTGTTGGCAGACTTTTATGCAATTTGTGTCCCTATTCTCGTCTGAGGTTAATTCTGTCATTGTTCTTCCATCGGTGTTCTTGTCGTTGTGACCTATTTCAATCTGTATTCTCGCTGGCACTCTTGTTGTCTCAACTTGATCCTGTGTGCATTCTTCCGTCGGTATTCTCGATAGTACAGCATTTTCCTCTCTGTATACCACGAGTGTGATTGTAGGGATGATGCGCTGGGCCCCGCGGACGGTAGATGGATTTCCCGAGAAATATTATTGCATGCATCGTAGAAACGTTTTGTTTCCTCGATGGCCTCACCCGCATCCAAGGCATTGTTCATCTCATTCTGGAGCTGTGACAGGTCCTTTGTCAGGCTCGATGGGAGCTAGCAGCAAGTTAGCCGGGGTAGTTTTTAAGGATAATGTGTTCTTACTAGCACGCACTTAGAACGCCGCTGGGCACACGGGTCACAGCCGGGAGAATTTCCTTGGGTAATCTGACAGTCCAGTAGCCTTTCACTGGGCTTCAGTTGCCTTTCCCATTCCTTGAAACAAATAACACAGAGCTGGCCTTGTATATTTTTGTCTGAAAACTCAAGGGAGCTCGGAGTACGTTTCTCTTCCAATAGATCTTGGGGATTGAAGGAGGCAAGACTGCACTCAGAGTCAGAGTGGCCAAGATTGGCTATCGGCTCGTTTAGGTCAAATTTGGGGGCCAATGGCATCTCAGTATCCTCGCGGTATGGCTCTTGCTTAGCACCGGTAGTGGATTTCTGGTTCTCAATGCTAGCTGCCAAATCAGAATCAAGCTTTTCAACCTTGATGAGTAGCTCAGTTGGATCGAGCTTGGGGGGCCAGTGGCATCTCAATATCGTCGCAAGACGGGTCTTCTTTCACATCAGTAGCGGCGTCCTGTTTGTGAATGCTAGCTGCTAGATCAGTATCAGGTTTCTCAGCCTTAATCCATGGCTCGGTTGGATCAATTTTTGGGACAAAGGCCATATCGGTGTCCTCGGAGGGTGGTTTCCGATTGATTTCAGTAGCTGGTAGCTGGTCTTCAAGACCAGCTACCAAATCAGCATCAGATTTGCCGGCCTTGATCAATGACTCCTTTGCTACATCATCGAATAGCTGTTAATGTGTCTACTTTTCACCGGGGGAAATGGCCCATCCACATCATTGCAGACTATCCTTGTTCATAATCATCATCTGGTGTTTTTACTGGAGCATCTCCTACTCGAGGCTGAAGGGTCTTCTGCGAGGATTCAGGCACCTCGAGCTCCTGTACGGTATTGGGCATAACTTGCGGTGTAGCAGTGGGGTTTTGCTCCATCTCCGCGAGCGCCTGCTTAAGGCTATGCTATGCATTCGCTGATGATGTTCTTTGATAAAGTCGCTTGAATGATGGATGTAGGAAATGGGGATGTGTGGAGGGATGAAGAAGTAAGACGTCTGCGTGGCTGCCTTTGTTCTTTAAACATTGGTTTGTTGCTAGTCCTGGCACCAATTGTAATCTAATCCTCTTAGATTGCATAGTGAGATTCTTGCTGGAGGATTGTGTAGCAGCGTTATCTACCGCTGGCATTTGTTTGATTTGGATAGCTTTCTGGTAGTGACCTGCTTAGGACACTATACAGTAAAGTGTTTTCCCAAGTTCATAGAACATAAGAATATGATTCTAAAGAGCTCAAAGTTCTACCTTTCTGCAATACCACATTTTCTGTACCATGATAAACCTACTGGGCTTACAACATGCAAGATAATAATCATAATCATATAAATTCAGATTGATTTTCTCTCAATCTAACAAAACACAGCTGGGTATCTTTCGCTCACAATGCCCAGAACGCCCCCGTTTTTTGAATTTTTTTGGTCTTTGTAGATTCTCTCTTTTTTGGGGGGGTTTCACCTTTCCAAAAGACAAAATACCGGGCTCCTCCCAATGCGAATTGGTACGCTGAAAATGGACATAAACCAAAAATAGTGAAAGAGAGAACCGGAGTTCATCTCAGACGAGGATCACAGAGTGATCAAAAGATGCCCCTACTAGGGCCACATCAGCAAAAATGTGAGATGACGTTTACGATTCGGCACTTCCCTCTGTCAAATCAGTGACATTAGCTCGGCTCACCCCGCCAGTTGAGGCCGAGGTGAGCTGAGCCTGAGGCTCCGCCTGAGCGGAAAGCATCGCTTTCTTCCGTTCATCACGAGCAGTCCGCGCAACCGATTTGAGAATACCCTGAAGGTATCTCTTTGCCAGCGAAATTAGGGGCGGGGCTTCCGTGCTCTTCTCCAGAGCCTCCAGCATGCGGGTGATCTGCACGCTTGACTGCATGTGGGGGCAGGCCCGGCGACCTCCCCAATGTGCCAACCCGCATAGGCCACAGAACTCGACGCCGGCGTGACGGAGTGGGCAACGCCCGGTGATGTGGTGTTTTTGACATGCCACACAAGGTGGGGAAGCTTGTTGGGTACCGTTGGCGCCCATTGATGCCACCGGGGGTGGGGATTCAACACGGCGGAACATGCGGGCTGCCGTGGAATCATGAATGTTAACCAAAACTTGTTTTTATCACCAAAGAGTGTTTTTAATGCACGCAATAAGAAACAAAAGGGTTGATTTTTAGAACCAAATAAAGAAAGTTATAACGAAAATGTGCATGGAGTTGGAATGGATTAGTTCTTACCTTGATGTTCAGCATACACGCTAGGGCTAACCGCAAAGTCCTTTGCAATACCCATTTGCGTAGCTCCAGTGTACGACTCTGTCTTGTCACCGTCAAACGCTGTGCCCATTGACATAATTCCATCATCCCCATTATGTGGTGGCTCAAGTCCACGTTCCGACTCGGTCTCGGTCTCATCTCCTTCTTCTGGCCGTTTGAACTCATAGTCGTTATCAGCGGCTGCCTTTCGCATCTTGGCAGGCGGCTGTCGAGTGGGACTAGGGTTCTCATCGTCGTCAACACCGTCGATGATGTTATCGTAGCGGGGCGCACCGCGCTTTCTTTTACCACGCCCAAGACCTTCAGTTTGACGGTTAGCCTCCTCCAGCGCCTCACGCTCACGCTCCTGCAAAATCTTCTCCCACGCCGTAACATCCACAGGGGTGTCCTCGGTCTCAGTCACTTCTTCAAGGCTACCTTGATCCTTTTGCCACACCCGGGCAAAGTTAAATTGCGCCTGCTCATTCTGGTTCGAACTTCCCTCGTTGGCCACTTGCTTGGCCTGCTCGGCCTGGCTACGGTCCAACAGCTTGTCAATGGAGGGGGTATCGTATGTGATATCTGCTGAGTTATCATCATTGAAAAGAGCCTGAGCACCGTGCTTGAGGATGGACTCGAGGTCTTCCTTATCTTCATCGGCCTCGATGCGATCGATAAGTACGTGATCAAGCGCCATCTTGGTTTTACCTTTCTGCATTATCTTTTCTTCCACTGACGCACGCACTACCAGGTGAAACACAAGGACTGTGTTCTTTTGCCCGATTCGATGGGCACGCGACAAAGCTTGCATATCTTGCTTTGGATTGAAATCCGGATCCATGATGATGACTGTATCGGCAGTAGCGAGGTTGATACCAACACCACCAGACCGTGTCGAAAGCAAGAAAGCAAAGAACGGGGAGTCTGGCGCGTTGAACTGGTCTATCTGTTGCTGTTTCTCTCTTGAGGACAGATTTCCATCTAGGCGACGGTACTGGAGCCCTATTCCAGTGAGGAAGTCTTCAATAATGTTCAGATTTTCTAAGAATTGACTGAAGATGAGAACGCGATGCCCACGCTCTCGAAGTCGAGGCAGCATCAAGTTCAACAACTGAAGTTTCCCGGATGCTTCGACCAAGCGCCGATGAGAAAGTTGGGGATCCAGGGTTTGCTCTTCAATGTCCCGGTTGTAAATGAACGGGTGACAAAGACATTTTCGCAGTTGCATGAGGATGTTGTTCAGATTGTGGCGCTCTGCTTTCTTCAACTGCCCGGTGTGCTTCTTGCAAATAGCCTTGATGAGCTGCGGGTTCTTTTGAAGGATTAATTTGTACAGCTTCTTCTGCAAAACGGACATCGAAATCGGAATGATGATTTGTACCATTGGGGGGAGGAACGGCAGAACTTCTGCCTTGGTACGACGCAGGAGACATGGCCGAATCATGTCGTGGAGCTCACGAATGGCTTCCTTGTCGAGGACTCCTCCGTATTGAGCCTCCAATTTCTCGGCATCATGAGTTGGGTCAATGAACTGAACCAGATTAAAGAGTTCTCTGATGTTGTTTTGAAGGGGTGTGCCAGTGAGCAGCAGCTTGAACCCGAATTTCATGCGAAGGAGACGCTCATAGAGCTGGCTCTTGTCATTCTTGAGGCGCTGACCTTCATCAACAACTAAGCCGGCCCAATTGACACTGGACAGGACTCGCTTAGCCCCATCATCAACCATACTCTCGTATGAAGCAATGACCACATGACAGCATAGAGTGCCATTCTTGTGAAACAACTCGTGTTCCCTAGTCATCTCGCGAGCAAAAATACTGCCATAATAAGTGACAACCCGAACATCCGGCGACCAGCTCTTAATTTCTCGACGCCAATTTGGCACAGTCGCATTCGGAACGACAACCAAGAATGGGAAACAATTTAGCTTTTCAATCAATGCCGAAAAAAAGGTGATGACCTGGATTGTCTTTCCGAGACCCATATCGTCAGCAAGAATAGCGTTCTTTTGCTTGAAGAACATGTAAAGGAGCCAGTTTACGCCATCCATCTGATACTCCATGAGCTCACCACCGGTGACCAATGCAGGCTGAGCAGTCAAAATAAGGCTCTTATCAAACTCCTGTTTGCGGGCATTTCTGAGACGGCTTTGAAGATCTTTCGGTCTCAGGGGGTGAGTATCTTCTCGGAGCACCCTGTCAAGAAGAGCAGTTCGGAAATCCTCCCAGCGAGCTGTGTCGGTCTGACTTGGGGGTTCTTCCCAGACCGAGTCTTCGTAGGGCAACCCTTTGTACTTGACATAAGCCCGCTTAACCATCTCGGCGTTTGCTCGATCCTCCTGGGATCTGGGCTCGCTGTGATATTCCACGTCAAAGATAATGTCCACTCGCAGATTTTCTTCGGGGATAGCCTCGGCTGTTGTCATTATGGGATCGGTGGATCTATCTGACTTGAGGAACGCCTTCATCTGGCGGGCGGGAGCCATGGACCAGACCCAGTCTCCTGTCAACCAGGTGACACGGAAGTAGGACATCTTGTTCCACTTGACAAGATATTCTTTGTCGATCTCCGGGGTCATTTCAACTAACTGCGGGACGACTTTGACATCGGCATTTTTCGGCCTCCAAGCAACGATGGCATGAATTGGGTTGATTCCAGGGGGTGATTCAGAGCAGTCGTTGCATTGCCAGTGATCAGGATCAATGTCGGCACGATCCCTCTCAGTTGTGTTAGGCAAATGCTGAATATGGAAAGCCCGCTTGCAACTATGACTGCCACCAAGGCATCTGATGAGGACGTTGTCAACATTGTTGACACGGGACAGATCCACGTGGGCAATTGGATCTACTCCATTATTGGCTTCCCGTAACTGCTGCTCAGTCTGGGAAGAAAGAGTCTCCCGCAAAGGTTGCGACATGGGTCCCTCATCTCTGCACACAGCACAGTGGCCCAAATGAGGCTTCATATCATGCTCTTGGTGCTTGATCCCCAAACACCGACTGCATTGAAGAATGAAATCCCCTTTGTCAACCTTAGTGACCAAGTGCTTTCGGTTGCTTCGATCGCCAAGACAGCCTTGGTGGTATGACACAGTACAACCTTGGCAGAAAACCAAAGACCCTTTTTCGCGGTCATGATCTTTGTAGCCGCATTGGGTACAGGATTGGGAGTGGCACTGTCTGAACTCATTGTCGTGAGGTAGTTCACGGAAATGCTCCCGCGCGCCTGAGAACTTTTGTTTTTTAGGTTGCTCAGCCACAGGTTGGGAAAATTCGTCGTCTTCAAGGCGCTCTTTGAGGTTGCGTTGACGGGTTTTTCGCAAGCGGTGTGATGCTCGTTTGCCAGAATCAGAGGGGGGGGACTGTTCAGACCATTCGTCAGTGCGTTGCTTTCGGCCTTTTTGTACACCTCTTCTCAGATGGCGGCGTTTAGTCGGAGGACCATATTCATCCTCGTCGCTGGGCTCCTCTGAGTCTTCGATATCCACGCTGTAATCTTCATGGCGGCTTTGATAGTTTTCATCCTCATCGTCATGGCCACTGTGGAAGAAATGACTGTATGAGATTTTGGGCCCACGTTGTTGGCGCCTTCGTGCAATTCCCCAATCCATATCCGAATCATAGTCTCCAGGACCATCTCCGCCTGAGTAAATGAGATGTGAAATGGGTTCATAATCCATTGCCAGGGGATCAGGGCTCTGTGATTCACGATTGAATTCACGCAAAGCCTCCCGTCCGTTATTAAGGCTTTTTAGTTTCTTGATGGTCATCTAATGAAAGGTATGGTCAGTTGAATGGAGCTTAAGGTTGATTGTTTAATTGTTTTCACTAACAGTCTCACGTTCACCACTTCTGAGTCTTACAATGAGCTTTGGCTCATGCAGATCGACAGCAAGAATGTGATGAACCTCAAAGTGACCGGGCAAATACTCATAGTCCTCAGGGTTGTTAACCACTGGGACGATGATCTCAAAAGACACTGTTGATTCTTCTGAGTTGCCAGTGATCTGATGCTCTGGCTGAAGGGCATTTTTGGAGCCCGTTGGTGCGATGGCAGGAGTCGTGCGAGAGGAAGCGATCTGAAGTTGCGCTAACAATTGCGCTGCCATCGCATCCGGGCCGTCAGAGGTGGAAGAATTGTCTCTAGCTTGAGACATGATGATTTTTCGATCATGTAAAGGATCAGAAAATGAAGTCGGAGATGTAGAGACCGCACATGCGGCTCCTACCAATGGGGGTTGGGGGAGTCGAGTGAAATGAGTGAAAAGGGTATTGGAGGGATGGTAGGATTGAAGATCCCAATGGCCAACCAAGTGAATTTTGAGTTAACTAAATGCTCAAAGGAAAGATGAGTTCAAATAGATAAAGAAAGGAACGAGAGAATGAAGAATGGAAATGAGAACTGAGGAAGAAAGCCGATGTCGAAGTCGAGACTGAGTAGCATGCGCAAGAGATCGCGTCCACGCTTTGCGCGTTGGACCCGATAACGATTAGCACGGTGGCGGGCAGAGACCTATCATGCAGTTCGATATCGAAGTTCTCGGTGTGGCGGAATAGGAGGGTCAGCGAAGACCAGGAACTTCGCCGCAATGCTCAGTACTATCTCGAGAACAGGCTTAACCGGTCTCTCTAGAGTAATCAACTCCTCAAATTCTACAGTCTTGGCTATTCGGCATGCATCTTTGAATTCAGCAATTGGGGAGGGTATTCGCAGGTCTCAGACTGTGGACAGAGATAATCGTCGCGGCAACGTGTCTCGCTTTCCTAAGCGCGAACGACAACATGAGGGACAAAACGAAGGGAACTACGGATCGCGACAATACGAGAAGTCAGGTGAATTCAATTTGAAGGACCGTCAGACAAACGGAGCGCGGCAACAGTACGGAAGATCAGACCAATCCAACTTCAATGGCCGTCGAACATATGGGGCCCGACAACATGGAGAGGATGAGTCTGAGAGATCAGGATTCAACTCTGGTGTTCAACGAAATTACAGCCTGCGTGAGCGAGAATACGGAGCAAAAAAAGCCTGGGTATCAGACGGTGTAGGTCGTAAAGACTACGACCGACGACAATCGCCATGGAAGGATAACTCCCAATCCCCTCGACAGAATCGAAAGGAAGAACGGTTCGAGTTCGACGAGGATGAGTTCATTCGTTCTGGTGATTTTCGCGGACTTCCTCGTGAACACCAATCCCGATTCCAGTCGCGAACACAATATAATTCATTCACACAATCAGGACATGGAAGGTTTTCAATGGATGCACCACAGGAGAAGGAACCAGCAAGACCTAGGGCTCACCGGGTCACGCACAGCATGCCAGAGCGGGTGAAGGACAACGTCAAAGTGCCGGACACAATCCCCTATACTACACCTGCATCTGAGTTTATTTACGGCACCAGTGCCGTTGAGGCAGCGTTGCGCTGCAGCCGGCGCCAACTATACAAGCTTTATATCTACCAGAGCACGGATGAAGAGCTCAGTGCAGCAAAGGTCACAATCCGCAAGCTGGCATTGTCAAAGAACATTGCAGTAAAGATGGCATTTGCAGGGTGGGATCGACTTATGGACAAGATGAGTGCTGGGCGACCTCATAATGGATGCATTTTAGAGGCATCACCTTTGCCAAAGTTGCCTGTGCGTGGCCTCCAGGCTGTTCCATCCATCTCCGAGGAGTATTTCCGGGCGGAGCTTGCGCCACAAACCCGGGAAGAAGCTGCGGTAAATGGCACGGACGATCGTATCCGGATCTATCATTCTTGCCCGCCCCCGCACGAAAACGAACAACGCCATCGATACCCAATTGTCTTGCTATTGGATGGAGTAGTCGATACCGGTAACATGGGCGCCATAATCCGCTCATCCTATTTCCTGGGTGTCGATGCACTTGTCCTAGCTGGTCGCAACTCTGCACCACTGTCGCCTATCACGATCAAATGTTCTGCTGGTGCAGCAGAGAATATGCCTATCCTTCACGTGAAAAACGAAGTTGATTTCATTCAGCGTTCTCAGCAGAATGGGTGGCGGTTCTATGCTGCAGATACACCGACTCCCGGATCCGTACATTTGGACCACATCTCGACCGACGGCGATCAAAGCGGGGCTAAATTGCCTAGCTTGACTGCACCTAGTGTCATAATGATGGGCAGTGAGGCTACTGGATTGAGCTCGCATATTAAGTCGCATGCTGATGCAATCATCAGTATTCCAGGCGCGCGACAGAATTTCATCTTGGGCGTTGAATCTGATCCTGCCCGCATCGACAGTCTGAATGTGAGTGTTGCTGCCGCGCTGCTGATGGAGAAGTTTCTGCGGACACCCATGACTGTGGGTGAGGTTCTCAAGAAATCGAAGAACGTGGAGAAGAACCAAAAAGATAAAATGTGGTAGACTGACTGTAACAACTATGTACACTAGCATTTACACAGCATGTAAAACAGCACATCCTGGAGTTTTTGATTTGAAGGTCTTTTGTCCTCGACTTCCGAATTAGGGTTGAACTGCATCTTGAGCGGGGGGAACTCTGCACATGATCTCCCTTTGAGATGATCGTTGATTCGTTGATTCAGAAGTCAGAAAATAGTAGGCCCCATTAAACCCAACACTCGACGCCGAAGTTGAGATATGTCCCGTCCTTGCGAAGTCACTTCCCTTCAACCCTAACATTTCCATCGAACCATCCCCGTCATGATTCCAGAAAAACAAATCCCAACCACTGCATTCGTGGTTGAGAAGCCAGGAACTCCTTTCGTCCTTCAAGATGTTGTACTTGATGAAGTCCGGGCAAGGGAAGTTTTGGTTGAAATGAAATACACTGGCATTTGCCATACAGTATGCATCATCCACCCCGTAATACCCTTCTCCAAACAACTCACGACTAACGAAACACCCCTAGGACATTATCGTCCAACAGGGCGCAATCCCTGTCGGTGATTATCCCGCCGTACTAGGCCACGAGGGTGCCGGAATCATCCGCCGCGTCGGCAGTGGCGTCAAAGACAAGTCCCTTCAAGACGGCGACCTTGTCTTCCTGGGCTTCAGCTCATGCCACAAACAGACATGCAGCCCCTGCAGCAACGGCCGAAATGGATTCTGCGATCAGGTGATACCCATTAACTTTGCCGGTGCTCGAGGTCTCAGCGCTGCCGAGTCACCCATCTCTTTCCCAGGTGGAAAGGGTCCAATCCGCGGCCAGTTCTTCGGTCAGTCATCCATGAGCAAGCTGGCTGTGGTTGACGAGCGTTCGGTTGTCAAGTCTCCCCCAGAGTCTGGAATTACGGTCGAAGACATGGCGGTTCTCGCTCCACTTGGCTGCGGATATCTCACTGGTGCCGGCACTGTCTTTAATGTCCTCAAGCCCACACCGACGAGTCGCTTTGCTGTTCTTGGCATGGGCGCGGTTGGTATGGCGGCCATGTTGGCTGCCCGGTCTCAGGGAGTCGAAACCATTATCGCGGTTGACATTGTTGATGCGAAACTCGAGCTGGCGAAGTCTCTTGGTGCATCGCATACGTTGAACACGAAAAGTATATTAGATCTTGCGCAGGGGCTGTTGAATATCTTCCCGGATGGTGTTAACTGCATTCTCGACACCACAGGGTATAGTTCCTCTGCTCGAGGCTGCCGTCAAAGCTCTGGGTCATCAAGGTATTCTAGCTATGGTGGGTCTGCCTCGTGCTGGCTCATCCCTTAATATCGATCCTGTGGCGCTTGTGATGGCTTGTAAGCGTGTTGTTGGTGTGATTGAGGGCTGCGCAAATCCCGCTGTGGTGAGTCCATTTTCCGAAAGTCGCCTAAGCCGTGACTAAATTTCCTTTTTTTGTATAGATCATTCCACAACTGATTGACCTATACAAGCAAGGGAAATTCCCGGTCGATAAACTTGCTAAAACATATGCCCCAGGCGACTTTGAGCAAGCCATGACAGATTTGCACTGCGGTAATGTAGGTGCTCCAAACTAAAGTCGCAATTACTCAAGCTGAAATTCTTGCTTCTTGCAGGTTATCAAGCCCGTCATCAAATGGGCAGATTTGTGATGTTGAGATTCGAGCATGCATATGAAGGTGCTTTTCATTTTGTCAATGGGGTCGTCTTTCCGGTTAGTGAGTTGCAGCAAGTATCTTTACTATTGGTATAGCGGCAAATGTATGCTGTGTCGTCCCTGATCCCTGGTTATATGCAGAAATGATATCTAATGAAGACGTCACAACGCCGCAAAGGCGGCCACTCATTCTTGTAAATAAACATTTGGAATGTTCAAGTGTTTAGCACAAGCGAGCTGTACAATCCAATATTACATGATGCATTTGTCTAGCTAGACTAAGAAGGAACCGAGAGATTCTGATGAAGCTCCGTTCGCTGCACAGCACCGAAGCGCAGATTACCGACATCGAAGACCTGACCATCGCATTAGCTTGTGACTGTAAAACCCCAAAAGAAGTATCACTCACTGCATAGATAGCCTTCAGGAAGGTATCACCTAGAATGTCCATGGTCATCGTACCACGACTTTGAATGCCTCCATAGACATATCCAGACTTAGTCTCTGCGAATCCTAGATCTTCCTTCTGCACAACAAACTGCGTATCCCCAACAGCAAAAGATATGACAGGTAACTTATCAGCTGGTGTAGTAGATGGAAAAATCCACCCCTGACTGTCATAGTCATACTCTGCCCCGGGGATAGCATCATAAATGGCCTGACAAGTTTCATCATCCACCAGCGCCAAAGCAGTCCCCGTATCAGCAATAGCCTTGTTTCCAGCCCGAGACACTGACTTTCCATTCACTGTCGCTGATGTAGAATCGAACAGCCAAAATCCCTGACTGTTATCGACAGGCGTGTAGGAAATCTCTGACTTTGTGGCCTTCACCGTGTCCTGATCAATATAACCAAAAGTATAGAACAACTCGCTCTTATCTGGCTCATCAGAGTCTCGCCATGACCCCAGCTTTACGGTGAAAAGCTCAGCCGATTTCGGTATGTCAGACTGCGAAATCAGATTCTCCACAGGCGTGCTCACGACTTGGGGCTTGACGGTATTAATGTTACTGAATGCAAGCCCCAGCAGCCCATCCCCAGCACCCTGTACGAACTGGTCGGATAACACATCAGCGATCTCAATAGCCTGGCCTTCGACCACCAACCCGCCGATGTCGACATTGTCGTTGCCGACCGTGCCGGAGGCTAAAGAGCCATCATTGTACTTAATCTTCCACGTCGAGCCATCCCTCTTTTTGAACGTGCTTGATTTAGTCGGATCAAGGACTGTATGGTTCTTGTTGTCCGACAAGATCTTTGACGGCAACTCCGTGGACCAGACCTAGACACTCTTAGCCACTGTCGCATCAGAGAGCGCAAAGGAAAAAAAAAACAGAAAGACATTTGCTTACCCATAGATCCGCAGACCCTGTATCAAAATTCAAACTGAGCGTCTGGGCAGGTGTACCAATTGCAACTTCTGCAAGATACATTGAGTCATTCTGCACATCGTCGGCACCCACTTGCCCGACCTCGTCACTAGCAACGTCCCTTTTTTGCAGCACCTGCTGCAACCGCGCACGGCCTCCAACAGGCTTATTAGTGAACTGTCGGCCAGTCTGTACCAGTGTAGTGCCGAGGAAATATGGGCCACCCTTAGTTGGCGTGAAGCGATACTTGCGCATGGCGTACAAGTATGACTTCGTGCCGGACTTCCGGTAGTGCGGGTTCAAGACGAGTTTGATTCTAGTCATAGTGGGGGGTGGGATATGGTTGGGTTGAGAAGTTTGAAGAGGGCTAGGGCGTGGGGTTTCCTTAAGTACTCCGTACTTACGCTAAGATACTAGTTGTCATGCAATGAACTGGGGACGCTAGAAAGCGTCGTCATCACCTTTAAATATTACGATACTGAGCGATTAGGCTAATCATTTGCTACTTTCATGGAGGCAAATTCCAGAAACCTGTATTCTGTCATTGCAGATGACTTGGGGTGTTTCAGCGTAATAATAGCATCTGATCCGCATAACAACGATGACAAGGACCCCCGGTCGGGGAATTTCTGAAAGTGCAGGAATTGTGCAGGGAAGATGCAGGAAATTTGCAAAGGAGACATATGATAGCCATGTAATAAGGAAGACAGCTAACTCTATTTCAATTACAAAAGTACAAAAGAACAAATGGATAGATTGCGCCGATCCCGACAAAACCGCCCCTTGATACCCGAATCACCACTAACCATAGCAAAATGGGAACGTACTCAACCCGTGGACTCTCAATCCACATGATCACCTCTTGCGACTCTTAGACTTGGTTGCAGCAGCACTGGGAGCTAGGGAACTGGCGACAGAGGCAGTCTTGCTGCCACCCTTGGTGCCCTTGACCTGTTTGGTTGGCTGTAGAAGTTAGAACCAAAGTAACAGATAATCAATCAGACAGAACTTACCGCAGCTCCGTTCTTAGCCTTCTTCTTGGAAGGGGGCGCTTCTTCCATCTCTTCCTCTTCATCACGGTCACGGCCGCGGCCTTTGCCTTCACTGGACTCGAACTCCTTCGCCACAGTGTTCAGCAGGGTAGTGCAGCGGCGACCAATTTCCACAGGTGTGCGACTGAGCATGAAGAAATCGAATCGGAACAGAGGTGATTCACGAATCTCTTCACGGATGTTTTCATATAAATTCTCACCCTCGACCCCATACTTGTCCAGCATGATTAACAAGAATCGGTCCTCATCCTCGGTGTACACCTTTTTATTGGTGGTGGACACGGTGTAGTTGATCTTGAGCTGCTGAAGCGGCACGCGGTACATCTCCAACTTCTTGCGGAGCATTTTCCGCTGGTGATCTATCTTCCGCACCTTCTCCTCGCCCTGATCGATAACTCGGAGGTACTTTGGATAGTCCTGAATCTCAGTGTAACGGCGCCAGAAGACTTCGGCATATTCCTTAATCTCGTTGGGCTCCTTGCTGTCCACCTCCGTGGCAATGCCCTTGTAGTCGGTACGACCAAACTTGGCGGATCCATTAATAAATTGCTGGAAATCACGTCGGTTCCAGGTTGCAAAGCCTTCTTCTGACATACGAGCCTTCTCGGCTTGCTCTTCCTCAGTAAGTGGAATGGAGTTGTCAATCTCCTGTTGTTCAAGGTCCCGCTCAGCCTCTCGCTCACTGAGCTCTTCGTCGGGGCCTTCAGGCAGTTGAGCCTTGTAACCAATCTCCTTATGGAAATAGGCTGTCTCCTTCTCTTGGAGCTCATGGAGACCAGGAGGGAAGAATTGCCAGTCGTGGACGGTGATTTGTTTAGGAGCACGTGGGACTTTGGGCTTTGTGTCGGCAGTTCGGCCTCCAGTGGCCAAGGCTTGGCGGTAGTATTTGTCGATGGAATAGAATTGCTCTTTGCGCTCACGCTTAGCTGGGTTGATCCAACTGATGCCAATATCCTTCTTCCGCTCGGTGAAATCTTTGCCATTCCATTCATATGCACTCTCAGAAGAGAACTTCTGCAAGTCGTCAATGCCAAGGGTCTCGTACTTCTTGCTGAGCTCTGCAGTTCGTTCTTCGCCTTTACGCAGGATAGTCTCGATATCTTCGTCTTCGGATATCTCACGGCCCTCTCTCCCCTGGGTGTTGAAGACGTCGGCAGCACCATGCTGAATCATGCCGAGGAGATCTTCTTTCGAAGATGCTTTGCCAGCTTGTTGTCCGGAACGACCTTGCTGAATGACGAGTTGATCCAAGCGCAGTTTCTGAGCTGCTCTCTCCAGAACTTTTTCTTCGATGGCGTTCTCTGTGATAAATCGGAAGACTTTAACCTGCTTCGTTTGGCCAATGCGGTGAGCTCGATCCATGGCCTGCAAATCAGCTTGCGGGTTCCAGTCACTGTCGAAGAGAACGACGATGTCGGCCGAGGTCAAGTTGATACCCAGACCACCCGCTCTAGTGGTGAGAAGAAAAACGAATTTGTCGGATCCAGGTTTGTTGTAATCATCAATGGCAGCAATGCGGTCCTCATGTGCCGTGGTACCATCAATACGGCAGTAGTTGTAGTCTCGGAAACAACAGTAATCTTCCAAGATATCCAGCACACGACTCATCTGAGAGAAGATGAGTACACGACTACCATCCGCTTGCATGCGCTTCAAAAGTTTGTCCAGAATGACCATCTTTCCCGAGTTGAAAACAAGATGTTCGTCGGTCGTATACGGAGGACCTGGTTCAGCTCCCTCGAACAGGTAGGGATGGTTGCAACACTTCCGCAGCTGCATGACAATGTTCAACAAGCGGGTCTTGGACTCGCGCTTCCCAGCGGCGCCGTTGACAGCATCAATATCTTTCTCCAAAATCTTTTGGTACCACCTCCGTTGCATTTCAGACATTGGAACATAGAGATTGAGTTCCTTCTTCGGTAACAAACTTTTCTCAACATCACTCTTCACACGTCGAAGCAAGAAAGGACGGAGAACACGGTGGAGTTGCTGCACCACAGTTTCTTGATCGGAGTCCTGGTTTGAGAACCACTGGTCAAATGCCTCGGAATCGCCGAAGACATCTGGGAGAAGGAAGTTGAGCAAAGCCCACAGTTCATGTAGATTGTTCTGTAGCGGAGTACCAGTAATTAACAACCGATTGCGGGAGTTGAAAAGACGGATGATTTGCGACAACGATGATTCTTCGTTTTTGATCCGATGGGCCTCGTCAATGACAATGTATTCCCAAGCAAACTTCTTCAGATGCGACTTCTCGCGGAGGATCATTTCATAACTGGTGATGCATACATCGAACTCTTCTTCGACTAAGCGCTCATTGATCAACTGCTGCCGTTCTTCTTTATTACCTTGGAGCACCAGGACATCGATGTCAGGGGTCCACTTTGCGAACTCTCGCTTCCAGTTGTCCAGAGTTGACTTTGGCACGACAACCAAATGAGGCCCGTTAATATCACGGATGTAACGTAGGTAGCCTAGGAATGATATCGTCTGCAGGGTCTTGCCAAGACCCATCTCATCGGCCAGGATACCGGAGATACCGTTTTCGTGTAGCGAAACGAGCCAATTCAGGCCTGCAACCTGGTAATCACGTAGCTCACCGTGGATGAATGCTGGCGACTCTCGAAAGACGGTGGTGCTATCGCCGCCCTGCTTCTCATCTTGTAGCAGCTCTGCGTCTTCTTCTTGTTCGGTTCTGCGGCGCCGCTCACTACCAGCACCTCCAGTGCGCTTAGAGCCTTTGCGGGCTTTTTCCTCCGTCTCGGCATTTTGTCGGTCGATTTCGGCCATAATCTCCTTGATCTCGGGGTTTGGATTCGTCTCAATGAAGTGGCGAAATAGGTCAGTGAGACCAAGAAGGTATCGGAATCGGCGAATCGAATCATCCTCCTGTGAAACATTATTTCAGCCAAAAGACCTTCAGTAGTTTTAAGTTATCACCTATACCTTCGTATTATCGAGGCGGCCATGTTTCTTGCCCAAGATGCTTTTTCTGAGGTTGTTGGCCTCGGATCTGCGCCTACGTCCATCGGCCGCCGCGTCGCCCGCAACGCTGCTTGCAGTGGTGTTGGGATTTGTATCAGAGTCCTTTTCGGATTATTAGCAACCTTCCTTCTCTAAGACACGGCGTTGTGGGCCAAGGGTATCGATACCGTGTAATCTGGGGTGTCTTGGCGGCTCTAGATTGCGATAGAAAATTAGTAAGAGCTTGAAAAAAGAAAGCAATCTTAAATCCCAGAAAACCTTGCAATGGTGTTTTCTAGACAAGCTCATAAAAATGAGTCACATACCGTCATCTGCGCGTCGGTACTATCCACGGGCACCGAAGGGACCGTGTCGTCATTTGTATCAGTCATGGGAGTGTCAACTTGCGAGACCGGATCAGACGCGATGGCAGGAGCCATATTTTATTCTTAGTGAAAGGATTGCAGGTGCGTTCGCTTTTCAAACACGTCTTTGGGCGTGCAACAAAGAGTATCGGAAGCTCGCGACTAGTCGAATCGCGTTGTGCAGAAAGAAAGAACCAACTGCGGTCGGAGTGGTGAGGAAGTGACGGGGGGATCGTCTGAATTTAGTCCGGTGTAATTTCGAAAGTTAAAACAGCTCATCAATGGGTATCCCATAGATTGAATGCTCTTAAACAATTCTAGACTAGGATCATTGAGGGTATTCAAAGCGCGTCGATGGCAAATGGAGATACCGCCTTTCGGTAGGGCCTGCGGCATGGAATATTGTTATTCCGTCAGATAGTGGGCTTCTCGTTACCGGGCCAGGGCGGTCATTTGCAACAACCTTGAAAGTTCCTCCGTTGACACATCTTGGTGCTAAATGTTGCACAGCTAGGTGAACAACTTCCCAGATATATACCTGGCTCTGTCTGTGGTGTCTCTTTCCTTTCTTGTTACAGTTGTTCTCTTTCCCCCTGCTCCTTTTCACCACGTCCAAGCTCTTCGCTATTGCTATTTGTCCACTGAGGGACAACGCACGGCATAAGAAGTTGTCAACACAAATACCTTTGTCCTCAAACCCATTTCCCAACAGGGTATAGAACTCGTCCCCTGCCATGGACTCCATGAGGTCCCTCAACACCTCTCTTCCGAGCTCGACACCCCGCCCGCAACCTCCGGAGCAACTCCTCCAGCAATTCAAGGCGGCGGCTCTGTCTGTCACAAACCTGTATAAGAATGCAGTATGTGAACAAGCCCAGGCGAGGTCATCAGGATACCAGGATGCAATAGAGGATCTGCTCCACTTCCTTGACCGTGAGAACCT